TTTATTATTTTCTTAAAAAATAATTGAATTTCTAACAAGAATTTTATTTTTTATGAAAATAATTGAAATTTCTTTCTGTAAATTTTCTAAAAAAAATTGTATTGAAAATAATTATTTATGAAAAGAGTTGAATTCTTGCGAGGAATTTTATAATTATATTTATAAAAATAATTGAATTCTTGTTAAGAATTTAATTAAAATTGAATGTAATTCAATTTCTCGTGAAAAATTTTGTTATTTGGGAAAATGAATTTGTTTTTTTTATTTATTTGTTAATTTTATTGTTTAATTATCAAAAAAAAGTTGTTGAAGGATAAAATGGTGGTTGAATTTCTCCACTTGAGAACGCCAAGGTCGCTACCAGATGGCAGGAGAATTTCCAAGAAATAAATAAATTCCAAGAACTAAACTGCCATCTAGCGGTGACCTTGGCGTTCGCAGGTGGAGAGTAGTGTCTTCATATTGAATCTCAAAATTTTCGTTAATATTCCTAATTCTATAATTATTTACAACCAAATTTTGAATTTAGAGACTTTGACAATTAATATAGTCTTTCAATTTTTAATTTACCGAACACAAAGTGAAAAAATAAAGTCCTAAAAAGAAGCTTGCTTGCAAAACAAAAAATTTCAAGCAAATATAAAGATGAAATTTTCAATTTATCTCGTCAAAGAGAAGAAAGAAATATTATTCAAAACTAAAACAATACATATTTGAATAAAAATCTAATAAAATCATTTTTCCTACGTGCCGGTATCCTACAAATATAGATATATATAATATAAGAAGGGAAAAAATGCAGCATTATTGAGTGATGTGCGCTGGAAACTAATAAGTGCACGGATACCTTATATACCTCAGTTCGCAATAATTAAGGTCATTAACTCCTTGTGAACTGGGTAACGATATATATAGTGTATTGACCTTTCTTTTATGGCTCTACTCGCATTATTCACTGCACCTACAAAACGATTTATTTGATATAGAAAGGATCCTTGGAAAAGGAAAGATAATAGTTATAATATAAAGGAAAATATCTATTATTATCGTTTCACGTGCACAAGAAAGAAAAAGTATAAATTTTAACCTGATTTTGGGGTAAAAATTCCCTGCAACAAATTTTCCCCTAAGTGAGGGCGCCACTGTCTATGTGAATTAGCATTGGTTAAAATTCCCCGCAACAAAATTTATACTATCTTTTTTCTGTGTGAATTTAATTTCATATATATCTAATTAGTAATTTTCTCACATATTAATATGTCTTCTAAATATTAATTTTACCCTCGATATTATACCCTCTTCTATTATAATCATCGCATAAATATATAATTATAATAAAAAGGAGAAAATTAATTTATTGAAAATTTAGGAGAAATTTTCTCACTTGACAGGATAATTCACTCTGAAAGCTCATTGTAAATTGTGGAGTACCAAATTCGTGTCTTCTCAGTACTATTTCTGGATAAAATATATTGTCCGCCGAGGGTCATTCCATAAAACTTGAGAATTATATATGCGCGGATCTAAGAGAATTATCTAGCATGAAAGATTAATTTTCTTTCATGTATTTTACTTAAAATTTAACTGAAAATTATTCGACAAATTTTACCAAGCTTCTAATTATAGGGTTTAATGCAAATTAGAATATATTCGAATTTTCAGTTAATGGAATTATTTTTCTTGTGCACCTTCTTTTTCTATTTTTGAAAATAATTAAATTTCAGAGAGGAATTTTATTATTTATAAAGATTTATTATAAAAAGATTGAAATTTTTACAAGAACTTTATTAATATTTTTAAATATTAATAAAATTTTATAACTTTTTACTTTTCACCCTTTCATTTTATCTAAAAAAAACTTTTAATTCCCGTAATCTAAAAATTCATTTTAAATCTATTTTTCTATTTTTTAAGAACCCGTCACTCAACTGTCAAGTTCCGTTCGAAATGGTCCAAAATCTGATTTTTAAAATTTTCCATCTTTGTTATGATTTCTAAAAAAAACTATTTTTACAGTTACAAATTTTTCAAATTAGCTCATTAGAATAATGTCCAGAGTGTGAAATTAAAATTCGAAAATTGACACGAAAATAAAAAAATTTCATATTTTGAATCTTATTCTTTTTTTTTCGATAAAGAACATCTGTCAGTCAACTGTCACCTTTCATTTCAATTTGATGGTTAAAATTATTCCAAAAAGAAAAAAATCTCCTATTTAATCCACTCTTATCGAAAAATGGAATCAAAAACAAAATTTTGACTCGTAAGTCAATCTTCCGTTTTTTCAATCTACTTTACGAAAAATATTATCGACAAACTTATTATTAAACTTTAGAAAATACACTTTTTTAAAACCTCTATTGATCCATAACTTCGTTTTATATATACAACTAAACCTTTCATCCAAAAAACAAGATCGAAATTGAAATAATGCGATGAAACCCAGTTAAACGAACATAAATCACAAACCAATAAAAAATTTCCTTTTCTACAAGAAACATCAAAGCTTTTATATCGTTTGAAACTTTTATTAAAAAAATTTTTTTGTCTTCCACTCGTTTTTATTCATAATCTTATTAAAAACTAAAGGGAAAAACTTTTCAACAAGTCTTTTCGCGTTGAAAATGATTTGACTCTTTGGGAATAAAAAAAAGGGAAGGAAAAAAAATAAAAAAGTAAAAAAAAAGTAACAGGCTTCGCATTTGCTACTATTTCAATACTTTTTTTTTAAATTTGTAACATTAAAAGTTAATTTTTTCTTTTCATTGATAATTTTCACTATTTTAAATCCACAAATACAGTTGAAATAAAAAAAATTAATTCAAATTAAAAAAAAATTCTTTGAAAGAATTCTTTTACTTTCAGTTATTTTAACAAAATTTTTCTCAAGCATTCAGTTATTTTCTCACATAAATAAATAAAATTCTTTATAGAAATTCAATTATTTTCCACATTTACTATTTTAATAATATTTCTCGAAAGAATTCAATTATTAAAAAAGAAAAAATTTAATTAAATTCTTCTTAAATTTTTAAGAAAATTTAAAAATGAGTCAATTATTAACAATATTTTAATAAAACTTTTCTAAAGAAATGAATTATTTTGTAAATAATAAAATTCATCGTAAAAATTGAATTATTTTCAAAGAAATTAGAATTCTTAGCAGGAATTCAATTATTTTCAATACAATTATTGTACTTAAATTTCCCCCAAAGAATTCTATTATTTAAAAAAAATTTAATAAAAAATGATTCAAAAAAGTTCAATTACTTTCAAAAAATGTTTTTTAAATTCTTTGCAAAAATTCAATTATTTTCGGAAATAATAAAATTTTTCACATGAATTCAATTATTTAAACAAGTTTTAATAAAATTCGTTTCAAGTATTCAATTACTTTTACAAATATTAAAAATTTTCACAGGAATTCAATTATATAAAAAAATTTTAATAAAATTCGTTGAAAAATTCAATTATTTTTACAAATATTAAAATTTGACACAGGAATTCAATTATATAAAAAAATTTAATAAAATTCGTTAGAAGAATTGAATTATTTGTATATAATGAAATTCTTTGCAGTATTCCAATTATTTTTATCACAATTTTAAATAAATTCCCCAAAAAATGTAATTATTCTTAAAAATTTTATTAAAATTCTTCGAAAGAAATCAATTATTTTGAAAATATTTTAAATCTTAACATTCTTTATAAGAATTCAATTTTAAAAAATAATCAATTTTTCTACAAATTATTTACTTTTGTATTCAAATAATTGAATCTCCGTAGAATTTTCTAATATAAAAATTGATTTAAAATTCTAATTCAATTAATTTTTTATAAATAATAATTAAATATTAGAAGCGAAATATTATAAATTTTTTCGAAATGGTTTTTAAATTAAAATCTTTGAAAATTTTAATTGTTAAAAAACCGTAATAATATTAAAATATTTATTTCAAACAATTGTTAATTTATTGTTTTCCTAAAAAATTAGGTATTAAAGTTTTGGATAATTTTATTTGAAAATTCAAAAGAATTGAAATTATTACAATTTTCAATTCCTGTGGAAAAATAAATAAGAATAAGTATTTAAATATTTATTTTAAAAAAATGATTACCTTTTTGTATCATTTAATGTAGAAAGTATGGAAAAAAATAGTCTTTTGTAAAATTCTAATAAAAATTTGTTGAAAAAAATTAAATTTCCCTAAGAATTTAAAAAAAATTATTTAAGTTTTCAATTTATTGTTAATTTTGTCAAATTCATCTAAAATAAATTTGATATTTTAAAGAATTCAATTTTTTTCACGTTTAAAATTTATTTTTGAATAAAATCGTATTTTTTCAGAATTTTAATTAAAAATTTGTGAAAATAATTGAATTTTAGAAAAATTTAGAATTGAAATTATTTTCATATAAGGAAAAAAAGTGAATATTTTTTATGGAAATCAGGAAAAAGCCATCAGGGAAATAGTACAGAATCAAATTTTTGTGAATTTCGTAAATCGACTAAAAAGAGTTTTTTTTAGTTATCAAATTTAATTTTTCAATAGCTTCTTTTCAGTCATAAAGCTACTTTTTATTATTATTTTTTTTTTTTTAATAAATTATCGAGTGAGAAGACTGGAAAAAGAGAAAATAGGGGAAAGAGTAAAAAGATAAAAGGGAAAAAAGGAGAAAAAGAAAAAAGGAAAAAGTTAAAAAAAATAGAAAAGGGGAAAACGAGAAAAATAAAATAAAAAGGTTAAAAATGAATAGAAAAGGGAAAAAATAAAAAAGGGAAAAGAAAAAATAAAACAGGAAATAAGGGAAAAGAAAAAAATAGATTAAAAAGTAGAAAAGCGAAAACAAAGAAAAGGAAATAAGGAAATAAAGGAAAGAATAGAAAAGGGAAAAAGAATTTAAAAAAAGGGAAAAAAGAATAAGGGGAGAAAGACAGAAAAGAAGAAAAAGAAAGAAGAGCGAAAGATTTATTAAATAAGTTTTTAATTTGTTTTCAGATGAGGAGAATGAGCCGTCAATTTCCACAGAAGACAAGGAAAAATCAACTAATAATTCCTCGCACCATTTACTGAATGGCATCGAAACTAACGATAATAATAATAAAAAAAAAGTAGAAAACGTTCCTGAAAATCGAAAACGTCGTCAAGCACCAAAAGCACCAAAAGCACCAAAAGCCCCATTTTCCAATAATACCTATGTCATCGAAAAAATCAATGAGAAATCAAGTGATTATCCAAGTGAAAGGAGTAAATCCCGACATGACATAAACGAACTGGGATTACCGGAAGAAGGTGGTCTTCTTCATCCACCATCATCATCAGAAATGGGCTCAAATTTAAGTAGACACAGTGCGGGCAAAGGTCTCACTGGCAGGAGGACGCAATCATCTGGAAATCTCTGTGATGCAAAAGGGAAGCTGAATAGCGTTGGAAAAATCTTTGTGCCCTGCTCCAGCACGTCTAGAGAAAGGTGACTTTGACTTTCTATTGTCGATTTTATAAGCTTCTTTTTCAAGCGATAAAAAGAAAACAGGTGGAAGCACAGCTTTCAAAAGCCCATTCATATCACTTTAAACGCGTGTAGCCAGAAAAAAATTTCAGCAAAAAAAAAAAAAATGGGTTATATTCTTTTATATCTAGAAAAAATTATTCCAAAAATATAAAAAAAAAATTGTAAAATTTTTCACGGAGAAAAATAATTGGATTGTATACCATGTATTGGATAATTTGTTTATTTTAGTCTCTAGAGTTGTGATCCTATTAATTGGATACTGAAAATCAATTTTCACTTTTTTCCTAAAAAATTTTTTTTCCTATTATTTTTCAATTATTTTTCCTAAACAATCAAAAATTAACCTCAAATTCTGATTGATTCTAAAAACTATCAGTTTCACAAAAAAAAAAAAACGATAATTCAAATATCTGTGAATATCTCCGTAAAATTATTCAAAACATGAATTTTTAAAAAAAGACTTTACCAATTAATTCAATTCTATTTTAATTAATTCAATAATCATGATTTTGTTTTATAAAGAAGTTCAAATTTTCAAAAATCTTTATTTCAAATCTTCTGAAAATCAAATAGTCAACTCTCGATATCGCTCTTTAATTCTTAAAAAGAATTCAATTATTTTCACAAATAACAAAATTTTTCTCAGAAATTCAATTATTTTTTAACAAATTATTTTAAAAATAACTTTTTAATAAAATTGATCGAAAGAATTGAATTTTTTTTCAAAATGTTGAAAACTTTCTCTATAAATCAATTATTATCATAAATAATAAAATTTTTCTCAGAAATTCAATTATTTTTAATTCAATTTTAATTAAATTCTTAACAAGAATTCAATTATTTTTATAAATAATGAAATTCCTCGCAGAAATTCAATTATTTTCATAAATAATAAAATTCCTCGAAAAAATTCAATTATTTTTTAACAAATTATTTTAAAAATAACTTTTTAATAAAATTTATAGAAAAGAATTGAATTATTTTCCAAAATGTTTGAAAACTTTCTCTATAAATCAATTATTATCATAAATAATAAATATTTTCACTGGAATTGAATTATTTTCAATTCAGTTTTAATTAAATTCTTAACAAGAATTCAATTATTTTTATAAATAATAAAATTCTTTGAAAAAATTCAATTATTTTCATAAATATTGAAATATTTCACTGGAATTGAATTATTTTCAATTCAGTTTTAATTAAATTCTTAACAAGAATTCAATTATTTTTGTAAATAATAAAATTCTTTGAAAAAATTCAATTATTTTCATAAATATTGAAATATTTCACTGGAATTGAATTATTTTCAATTCAGTTTTAATTAAATTCTCAACAAGAATTCAATTATTTTTATAAATAATAAAATTCCTCGCAAAAGTTCAATTATTTTCATAAATAATAAAATTTTTCACGAGAATTTAATTATTTAAAAAGAAATAAATTAAATTCATCGCAAGATTTCAATAATTTAAAAAGAATTAAATTAAATTCTTCGCAAGAATTCAATTATTTTTATGAATATTAAAATTCTTCTCAAAAATTCAATTTTTTTCAAAAAATTGATTTATTCTTTCTTTAATTCTTTACAATTATTCAATTATTTTCCAAAATAATAATTTTTTTACGAGAATTCAATTATTCAAAAAAAATTAAATAAAATTTTTCCCTAGAATTCAATTAAATTTTTTATTCTTAAAAACATTCAAATTTTCAAAATTTTCAATTTAAAACCTTCAGAAATTCAATTATTTCTAATTTTCTACAAACTACTACTATAACTTTTTCGAAAATCAATTAATTTCTAAAATTAAAAGTATAAAAAATTTAAATTTTTAGAAATTTTGATTAGTAAACTTTTCAAAATGTAATTATTTCTAAAAATTAAAAAAATTCTACTAGAGAAATAAATTATTTAAATACAAAAATGAGTTAAAATTCAATTCTCATAAAGAATTTTATCAACAAATTCTTAAATAATTGAATTCTTTTGACGAATTTTAATAAAACTTTTAACAATAATAACATTTTTCGATAAATTCGATTAAAATTATATTAAAAATATTTAAAATTCTACAATGAGTTTTATTAATATTTTCGTTAAATAATAAAAAGCTTTACAGAAATTCAAATATTTTCAAAAATCTTAATAAAACTCTTCTCAAGAATTCAATTATTTTCAATTATTTTTAAAATTGAGGGAAATTTTTGAAAATAATTGAAATTTTGCTAAGAATTTTGTTAAAATTTCAGAAAATAATTGAATTTTGCAGAACAGTTTTATTATTTATAAAGATAATTGAAATTTTGACAATTTTTTTTAAATTTTAGAACATAATTGAATTTTTGCGAAGAATTTCATTACTTTTGAAAATAATTGAATTTCTGCAATTATATTTGTACCTTTTCCAAAATTTAATTTTTTTTATGTGTTTTTAACTAAAATTCTTCTACGAAGTAATTTTTAATAATTAATTAAATATATTAAAAAATTTAACTATTTGCAAAAGAATTTGAATTATTAAAATTTTTCAAAAATCTAAGTTCTTTAAAATTTTTAATGAAATTCATTCAAAATTGAAATTTTCCAAAATTAAAAATTGAAATCTTTTGAAGTTCATCTATTTATGAATAATTGTAAACGTAATTCTTTTCAAATTCAATTAATTTTGAAATATTGAAGTAAAATTATTCATTAAATATTTTTTTTTTAATAATTTTATGACAGTAACAAAAATTTGCTAAAAGTTGCAAAAAATAGTTCAAGAAATAAGTTATTAAAAAAGAAATTATTGTCAGAAATAGAAAAAATTGGATGTTTTGTATCAGAATTCGTGATAATTCAATAGTTTATGAGGCAAACAAAAAGGACCCAAAAATTCACAATTTTCTCATGAGTTCTAAAAATTTATTTTTTTCCAGAACTTTTATTAAAAATCCCCGACGTTTTCCTAATTTCCTGACCTGTGCCAAGTTTTTTTTTTAAAGAATAAAACAATTAAAGTATTATCACTTCCACCAAAAACACCTCACGTTATAAATTGTACCGTATTATCCAATTATTTTTCTCCGTGTAAAATAAAAAGTTTTTCCCATTTATAAAAAAAAAGTGCGTACCAAACAATCGAGATGACAAAAAAGAAATTAGAACTTTAGATTCTACTGCATTGTCCTCGATTGAAGAAGCGCCTTATCCTTGACCCACATTGCAATCTTCCGCACATGTCCTACATTTAGAAAATTTCATCCAACCGACTTTAGTAAAATAGAAAGGTTCAATTTCTTCATTTAATGTCATTTGGCACCGTGAATTACTTTTAATGACTCTTCCTTTTTTTCTTTAATCATTTCTTTTCTCGATTTTCATTAATTTTTTTTTTTTAATTCTCAATAGCAGGTACAAATTTTGCGGTTCACTACCCAACCACTTGGATGATAAGGAGGGTCTTGAAATCGAATCTGGAGAGAACAATAATGTGATTCACAGTGATGTGGGTGGAAACCTCCCTGGGACGTTACCACATCAAAAGAAGCTGGCGGGTTTGCAACTCTCCGACAGTGATCCACCATTTGGTACTTTTGACCTCGTTAGACGTCCATCTCAAGATTCCCTAGAAGGTGATCCCTGGAGGTTTGTATCACCTTTATAAATACAAATTAAACCCACGAATTTCACGTCCTTCAAGGATCTAAAAATATCTCTCTCACTCTCTCCATTTTAACCAAAAAGGTTCTTTCAAATAAAACAGAAAAAAAAGACTTGATGATGACGATGAGAAAAGTTAATTGATTTCACGATTCATCTTATGTTCTTCAAAAACCCTTTTAACCTCGAGGGTCTCCTTTTTGGTTGCAAATTGAAAATTTACATAATTAATGTCTTCTTTTTTCTTTTACTTCACTATTTTGGGGATTAAAATAAAAAAGAGGCATTTTTGACTTTATTGTTGATTTTTCAATGAAATTTAGACTTTATAAGAAATGGAGATTTTAATTTTTAACAATATTATAAACAGGCAAAAAAAAAAAGAAATTTTCTGTTTGTTTTTTCCGTAAATAAATTTTCCCTCCTCTGAAAAGTGGAAATATTTCTATACTAAAAATCATTGCAGGCTTCGCACTTATCTACTAAAACCTACTATTTACTACTTTTTTTACAATTTGCTACTAGGATACTTTTTTTCATTTGTTAAAAGCTACTTTTTTCTTTATTTTTCGGGGAAATTTGCATCACTTTAAATTCGCTATTAGTTGAAATAAAAAAAAATTCTAAAAATTTTATTAAAATTATTTAAAACGATTCAATTATTTTCAAAAACTTTTCGACAATCAATGATTTTCAATATCTATACAATTTTAATAAAATTCCACAAAAGATTTTTCGTAAAACTCTTCGCAAACATTCAATTTTTTTTAGAAGTAATAAAAGTTTCACAAGAATTGAATTATTTTAAATATTTCGTAAAATTTATCAAAAGAAAGCAATTAAAAACTTTTTAAAAAAATTCTACCACAAGAATTCAATAATTATTTTCACAAGCAATAACATTTTTCACGAAAATTCAATTATTTATAACAATTTAATTTAAATAAAATTCCAGGCGAGAATACAATTATTATCGCAGAAATAATAAAATTCTCAAGAATTCAATTACTTTCCCAAATAATAAAATTTATTACGAAAATTCAATTAATTAAAAAAAATTAAATAAATTTCTTCTCAGAAATTCAATTATTTTTTTTATAAAAAAAATTGAATTATTTTCCAAAATATTAAAAACTTTCTTTATACCTAAATCAATTATTTTCATAAATAATAAAATTTTTCGCAAGCAATTGAATTACATTCAATTTTAATTAAATTCTTCGCAAGAATTCAATTATTTTTAATAAATTATAAAATTCCTCGCAAGAATACATTTCTTTTCGTCAATAATCATTTTCAATACAATTTTTTTTTAGAAAATTTACAGAAAGAAATTTCAATTATTTTCATAAAAAATAAAATTCTTGTTAGAAATTCAAATATTTTTTAAGAAAACAAGAAATTCTTAAATTCTTTCTTAATTCTTCACAATTATTCAATTACTTTTTTCAAATAATAAAATTTTTCACGATAATTGAATTATTTTTCCAAATAATAAAAACTTTTTACGAGAATTCAATTATTTGAAAAAAAAAAATAAATTAAATTCTGGGAAAAAATTCAATTATTTTCATAAATATAAAATTCCTCTCAGAAATTCAATTATTTCTTAAAAAATTAAATTTCTTCTTTAATTCTTCACAATTATTCAATAAATTTCCCAAATAATAAAATTTTTCACGAGAATTCAATGATTTAAAAAAACATTAAATTAAATTCTTAGCAAAAATTCAATTATTTTGATAAATATCAAAATTCTTCTCAAAAATTGAATTATTTTTAAAAAAGTTTTTATATTATTTTTCGTAATAATTAAATTCTTTTTATAACCTTCAATAAAATTGTCCCTAAGAATTCAATTATTTGACAAAATTTTGAAAAAATCTATCTCAAAAATTCAATTATTTATTAAATAACAAAAATTGTTAACATGATTTTAATTATTTTTATAAATAACATAATTGTTCACTGGAATTCAATTATTTTCAAATTTTTAGTAAAATTCTGTAATAGAATTTATTTGTTTTTTAATTTTTAATAAAAATCTTTTTAAAAATTCAATTATTTTCATAAATAATTGAATTTTTCTTAAGAATTTAATTATTTTCAAAAATTTTAAAACGTTTTTTATAAAAATTTGATTGTTTTCAATAAAAATGTAATTAACTTATAAAATTTTAATAAAATTCTTCTCAGGAATTTAATTATTTTCATAAATAATAAAATTCTTTTCAGGAATTAAATTATTTTTTTAAAAATTAATAAATTAATTCTTTAATTCTTGACAATAAATTATTGAATTATTTTCCCAAATAATAAAACTTTTAACAGGAATTTAATTATTTAAAAAGAATTAAATAAAAGTCTTTGCAAAAATTCAATTATTTTCATAAATAATAAAATTTTTCTGAGAAATTGAATTATTTTTTTAAAAATTGACAAATTCTTTATAAGAATTAAATTTAGAGAAATTTTTTTATTTAAATAATTGAATTTTAGTTAAACTTTCTAATAAGAATTGATTTCAAAACGAATTTTAGTTGAAATTTTAGATAATAATTGAATATTAAAAGCGTTATTGTCCAATTTTTTTTAGAAATAACTAAATTTTTAAAGATTTTTTAATTGAAATCGTTGAAAATTTTAATTGTTGTAAAACTGTAATAACATTTAAATTTTTATTTTGAAAAATTATTAATTTATTTTCTTTATTCTTGTGAAGAATTTAAATTAAATTTTATGAAATAATTTTATTTGTGTACTTTGAAAAATTACTTTGAAATACAATTGTATTTTTTAGGATAAAAATTAAGAAAATAATTGAATTTTTCAAAAATTTAGAAGCAGGATTAGAATAAAAATAAATATTTTTGATTGAAATCAGGAAACAGTCAGGAAAATACTGAATCAAATTTTTGTGAATCAACTAAAACATTTTTTTATTCGTTAAAATTAATTTTCGATAGCTACTTTTTAATACTTTTTTAAAATTAATTATTGAGTGTGAAGCCTGTGATTAATTAAACATGAATAAAAAAATATTTGTATTGCTCATTACCATAAATTATAATTTATGGTAATACTCAATAAAAATATACCCTTTTAACCCAGTTAAAACATTTTTAATATTCAACAATTTTGATGAAAATATTTTTTCCAATAATATATTTAATCCCTCTCTAATCGAGAATTTAAATCTTCTATTTTACAGATATAGACTGAGTGATGAATTCGAACCGGGTAAATGTCAATTACACTCGATTTTGTCAAGTAAAAATTCCAAAGGCACTGACAGCGTTGACAGTAGTACAAGTAGTAATAGTAAGCAGACGAAAAAACGTTTTTCCTTTAGTAAAACAAAGGAGAAAATTTTAAATCGTCACGAGAATGATAGTGCAAATAGAGGAACTAGTTCATTTAAAGAAACACGAAGAGATTCAATGGCGAGCAATAAGAAAGTTGATGAGATTGATAATTATCGACAGAGAAGATTATCATCGAAAAATTCATCGCAATTGGATTCAACAAGTATGGTACATAAACCAAATTGTCAATTGGTGAAGCATCGATTACAATCGGCTTTATCACTAGATCTCACACTCAGTAAACTTTGCGGTAACGAACCGCAAGATCAAGGTTATGCATCCGAACGTTCGCCAGAGGATGAGCAACCGCCTTCTCTACCTGGACAGGACGATATTTTTCCCAACGTTACTCCCGGTAAGATACAATTCTTTCTTATTATTTCTTACACCAAAAATCATAAAGTTTTCTTCCCTTTTTCCCTTATTTTTCAGAAAAATTTATAAAAGTTGTCTAAAATTTTTTTTTTAAATAAATTATATTAAATAAATTATTTCGAAAAATTTTTGTAATAACATTCCTTAATAATTTTCAAGTCCATTTGTTTACAAAATTCAATTTTACGAAAATTCGATTATTCGGAAATTTTTCAATTAAATATAATATTAGAAAATAAAAACTTCAAATAATTTTTAAAAAAATTCAATTAAACTTTTTCAAAAAAATTAATTCTACAGAATTGTTAGTTAAAATTAAAAAAATAAAAAGTATGATTTTCAAAGATTTTAATTTGAAACCTTTCCAAAATTCAATTATATCTAAAAATTTATGGTATAATGCTTTTAATATTTAAATATTATCTAAAATTTTAACTACAATTCAATTTTAAATCAATTTTTATTTAAAAATTCTATGAGAATTCAATTATTTAAGTAAAAGAATAAATAACTTATGGAATAATTAAATGTTTCTTAAAATTGAATTCTAATAAAGAATTTTATCGACAAATTTTAAAATAATTGAATTTCTTTTGACGAATTTTAATAAAATTTATAAGAATAATTACATTTTTCAAGGAATTGAAGTAAAAATAACGAATATTCTACGATGAGTTTTATTATTTCTAGAAATAATTGAATTACTAAGAAAAATTTAATTATTTATGAAAATAATTGAATTTCTTCGAAAAATTTTATCATTTATGAAAATAATTTAAAAAAAATTAATTTCAAAATTCAATTATTTCTAAAAATTCACGCTATATTGATTGTAATAAAATATTCAATTAAAATACAAAAATAAAGAATTTATTGAATAATTGAATGTTTCTTAAAATTTATTTCTCATAAAGAATTTTAACAAAAAATTTCTAAATAATTGAATTCTCTCCACGAATTTTAATAGGATTTTTAAGAATAATTGAATTCTTTCGACAAACTATAATAGAATTTTTAAGAATAATTGAATTCTTTGGAGAAATTCAATTAAAATTATACTGAAAATTATGAATAATTAAATTCTCTTGTTATTTAAAAATAATTGATTTTTTCAATGAATTTTATTAAAATTCCTGAAAATAATTGAATTCCCAAGAAGAATTTTATTTCTTTTGAAAATAATTGAATTTTGCATTGAATTTTCCTAAAATTCCCGAAAATAATTGAATTTCTACGAAAAATGTTATTACTTTGTAAATATCCCAGGCGCGAAAGACCAATGCTGACAATAAATTAAACCTTGATTGAGTCTTGAACGCTCAGTGTGGGTAACCCACAGTAGAAGCAGGCTTTACATCACTGTCACTCAATATTAGTTCAATATTGGTTCAACATTGGGCCCAATGCTCGTCCCATGCTCGATTCAAGACTCGGTCAATCTTTATGTGTGAAGCTCGAACATCTAATCTTGATTCAAGCTTGAATCAATCTTTACACAATATTCAGTTTATCTTTATTTATTACCGTGTTCACTTAATTAAATAATATTATAATAATTATAATTATAATAATTGTTTCAAATAATAATAATAATTAACATTAAGTTATTAATTGATAAATAAATATTTATGTTTATTTAGTATAAATATATTATTAATTGTAAAGTTAAATGGGAAATTTTTTTTTTATAAATGTTTTCAAAATTATTATAGATAATTAATAAATAATAATTAAAATGTGCAATAAATATTCCTGACACTGCATCATATTTAATAATTTTATTAATTATGTTAATTTTTAATATTAATTTAATTAATTAATTATTATTTATTAATTAATTATCATAATTATTAATAATTATTATTCAATTAATAAATATTATTATAATAATTAACAATTACAATATTTAACATTATAATTCATTATTATTCCAAATTATATTTATTTAAATAATAGGTATATTATTAATATATCTAATAATAAATAATGTTAATAATTTTGTTACTGAATAATAAAAAATATCAATTATTTATCGATGTTTATTAAATTATTCATTAAATATTTTTAATTTTAAAATGTTTTAAAAGTTGAATTTTGTAATGATTATAATTTTATTATGAGTTATTTAATATTTATTTTTAATAATTAAAATAATTCAGGATTAGTATGTGTAAAATTTTTAGTCATAGTTTTCACTTTGCCCTTATAAGTAACAAAATATACGGCACTGGCATTAATATATTAGATTGTCCCGAGTTCTCATCGAGACTCAGTGGCCGTGCGGTTTAAGTGGTTGCGTCAAGGACTTCCGGAATGCGTCTGGGGCGGGGGGGACGTGAGTTCGATTCCACATGCGAGCGGATTTTTTCATTATAAGCGTTACATAAAATAATAAAATTACTATTTAATCTGTATAATTAATAAGTGTTGTGAATAAAAACTTGTGAACTTGTTTGTAAATAATATTAAAAGTCTGTTAAAAATGAAGTTAAAAAATGTACCAATTATCACAAATTGTCTTTTTTTGCTAAAATTATTTTTCAATATTATTATGTTAAATGACATTTATTGTTAGTAATATGATATTTATATGAAAATAATATAATTATTATAATAATAACTTATTGTCATTAAATATGTAAATACATATATATTAATAACAATACTGTTTAATATTAATAATAATAATTAATATATTCACGTTATATTGAATGAACGCGTGAGAAGCGTGTAAATTTGGGAACAGTGGAAGCAGTCTTGTTCAGTCCTGCTTTCGGCTTCCGCAGCATTGATTGAAGATTGAACGCCAGTCTTCAACAAAGACTGAGCGTCAGGTTTACATCGGTGTTACTATTCCGGACTGAAGCAGCCTTGCTTTCGCTGTCCCACCAATCTTCAACCAATACTGACGAAGCCACAATCAAGCTTCGTAAAGCCTGAACTCACTGTCAGCTCGCGCCTGGGTAATTGAATTTTGCAATCATTTTTATTTAAAATTCCTGAAAATAATTGAATTTCTAGGAAAATTTTTCTTATATATCAAGATAATTGAAAAAATTCGAAAAATTGCGAAAAAATTTTTGTAATAATATTAAATATACTATATATTAAAGAATTCAACATTATTTTCAAAGATTTTAATTTGAAACCTTTTCAGAATTCTACTGGAATTCAATTATTCCATTTTTCTTAAAATTGAATTCTCATAAAGAATTTTATTAATAAATTTTTAAATAATTGAATTCTTTTGAGAAATTTTAATAAAATTTTTAAGAATATTTACATTTTTCGAGGAATTCGATTAAAATTGTATAAAGAATAATTGAAATTCTGCAATGAGTTTTATTATTTATGAAAATAATTGAATTCCTAAAAAGAATTTTATTATTTACGAAAATAATTGAATGCCTGTAAAAATTTTATTATTTTCAAAAATAATTGATACTTTCACAATTCGAAAAAATGTTTAAACATAAATTGAGTTTCTGTGAATAATTGAATTTTTATTGAAAATAATTGATTTATAAAGAAATTTGTTAACATTTTCGAAACTAATTTCATTCTTTCTAAAAATTTTATTAGAAAAATAATTGAAATTTCTATCTATAAATTTTATTTTAAAAAAATGAATTGAAAATAATTGAATTTTTTCGAAAAATTTTATTATTTATGAAAATAATTGAATTCTTCATAAGAATTTTATTATTTATAAAGTAAATTAATTTCTTCTTAAGTATTGTATTGAAAATATTTTAAATTCTGCAAAAAATTTTATTCTGCAAAAAAATAATTGATTTATAAAGGAATTTTTTCAATTTTTTGAAAATAATTGAATTTTGGAGAAGAATTTTATTACTTTTAAAAATAATTGAATTATTGCGACGAAATTTATAAAAAATTCGTAATTGAATCCCTGTGGAATTTTTGTTATTTATGAAAATAATTAAGTGTTTGCGTAAATTTTTATTATTTTTTTAATTAAATAATTGAATACTTTTGCAATTTTTTTATTAAAATAGTAGATATTGGAAATAATTTAACTGAGAGGAATTTTTTGAAATTAATTGAATTTCGAAGAAGATTTTTATTTATTCTAAAAATAATTGAAATTTTGACTAGAATTTAAAAAAAATTTTTGAATATAATTGAATTTCAGAGAAGAATTTTATTACTTTTAAAATAATTGAAATTTTGCGAAGAATTTTATTAAAATTTTTGAATATAATTGACTTTTGGAGAAGAATTTAATTATTTTTGAAGCTAATTAAAATTTTGACAAGAATTTTTAAAAAATTTTGAACATAATTGAATTTTTGCGAAGAATTTTATTACTTTTGAAAATAATAGAATTTCTCCAATAATTTGTAATTTTTCTAAAGTTATCCAAATTTTCATCTTTTTTGAATCAAATTACGGATTTTACGGACCTTTAAGGGATTTACGGACATAGTTCAAGCCCTGATTGATTAATAGGCACCGAAAATTTTCTTTCGCGTGGCAAAATTTATAATCGTTCGTTAATTCCTACAGAAAACACATTTAGAGTGGTGTTGGAAAAAAATAATCGTGGACTTGGTCTGAGCGTTTCCGGAGGTGGAACCGCTGGCCCGGTCAGGGTGAAAAGACTCTTTCCGCAACAACCAGCTGCACTTTCTCACAAACTTGAACAGGGAGATATTCTCTTAGCAGCCAACGGAATTCCACTCACCGGTCTCACCAACTATGTAAGTAATTTTATTTCAAGAACAACTTATATACATTTAAGAAGAAAAAGAAGACGAGGAAGAAAAAAAATAATAAAAATAAACAACGAAATTCCTCTCATTTAAACACTCTTGTCACTTATTCAACGAAAGTCACTTATTACATCCCTTTTCTACACTCGGAAAAAATAAAATACTTTCCTCACTATACAACCTGAAATGCACTTCATCTCTTATTCTTAATATATTTTCTCAATAATTATAATCTGAGATCAGAAAAATAACAGAAAACTTTTAATGAATACAATAAGAGAGGGAAGAAAACCTGGGAATTTAAAACACAAACGGAAATTGCAGAAACGACAAAAAAAAGTAAAAGAGACACTTGAGAATTTTTAAAAAGTCAAATTGAAATAATTTCTAAGTAATAATTGTATGATCATTCTTCAAGAATGATGAATGAATTTTCAAAGAGTTGAAAATAGTAAAAAATAAAATATAAAATTAAAGAAAAATTGTTATTCATAGAAAAAAAGCACACACGTCTATTAAATTCCCAGCAACTTGTATATATATTTATCGTCGAAAATATAAATAGAGCAACAGAAAAAAAAATAAATAGAGTGAAAATAAAAAAGATCAATATGATTTGTGAGTATGCCAAAATGAAAATCTCTCCCTTAGTTGATGAAAAGCAATAAAATATCGCCCAAAGAGTAGTAATAGAGGGGAATAATATTATAAAAAAAAGCAAAAATGAGAAATGACATACAAGAATTTTTTGAAGACACAAATCAATACTATAAAGCAGATACTAGAGAGAATATAAGAGAGACGAAATGTTTCAATCTTAGATATTCGATATAGTCATATAACCTAAAATTGAAAAGTAATATTACACAGTAATATTACAAATATTACGATGAGGTAAAATTTTATTCGACCAAAGGGATGAGACGAGGCAGGCAGGCGGCGCGGTCGATTTCTTAAAAAGCAGTTATCCTCACTTGAAATTTCGAAAGAGCGTATGGAAATTTATGGAAATCCATTATTTCACTTCCGCACAAATTTTTCCATATTAAAACTTCTTCGTGTATGATTTCTCCTGGGATATATATATATATAGATACGTATGATTTTTATAACCATTCCAATAATAAAATTTAGAAAACGAAAAAGATCACCATCTTTGTTTATTGAAAGATGAGAAGAAAAAATAGTTGGAAAAAAAGAGAGAATTTAATTAAAAAGAAAAATATTGTTGAGTCGGTTCTTTTTTTTCGTCTATCAATTTTCGGAATCTATTCAAATTACCCTTAATAACGTTTTATTATCATCCTATCCTTTCATTTTTTATCTTTTGTGAATACTCGATAACAATGAAATAGAGAATCTCCCTCTCTCTCACTTCAAGGTTGAATAAAATATCCAGGGGAGGTTCTTGAGAGCTATATGAAACAGTTTCACGCAAATATTCAATTATATAGAAAAGAGTTATTCAATTTCTAAGAAAGAAGAAGAAGAAGAAAAAACTGAAGGGAAAGAGAAATGGAAATTTTTATTATAAATATTTAAGTTGAATTTTCAGTTTCTGTTTGCTGACAATTTTTCGTCAAAACATTTTTACTGGTCCTAAACTACTACAAGAGCAATTCCAATTATTATCTGAGTCATCAAAATTAATTTAATTCACAATTTATAAAAAGTAACCACAGCCGATAATCAGCAGAAGATGAAAAAATTTTTTTTTGAGCGGACTTTATCTTCTGTTTACTAACAATTGTTGGTCAAAAAAATTTTTACTGATCCTAAACTACTACAAGAACAATTCAAAGTATAATCTGGGGCATCAAAATTAATTTAATTCACAATTCATAAAAAGTAACCACAGCCGATAATCAGCAGAAGATTTTTTTAAATAAAATTTTAAAATTCGGATCTAATTAAACTTTAAGAATAAATTCTTTTTTCCAGGAAAAGTTATTTTATGTCAGAGAAGAATAAACAACAGTTTTTGAGGACCGTACCTTTTCAGAAAATAATCAGGGTTGATACAAAAAATTAATTTTATTTTTCCCTGACATTTCCCTGATTTCCAGACAAAATTTTGACTTTTTCCCTGACCCTAAAATACATTTTAAAATTCAACAACTTATAAGAATATTATTATAAAACATAAAGATATCAATCACTCCGAGTCTTCGACTCGGAGCAATTGATATCTTCATGTTTTATAAAAATTTTAATTTTCATGAAATTTTTCAAAAAAAATTAAATTATTTACAAAAATTATAATACAATTCGTTGCAAGAATTCAATTATTTTCATAAATAATAAAATTCTTTACAGGGTTTCAATTATTTTATTTTTAATACAATTTTAAGTAAATTTCTCGAAAAATGAAATTATCTTCAAAAATTTCTTGCAATAATTCAAATACATTTCACAAATAATGAAATTCTTCGCTAAAATTTAAAAATTTTCAAAATTTACTATTTTAATAAAAGTTCTCAAAAGAATTCAATTATTTAAAAGAAATGTAATAAAATTCGTTGCAGGAATTCAATTATTTTCATAAATAATAAGATTCTTTACATTATTTCAATTATTAAAAAAAAAAAATTTCTTTTAATTGATTGCAAGAATTCAATTACTTCCATAAATTAAAATAAAATTCTTCACAGGATTTCAATTATTTTTAATATAATTTTAAGTAAAATTCTCGAAAAATGAAATTATCTTCAAAAATTTTTTGCAAGAACTTAATTACATTTAATCAATATAATGAAATTCTTCGTTGAAATTCAAATATTTTCAAAATCTACTATTTGAATAAAAGTTCGCAAAAGAATTTAATTATTTAAATAAAATGTAATAAAATTTATTGCAGGAATTCATATATTTTTACAAGTAATAAAATTTTTCACATGAATTCAATTATTTAAAAAAAAATTTTGAAAAAATTGATTGAAAAAATTGATTGAATTCAATTACTTTCATAAATTAATAAAATTTTTCACAGAATTTTAATTATTTTTAATACAATTTTAAGTAAATTCTTCAAAAAATGTAATTATTTTCAAAAGTTTTATTACAATTCTTCGAAAGAATTCAATTATCAATTATTTTTAAGAATTCATGCTATAATGTTTTTAATATTCAATTATTATCTAAAATTAATTTTTAAATCAATTTTTATCGGAAAATTCTACGAGAATTCAATTATTTAAATGCGAAAATAAATAATTTATTGAATAAATGAATATTTCTCGAAATTGAATTATCATAAAGAATTTTATCATCAAAATTGAATTTTTTTCGAGGAATTTTAATAAAATTTTCAAGAATAATTACATTTTTCGAGGAATTCAATTAAAAATGTATTAAAAATAATTGAAATTCTATGATGAGTTTTATTATTCAATGAAAATAATTGAATTCCTTTAAAAAATGTTATTATTTATGAAAATAATTGAATTATTGCGAAGAAATTTATGAAAAATTTGTAAATAGTTGAATTCCTGTGAAATTCTTATTATTTATGAAAATAATTTAATATTTGCTTAGAATTTTGTCTACATTTTTTTTTAAATAATTGAATTCTTTTGAAAAATTTTATTAAACTAGTAGATATTGAAAATCATTGAATTGGTGAAAATTTTTTGACAATAATTGAAATTTTGCAATGAATTTTATTAATATTTTTGAAAATAATTGAAATTTGGAGAAGAATTTTATTATTTTTAAAGATAATTGAATTTTGATGGGAATTTTTTTAAATTTTTGAACATAATTGAATTTATGCGAAAAATTTTATTACTTTTCAATATAATTGAATGTCTGCAAGTATTTGTAACTTCACCAAAATTCAATTTTTTCCAGTTACTTTAATAAAAATCCCTGACTTTTCCCTGATTTCCCTGACCTGTGGCAACCCTGATAATCATTTGTTAAAAAATTGACATTTTTTTTAAAAAAAGTGCCATTTTTGAATATAATTAAATATGTAGACCTAATTAACCTTCAAGACTAGTTTTCTTCTTTGAGAAAAAATTTTTTCATAAGTGAGAGAAGAATAATAAACAATTTTTGGATACAACACTTTTTCGAAAAATATCTGTTTTTTCAAAAAGTGCCATTTTCTCGAATTAAATACCATTTTTAAATGAAATTAAAAATTTAGACCTAATTAAGCTTCAAGACCAGATTTTTTTTTCGTAAAAAAATTATTTCATATGTAAGAGAAGAAGAAAACAGAAAAATATATATTTTCTATTATCTAAAAGAATTCTTATTAAATTTCCGAGAGAGAGAGAACCAGATTAAAGAATGAAAGGCCAAGAGGGAAAATAACCGTGGAGATTAATTATAAATTCAAAAGATATAGTCCAAAGAAGAGGAAACAATGCATAATTGAAGAATTTATAAAGTCGGGTTGCATAAAATTGTCGAGGGAAAAAGAGAGATAGAAATAGAGGAAGTAATAAGTTTCAAGTTAATGACCCAATATCAGGAAACTATCCACCATTTGAAGATGGTTATTAATTCTATGTTTTCAGGAGGCCCTTGAAGTTCTACGGACAACTTCCAATAAGGTCGAGCTAGTGGTGTGTCGATTGCCCAGTGAATCAACCGGAACTAGTCCCGATATACCTCTGCCACCGCCGCCACCACCGGTTCGAAGAGAGCCACCACCACCCCTACGGATATTAAATCCCTTACCACCGCTTCAGATCGAACCCTGTGGAGTACGTAATGGCAATTTTATTTCCTTTTCCACCTCTTTACCCTTCTAACAGAATTTTACTAAAATTAATGCTAAATAACTTCACTTTCATCCAATCGAATTTTTTCAAATAAAATCCTTCTTTCACTTACAAGTTAGAAATCACTTTTTTTCTTTACTACTCACTCCAGATTTTTATAATCTTCACGTAAATATTCAAATAGTGATATATTTTTTATTATATAATTGAAAAAGTTTAAAGTATACGCAGCATTTGGAAATATTTTCTTTAATTAACAACTTCACTACTAAATTAACGATTTTTGCCCCAAAATGTAAATTTTTTAATTTTAAAGTTTCGAAAGTTCAAATGAATGCCGATATTTTTTTGTTACTTCATTTAATTTGCATTTAATGAAAAAAATGATTAAGTATATTAAACAAAATTTACTCTTGATTTAGTAAAAATATCTAGCTTACATTATTTTTCATTTCGTTTAGTGAATTTTTAAAACTTTACTTAATTTGTATTTTATTTAAAAAATTATTCTGTATATTCAACAAGATTTACTTTTAATTTAGTAAAAATGTCTAACTTTCATAATTTTTCATTTTATTAAGTAAATTTTTAAAAGTATTTAAATACAACAAATTTTTCATTCGTTTGAACGTTCAAAAATGTAGGAATAATGTAGGTAATATCAATTCTTTTACTAAAAAATTTATGATTACTGAAAATTTTATTCAAAAAACGACAATTTTTGGGACAGTAATCTGTTCTAAAAACTTTTTTGTACTTTATAAAAAATTTTCAAGTGTAAAAAACAATTACTAAAATATTAAAAGTCGCATTCAGTTTTTCAAAAACAATTTTTTTTTCTAAAAATTAGAGACTTTTGAAAATTTGGGACAAAAAATAATTTCCGGGACAGTATTCGGTCCAAAAACATTTTTTTCTATTCGTCAAGTGTAAAAAACAACCATGTAAAATTTAATCTAGCGTTTAGTTTGTCAATAAATTTTTTTTTTCAAATTAAAGTTTTTTTTGTAAATTTTGGAGGCAAAAAGTGACGAATTCCAGGACAAAAATCGGTACAAAAATTATTTTTGAACCATAAATAATAGTCGAGAGTAAAAAACATTGATAAAAAATTTAATCTGTAATATAGTTTGTCGATAACAATTATTTTTTGGCAAATTAATGTTTTTTGGAAATTCCGGGACAAAAAATAATTTCCGGGACAGTAATCGATCAAAAATTTTTTTTCCTAATCGTCAAGAGTAAAAACCAACAATATAAAATTTAATCTTGCCTTTAGTTTGTCAATAAAATTTTTTTTTCTAAATTGAAGATTTTTGAAAATTTTGGACAAAAAATGAAAATTTCCGGTACAGCAATCGAACCAAAATCTTTTTTGAGTAAAAGATTAATATTTCAAATCGTTCCTCTCCAAATGTGAAACTATTAAAAATTACATACATGTTTCGGAATTAAAATGAAAAAGTTTCTTTTTTTTCAATTTGAATCTTCACCTATTTTTCCAATGCTTTCAAAAAAGCGAAACAAAAATTATTATTGAAAATCATTAAACGAGAACTGTGCGACAATATAAGGAACGCATGCGAATACTCCCCGAGGATCATTAGTTCAAATTTCCAGTATTATCGTTGTCAATAATATCGACTTTCAATTTAGCCCCTAATATTTTAATTATTTAAAATCACAGAAAATAATTTAACTTAATTTTCATTTAATACAAATTGCCAATTGAATATTTATTTATTTATTATTTATCAAGTAAATTTTTTAATTATTTACTTAATTAATTTTTCAAAGCTCCTAAAGTTCTGAGCGTTCAAATTAACGAAATTTATTTATTTATTCTTCAAAATAAAATTTTATTACAATAATTTTGTGTCACTTGACAAAAATATTAATTATAAATTTTCTATTATATAAAATTAAAATTTTTAAATTTCATTACAAACAATAATTTATGGAAATATGTTCACTTGAACGTTCGAAACTTGTGGATCATATTTTTCATTTAGTTCTAATATTTAATTTAAATAAATTTTTATTCATTAAAATTTTGTTCCTTATATTTTCTTTTCTATTATTTTTCAAATGTTTAAAAAATATCAAATTATTAAAAATCTTAAATAGTCTATGAATTTTCTTTCTCAAATTAAAAAAAAATCCATATTGCAGTTGCAATTTTTAGAAATAATCAATAAATTTATTTTTGTATTAAAATAATTCAATTCTCGTACAACTTTTTCATACGAATTAATTTGAAAAGGAATTTTAGTTCAAATTTTAGAAAATATTTCAAAAATTAAAAGAATTGCAGTTCTAATTTTAATTAAATTTCAAAAGATTTTACAGAAAATATTAATTGCTCCTGGACAAATAAATAACAAGTATTTAAATTATTAAACAAAAATCAATGAAATTTTGAAAAATTTTATTTGAAAATTTTGAAAAAATCCGATATTTAAAAAATCGTTAATAAAATTTTTTGAAAATGTTTGTTTAAGAAAATTGAAAAAATAGGAAATTTTCCTAAATTTGGTTAAAATAAATTTTATATTTCAAAGAAATTTATTTTCTTACTATAAAAAATTATTTTTAAATATTATTGTATTTTTTTGGAGAATTGTAACTAAAACTTTGGAAAATAATTAAATTTTACAAAATTTTTTGTATTTAAATAATTTAATATTATCGTTGAATTCTAATATAAGAATTGATTCAAAAAATAATTTCAGTTAAAATTTAAAAAAATAATTGAATATTAAAAGCGTTATAATTTTCTCCTAATTACATTATAATTATGTATAATTTACTAGATTAATAATACATAAGTATATAAAATTATATATAATTAGGAGAAAGATAAATAAGAAATTAAAAATTCCACTTGTAAATATCCATAAACAAGAATAAAACAAAATAAAAATAGAAAAAATATTTAACAATTTTGATACGCTGGAAATTTGAACGACATTCCCCCCTTTGTTTTGAAAAATTAATCGTAAGAATAAAAACAATTATCGACAATAAATTAATTAATTAAACTAATTAAATTAAATAATTAATTCTCTAAATCGACGAAAAATTAAATTTCCTCCTTTTGTCGAAAAAATTAAAGAAGAAAAAAATCTAACCCTGAATTTTTCTTTTTTTTCTGTTCTCTCAAGGAATTTGATATAGAAATGACAAAAGTGTCCGGAAGTTTAGGTTTCACGTTGAGAAAAGCCGATAGCAGTGCCCTAGGTCATTATATTCGAGCTTTGGTGAGAGAACCAGCTTTAAGCGATGGAAGAATTCGACCTGGTGATAAAATTGTTGCCGTTGATGGAGCACCGCTCTCGCCAATGAGTCACGAGGAAGCTGTTGCTCTTCTCCGACAATGCGGTCCAAAGGTAAAACTTCGTCTCTATCGTGATTTGGCACAAACTCCAGTTTCAGCCTTATCGCCAACGGAACCTGATCACCCACTACGTCCGCCACGAACTAGTTTAAGGTAACTTTTTTTTTTGCTTTTGGAGCAATTGACACTAAAAAAAAATGGAGAAAAGCCGCATTAAATTTTCTTACACTTCATTGGAACACAGTTGAAAATATGAAAATCTCTGACAATAAAATTTAACGAAATGAAAAAACGAGATTGGAAATATTCTTCTGAATTCTCTGATTCGAAACAAACAATTCCTATACCACTTTTTTCTATTTTTCTATTATTCTATTTTCTATATTTCTATTTTTTCTATTTTCTACATTTTCTACATTTTTATTAAAGTTTTCTAATTTTTCCAATTTTTCTATTTTCTGTAAATCTACTTTTCTATTTTTCCATTTCTCAGTTTTTTTAATTTTTCTATTTTTATTTTTATTTATTCCATTTTTTTGGACTTTTCACGTTTACTTGAATTTTTATAGTTTTCTAATTTTCTATTTTTCCTATCTTTCTAGATTATTAATTTTTCTTCTTTTCTATTACTCCAATTTTCTAATTTTCCTATTTTAATCTATTTTCTATTATTTAATGTTTTTATTTTTTCTAGTTTTCTATTTTTCCTATCTTTCTAATTTTGCTATTTTCTATTATTCTACTTTTCTATTTTTTACTTTCCTATTTTTTCTATCTTTCTAGTCTTATAATTTTCCTATTTGTCCATTAATTTATTCTAATTTTCTTCCTTTAGTCTTTTTTTCTATTTTTTATTTTTCTAGTTTTCTACTCTTTTTAATTTTCATCAATTCTATTTTTTGTTGTATTTTTAACGTTTTCTTGAATTTTTCTATTTTCAATTATTCTACTTTTCAATTTTCTATTTTTTCTATCTTTCTAGATTTTTCATTTTTTCATTTTTCTACTTTAGTCTATTTTTTAATTGTTAACTTTTCTAATTTTTCTATTTTAGTCTATTTTTTATTCAATTTTTTTTACCTTTTTATTTTTTCTAATTTTTCTATTTTTCTATTTCCTATTATTCTACTTTTCTACTTTTCTATTTTCTAATATTATACTTTTTCTGCTTTTTTATTTTTCTTTCTTTTCAGTTTTCTGATTTTTATCAATTTTTTTTTTTTTTTTGTATTTTAAACGTTTTCTTGAATTTTTCTATTTTCAATCTTTCTAGATTTTTCATTTTTCTATTTCTCTATTTCTCTATTTTTCTAATTTTTCTACTCTAGTCTATTTTTTAATTGTTAACTTTTCTAATTTTTATATTTTAGTCTATTTTCTATTTTATTTAAAAAAAAATGTTTTTCTAATTTTCTAATTTTTCTATTTTTCTAATTTTTCTACTTCAGTCTATTTTTTAATTGTTAACTTTTCTAATTTTTCTATTTTAGTCTATTTTCTATTCAATTTAAAAAATTTTTTTTCTAATTTTCTAAATTTCCTATTTCTTGTTATTCTACTTTTCTACTTTTCTATTTTCTAATATTCTACTTTTCTGCTTTTTTTATTTTTCTAGTTTTCTACTTTTTATAATTTTCATCAATTATATTTTTTCATGTATTTTTAACGTTTTCTTGAATTTTTCTATTTTCAATAACTATTCTACTTTTCTATTTTTTCCAGCTTTCTAGATTTATAATTTTAATCTATTTTCTCTTTCTCAACGTTGTCTAATTTTTCTATTTTCCATTATTCTATTTTTTTATTTTCCTATTTTTCTTTTTTCTAAATTTCTATTTTTTATATTTTTCAAATTTTTCTATTTCTTATTATTCTACTTTTCAACTTTTCTATTGTCTATTATTCTTCTTTTCTATTTTCCTTTTTTTTATTTTTATATTTTTCTAATTTTGCTATTTTCTATTATTCTACCTTTATTTTTTCTATCTTTCTAGATTTTTAATTTTTCTATTTTTTTTATATTTTATTTTTCCTTTTTCTAGTTTTTTTTCGTTTCCTTGAATTTTTTAGTTTTCAAATAAATTTTTCTATTTTCTATTATTCTACTTTTCTATTTTTTCTATATTCCTAGATTTTTAATTTTACCATTTTACCATTTTTCTATTTTCTATTTTTCTTTTTCTAGTTTACTAATTTTTGAATTTTTTTATTTTTCAGTTTTCTAATTTTTCTATTTTAGTCTATTTTTATAATTTAAATCAATTCTATTTGTTTTTTTTAAGTTATCTTGAATTTTTACAGGTTTCTATTTTTTCAGTTTTTTATTTTCTAAAAAATAGAAACAGAGAAAATATCTATGTTTCTATTTTTTTATTTTTTCCATTCTTTTGTTTCTCTACTTTTCTAATTTTTTATTTTAGTTTATTTTCTATTTTTTTTATATTTCTAGTTTTTTAATTTTTCTATTTCTATTATTCTACATTTCTATTTTCTATTTTTTCTAGCTTTCTAGATTTTTAATTTTTCTATTTTCTATTGATCAAGTTTTTTCTTTTTCAATTTTTTATTCTTCTTTTTTCCTAGTTCTCTAAGTTTTACGTATTTTTTTTATTTTTCTGAGTTTTCTATTTTTCTAGTTTCTTTATTTTCTATTTTTCTACTTTTCTTTCTTCTATTCCAATCTACTCCTAGTTTTTTTGCCTTCGTATTTTTCACGTTTACTCGAATTGAAATCGATTTTTTTCTCATGTATTTTAATCGGATTGTCGCACTTTCTAGACAAGAGGCTGTAGATATGCTTTGTGATTTGGCGGTGAGAAAATTATCCCCAGGACCTAATAACAATGGTTCTAATGATTCGAATCGATCCACATCAGGATCCTACACTTCACCGAGAAAACTTCGAAGACCTGCTCCACGAACACCGAGTACAGAGGCTGACAATGGTACCAAAAATTTTCCAAAAATTAAATCATTATTTTCTTTTCCTCAACTTTTTCTAAAATCAAACTAAATGGAAAAATTATTATCAACAGACTAAATTTTTAATTTAAATTTAACTTTATTAGTTAATTTACTATTTTAATTAAGATTAAATTAATAATACATTTAAACTAATATTTAAATTAATAAAAATTAATATTTACTTTTATATTGAAATTAATATTGAATTTAATTTCGAAATTGATATTAAAATTAATATTGAATTTAATTTCGAAATTGATATTGAAATTAAATTGAAAAATATTTAAAAATCCAAAATACAAAAAAAAAAGAATAGAAAATAAATAAATTGAAAAATTTTTGTTTCCTTTTTTCGCAGGCAATATAAAGAGAAAATTGTCCTCGCAAATGTCAAGTCAAAGTCAAGGCGACACATCAGAATCGGATCAATGTTCGATTAAAACACAAATAACAAATTCACAAGTAAATACACCGTCAGATGATATTATCATTGATCCACCATTATTCTATGACGTCGATTCCTATGATTCATTGAAAATATCGCGACCAAGTTTTCTCGATTTATCAGCGCCACAAGATAAGCCAAATTTTCAATTTAACATCAAGTCCGAGTCAAAGTCGACGAATCGTGCTGGCGGTGATAATAATAATTCATTAAATATCGATGGATTGTCCTGCGATGAATTAGATGGAAATTTACCCTCAGAGCCAGCATCCATGCCACCAGTGTCAACGACAAATAATGACGCTACATTTAGCCATAAGAATCCTGCTTATCAAAGTGCAAATCCCTCATCAAACACCAAAGATATAACAAAGAGCAAAGTATCACACTCCAGCGATCAGGATATTCCAGGTGAATATTTTTTAAATATTATATAATAATTCATTATTCTTTATAAATAATGTTTTTAATTCACTTCAGTAAATTTATCATTTTCAATAAAAATATTTTCGTACTTCATTAATTAATATCATTATTATTATTATTATTATTATTATTATTATTATTATTATTATTATTATTATTATTATTATTATTATTATTATTATTATTATTATTATTATTATTATCACTAGCAAATGTTACGCGGAACGTAATATTCAATTTATTATTATTATTATTATGCAAATTACAAAAATTTTTTATTTTGAAATATAAATTTTTGAATAATTTCAAATTCAAATTTTAAAAAAATTCAATTAATTACTAATTTACTAATTACCTAATTATACTTGTTTATGATTTTCAAAAATTTTAATAAATTCTTCGAAACAATTCAAACAATTCAATTATTTTTTTTAAATAGTAAAATTCTTTGCAAAAATTCAATTATATTCAAATCAATTTGACTAAAGAATTCAATTTTTTTCTTAATTAGTTATAAAAAAAATTTCAATAATATTCAATTATTTTCTAAAATTTTAATCAAATTCAATAATTAAATGTTTAATTTCATCTATTAACAAACAATATTTATATTATAATAAAAACTTGAAAGAAATTGTTCATAAAATTTAATTATTTCAAAATGTTTAATTAAAATTATTTAAAAAAAACTCCATTATTTAAAAAAAAATTCAAAGAAATGCTTCAAAAATAATTTAATTACAATTTTAAAAAATTTTAACAAAATTCTTTGTGAGAATTCAATTATTTTCATAAATAATAACATTCCTCATAAGAATTCAATTATTTTTATAAATATAGTAAAATTTTTGCAAAAATTTCAATTATTTTTAAACAAAATTTTAATAACAATTCACGAACGATTTTTCAACAATTTTAATAAATCTTTTTTGAAAAAATTCAATTATTTTTTTAAATAGTAAAATCTTTGCAAAAATTCAATTATTATCAAAAAAAAATTTCACGAAAGAATTCAATTTTTTTTAATTCGTTATAAAATCTTTGCAAAAATTCAATTATTTTTAATACAATTTTAATAACATTTAATGAGAAAATTCAATTTTAAAAAAATTTTTAATAATATTTTTTGAAAAAATACAATTATGTACTTTCTAAAATTTTAATAAATACTTCGAAACAATTCATTTATATTTATAATAGTAAAATTCTTTGCAAAAATTTAAATTATATTCAAAAGAATCCAATTTTTTCCTAATTCGTTATAAAAAATTTCAATAAAATTCAATTATTTTCTAAAATTTTAATAAATTTTTTGAAAAAATCTTATTTTTTTATATTTTTTAATAATATATTTCGAAAACATTCAATTAGCTTCAAAACAATTTCACAGAAGCATTTCAAAAATTTGTTTGTAAAATAATAATAATAATAATAATAATAATATAATTACGATTGTTACTAACATTTTTTACTATAAATTTTATTTTTTTTTTTTGTTTTTGTTTAATATTATAATTTTTTTATAATTTATTGTCATTTATTGTAAGACAAAAAATACCTTGTAAAATAAAAATAATAAATTCCCCAAAATTTGTAATTAAAATAAAGTTAACGAATTTAAATTAATTTAGTAAATTATTATCCTGTCAACTGAAAGATTTTTCCGAAAAATTTTTAAACGACATCCGAATAATTGTGATAATTAATACTTTCATGTTTCTTAATTAATAAATAAATTATTTAGTAATTAGTTAATTAATTTTTACAAATTAATTAGTAAATTAATTTTACCAATTAATTAGTAAATTAATTTTACCAATTAATTAGTAAATTAATTTTACCAATTAATTAGTAAATTAATTTTACTAATTAATTAAGAAATTAATTTTACCAATTAATTAAATTAATTTTCCCAAGTAATTAAGAAATTAATTTTACCGCAATTAATTAAGAAATTAATATTTTTGCAACGAAGTAGTAAATTAATATTTTGCAATTAAATAGTAAATTAATATTTACCAAATAATCAGAAGATTAATAATTACCAATTAATTATAGTAAATTAATATTTACTTAATTAATTAGTAAATTATTAATTAGTGAATTAATATTTTATAATTTGTTTACAACTTTTAATAAAATGAAATAATAATTAACCTGCAACCAATTTTAATGAAAATTGTACCTTGTATGAAAGTTGAAGACGTAATCCATCCAATCTGCAAGCGCCTGGGCTGAAGTGTGGTGCACCATTACACATTTCGAAATAAAATATTTGAATGTTTCCAAATAGACAATTGAAATTTTTAAATAAAATAATTTTAAATTAAAAAAATTATTTTTATCATTAAAGAAAAAACTACCATTCAAATATTTTTTTAATTCGCGCACTGATTTTAAATTTTAATTAGATGATAATAAAGAAAACACTGTAAAATTTTAATCACTTTTCACAATCGCGCACTGACTCTAAGACACTTTATTTAAAATTTTGCAAACTGTGTGTATCTTCGAAAATTGATTTCACTGCGTAATCCTTTATCCAAGTGGTATTTGTCTTGATTTTTCGAAACGTCCTCTTTTTAGCTTCTTCAGTCCTCATTGTCTCTGAAAACAAAACAAAAATTCAGATAAAAAAAAATGCAGAAAAGATATATTTAATTTTAGTTTTTTACTTTACTTTACGATTTCTTTTAATGTAATTTTTTGTTGACAATAATAAATATTTTTTTGATAATATTATTTTCTTTATTTATTTTTATTTTCTTATATTTTTTATTCAATTTCAGCTTTTTGACTTTTTATTCTCAGTTTTATTTCGTTTTGTTTTTTTTAATTGAATTTTTTTGTTGATTCAAATTAATGATTAATTTTAATTTTCAAAAATAATAGAAAAGGAATTTTTTGAATTCAAATATTTATGAAATTTATTTTTGTATATTTAGGTATTTTATTAGAACTGCAATTATATTTCATGTGATAATAGAAATTAACAATGGCAATTTATTGTCATTGACACTGTCAAAAAAATTTTTAATTGACAGAAAATATTTAATTAATATTTATTTTTAAATGTTTCTATATTTATAATGTAAATAATTATTTTTATTTATTTTTGTATAATTATTAATTAAAATTTTAGTTTTTTATTTTATTTAACAATTTTTTTAATGGAACTTTCCTATTGATAAAAATAAATATTTCTTATTGTTAATTTCCGTTTTTAATATTTTTTTATTTTTATATTTGTATATTAATTAATTTAATTATTTTTTTGACTTTTTTCTATTTCAGTTGTATTTTATTTTTTTTAATTAAATTGTTTTGATTAAAATTAAAGATAAATTTTAATTTTCAAAAATAGAAAAAAATATTTTTTTTATTTTAATATTTCTGGAGTTTAATATTTTTATATTTAAATATTTTATAAGCACTGCATATAAATTTCATGTGATAGAAATTAACAATGTCAATATTATTGGCATTGACAATTTTTCTTTGTCATTAATTGTTGTAATTTTCGGATTTTTATACTTAGAAAGAAAAAAAATAGACAAAGTTTAGGTTATGTTTCATCAAAAAAAAAAAAAAAAAAGAATTAATGTAATTATATTATTAATTAATAAAATATGATAAAATTCCATAACTTCCGCTTTGAATGAAATTACTATTGATCGACTTTCATTAACATAACCTGAAAATTTAATATTATTTATAATTTTATTTGTTTAATTCTCGTTGATATTTTTTTGGGGGTGAATTTCCGGACATAGAAATTTAAAAACGAAATTGAGAAAGTTAGGTTATGTTTGATTGTAATAGCAAAAAAAAAATTTTTTTTTAAAGATAAAATTCCCGAACTTCCGGTATTAATGAAGTGATTATTAATCGATTTTCCCGATTTTCATTACAACCTAACCTAAAAATGTGATATTATTCATAATTTTCGTAACTTTATTATTTTAGTTACACTGCCGATCGAATATTCTTAGTCTTCTACTGACACACATTTTTCTTTTTAACCATTTCAACTTACCAAAAGTAGGAAAAAGAGACACTCGTTGAACAATTATTCATTTGTATGGAAAATAGTGACCTGATGGTAGCCCACAAGTGGAAAAATGAAAGAAGAATGCTCCCTTGTTACTTGCCGTGATAGGGCGTGGCAACCATTTTTCAAAATGGCTGACGAAAAATTGTCAATTTTCACCGACTAGGAATATTTTCTCCCCCACTACACTATTCTCACAATAAACTCGAAATCTTTCAAATATTTCATAAACTTGTGCTATATTTACTGAATTTTGTCAAGTTTCCCCAAAATTTTGTACTAAAAAGCGAAAAATGTCTAGACAAAGGCGCGGAGAGAAATTACTCCATTTTCTCATATTTCGTCAAAGTATGATCATATTTAGTCAAAATTTTACGAAATTACTGTAAAACTTTGTGTAGCAAAGAGATGAAATCGAAATATTATGGGAAAATATAGATAATTATACCTTTTTTTTGTGAAAATACGATGCGACAATTGCGATTACGGAGGACGATGTTCTTCCAAGCACCCCTTCGACAATAATGGAGCAGGCCGATTTTCTCGCTCTCTGATTGGCTGAAGGCAAAAAGGAGCAATAGCACTTTGTTAAAGCAGTGTTACCAACTTATGCAAATTCCCTAGCAACAATTTTCACTCTTTTACTACTATTTATTAACAATATTTATAGAGAAATTAATAAATTAATTAGAAAGAAATATCAAAATATGAGAAAAAGCCGAAATTAGAAGAGTAGAAATATAAAATAACTTTTTATTGTGATTTTAATATCGACAAAAAATTGTCAATTTTTTGCGACTGCGACAGTGAATCTTCCTCACAATTCCTTTCCCTATAAATTATCATTACACTATTTTCTCTATTGAGTAACAATTAAAATCTTACGAAAACTTGTATTATATTTACTGAATTTTGGCAAATTTGATACTGAGAAGTGAAAATTGTAAAAATGGGTGAAGGGGAGAAGCGAATTCACAAGGGAGAGTGGAGGGGGATTGGCACTACACTATTTACTCACATTTCGTCAAAATGTAATCATATTTAGTCAAAATTTTACGAAATTATTATAAAACTAGGTAAAGGGCAAATAAATATGGAGAAATATGGATAGTTATACCTTTTTTAATGGAGATACGAGACGATAATTACGGAGGACGATGTTCTTCCAACCGCCCTTTCGGCAATAATGAGCAAGGACAATTTCTCGCTCTCTGATTGGCCGAGGGAAAAAAAAGCGCGGTAACCTTCAACAAAGCAGTATTGCAAACTTGACTAAAATTCAAATCGAACAATTTTTACTAAAGTTATTATTTTCCAATGGTCAAATTTATTAGAAAGAAAAAATACCACTGTTGATTACGATAGAAAAGGAATTAATTCTCTTTGTAAATTATGTAAATTATCAATTTTAATTAAACTTTTTTAGCGATATTAAAATCAAAATAAACGGTCGTTATTGGCACTACTGTTCAAGTGGTAGTGACATCTATCTGTATTTTTACAAACGTGACTTTTTTTTAATTATAAGTGACCCAACCTTGCTGTCAACAGTCAATTATGTCGAATGTTTTGAAGAAATGTAAACAAATATTTATTCTTTTAATTACAGGTAAAGTCTTTGGTAACGAAGATCCAGGTGGAAGTAAAGGATTGCTTAAATGGAAAGGTGTAATGTTTGCTCCAGATGATGAGGAGAGCGAGAATAAACAGAATGGTAGCGTTAAGGAAACATTGCCGGTTACTTGTGCAGAAGGAGACGAGGTAATTTAGAAACTAATTAGTATTAGTAAATACAAAATTATTCCCTTGTACTACAAAATTATACACCGTTTGATAAATTAAATTTACTTCATTTAATTATTTTTCTGCTATTTCAAAACAATTGAGTTTGATTCTTTTTATTATTGTTTATTATTGTTTTTTCGTTGATTGAATCAACAATAAAATTTCTTGCAAAAATTCAATTTTTTTAAAACTTTTAATAAAATTTCACGAAATAATTCAATTTTTTTCTTAATTTGTTATAAAATTTTTCAAAAAGAATTCAGTTAGTTTCTGAATTGAAAGAAATTCTTCAAAAGAATATTTAATTAGGATTTGCAAAAATTTTAATAAAATACTTGTCAAGAATTCAATTACTTTCATAAATAATTAAATTCTTCAAAGAATTTCAATTATTCTCGAATTTTTTGATAAAATTCTTTGCAAGAATTCAATTATTTTCATAAATAATAAAATTCTTTTGTGAAATTCAATTATTTTCAATTTTTTTTTATAAAATTCTTTGCAAGAATTGAATTATTGTCAATACATTAATTATAAATTTGAAAATATTTAAAAAGTTTTTTAAATTAAGTATTAAAAAAATTAGATTACAGTTAATTAATTATTGATTATTAAATTAATTTATTTTGAACATTAAAAAGTGTGTAATTAACTTAATTATTGAAGCATATCTAATTTTCCATTTAAGGTTTATTTTCTTTCGACTTTTATAGAAAAAAAGGGAAAATTTCTAAACGGGATAATTGTTCTTTTTTTAGGTTTTTATGGTTGAATTAACAAGAGGATGGAATAGTCGACTTGGCTTTAGTTTACAGCCAAATGGCAATCAAACTGTGATTTCCGTTGTACACCCAGACAGTGTAGCGGCAAAAGATGGTAGACTTAAGGAAGGCGACGTACTTATTATGGTAAATTATTATTATTAATTTATTTATTTATTTATAATTATTAATTTAGTTATTAGAAGGAGAATTCGTTCTATTATCAGTATTTTTACTTCATTAAAATTAAGAATTAACCAAAATTAAAATTATATTAATAATTAATTTATTAATATCTTGGAAGGAGAATTTGTTTTACTATATCCTTTTTTTACAAATCTCATCCTAATTATTAATTTATTTATTTATAATTAATTTCGTTAATTTAATCCAGTAAAATTATTGATAAAAAAAAGCAAATTCTCTTCCTCTCTCACGATTTTTTTCAAGAAAGGAAAAAAATTTTAATAATTTATAACAAATATTCAAAAAATACTTAAATATTAAAAAAAAATTCTAATTTTTAGATTAATGACGAAAGTGTTGAAGAAATGTCAACGGCAGACATAATCGACTTGCTAAGAAAAGTACGAGGGGCAATTGGCATCACTGTTTTGAGACAAAAGAAACAGAGACTAAAAACATGATAGGCATTGAAAGAAAATTTTAAAAATTAAAAATTAAAATTAAAATTCTATCAAAAAAGAATTATCAAAAAAATATATATATATATAAATCTATATTTCGACACCTTCACTCGTGAAAACTATATATATATTTACGTCAATAAGTCTGTTAGTTATATATAGTAAATATATATATTTATTGTAAACTGAATCTAGTAGAATCAAGAAAAGCAAAAAAAAAGTAGTTCTAATTGCAAAAAAAAAAAACTTTCAATGAAAAGCAATAATAATTCTTGCCTTTTGCATTTACAAATCTGCCATGTCGCGATATAGACTTAGAAGCGATTGCGCTTTACCCTTGTCGAGTGCCTAGTCTTGAGAATATAAGAAATTACAACAAAATATCGTTATAAATAAGAGGAAAAAAAAAAACAATTGTACAGATTGAAATTATTTAGGGTAGAAATCCGATATTTTATAACTTTGTGAATCAAAAAAAAGCAAAGCGTATAAGTGCTGTGCGTTTATCGGATTTTTAGGGAAAGAAAAAGAAAAAAATTGTGTGCAAAATTATGTATATAATTTATATTATATATAAATAATATATGTAGAGAAAAAGAGCGACAGAGAGAATGAAATTCTAAATAATGCGTTCTTTATACGCAATAATTAAAATTACAGGGTGGAACGTCAAAGACTTTGGAGAAAATTATTTTTTAAACTTTCCATTTTGGGAAATTATTAGTTTTTAATCAATTTTTATTTATCAACTACTATTTTAATCTTTTATTCTTTTAATTTACAAGAATTCGAAATATTTCCTGAAAATTTTTACTGAATTTTAATTCAAGAAATAATTGTACAAATTTTTAATTATTATAATTGCGATTCTACGATAGAAAAATCGAATTCAAAAGTAGAAAAATTTATTCAAAAAAATAAAAAAAATTATAGAATGAATAGAAAAAGTATTAAATTAAGTATTATAAAAATATACGAAAATATTGTACCATATTATATTATAAAGAAATTTAATTATATTTAATAACTTCTAATTATAAAATACGTGAGTATTAAAAGAATTTCGAAACTCTTTTCTTCTGGAAAAGGAAAAAAAAATTGTCTATTAACGTGACACCCTGTAAGTAAAGTTATACACGATATTTTTAAGATACAAAAGAAATCAAAAAAATATTTGACTGGTATCATTATTAAATATAAATTACGATTGATATATCGTATTGTAAAATAAATGGAGAAAATTAAAAAAAAATAATGTAATATTTTGATTTAGAGTGCTAAATCAATGTACATTATTAATGCTAAATGTTTATCTTCTGTGTAATTAAAGGAAAAAGAAAGAAACAAATCTAAAAATGTATATTAAGTAGACAATTGTCATTTGTTTTCAGTCACTAGATTGTGTTACTGTAGATTATTTTTTTGTTATCTTAATTATTAATAGTTAAATTTTTTTCAATCTGCAGAAAAATAAAAACTTATTCATCAAAATCCACTTGGCTCATAATTTATTTTAATTTTAGCACGCTTCACATTCAATAATTAATTAATTAATTAATTAATTAATTAGTCAAAAAGTAGCTATCGAAAATTAATTTTAACGAATAAAAAAAATTGTTTTATTCGATTCACAAAAATTTTATTCAGTATTTCCCTGACTGTTTCCTGATTTCAATCAAAAATTTTTATTTTCATTCTAATTCTGCTTCTAAATTTTTGAAAAAATCAATTATTTTCTAAATTTTTATCCTAAAAAATAAAATTGTATTTAAAAGTAATTTTTAAAAGTAAACAAATAAAATTATTCAATAAAATTGTATTTAAATTCTTCACAGGAATTAAGAAAATAAATTAATAATATTATTAATTTATTTTCTTTATTTTCAATTTTCAATAATTGAATGTTTCTCAAGTCAAAAGTCAATTTCTGAGAAGAATATTATTATTTATAAAAAATTATTTAATTTTTGCAATGAATTTTACTTCGGAAGGGTTTCTTGACAATTAGTTTAAAATTTTTGAAAATAATTGAATTTCTATAAGGAATTCAATTATTTATGAAAAAAAATTGAATTCTTGACAAAAGTTTATTTCAAATTTTTGTAAATAATTGAAATCTTCTGAAAATTTTATTATTAATGAAAATAATTCAATTCTTCTAAAGAATTTTATTTTTTATGATGATAATTGAATTCTTGCGAGGAATTTTATTAAAATTTTTGAAAATAATTGAAATCGTCCGAAGAATTTTATTATTTAAGAAAATAATTGAAATCTTTTAAAGAATTTTACTTGCTATGAAGATAATTGAATTTTTAGGAAGAATTTTATCAAAAAATTTGAGAATAATTGAATTTCTCTGAAGAATTTAATTATTTATGGAAATAATTGAATTCTTGACCTGAATTTTATAAAAAAAAATTGAAAATAATTGAATTCCACCAAAGAATTTTATTATTTATGAAAATAATAGAATTCTTGCAAAGAATTTTATCAAAAAATTTAAGAATAATTGAATTTCTCTGGAAAATTTAATTATTTGTGGAAATAATTGAATTCTTGACAAGAATTTTATCAAAAAAATTGAAAATAATTGAATTTCTCTGAAGAATTTTATTATTTATGAAAATAATCGAATTCTTGCAAAGAATTTTATCAAAAAATTGAAGAATAATTGAATTTCTCTGGAAAATTTTATTATTTATGAAAATAATTGAATTCTTGACAAGAATTTTATTAAAATTTTTGCAAATCCAAATTAAATTCTTTTGAAAGATTTAATTCAATTCAGAAAATAATTGAATTTTTTTTGAAAAATTTTATAACAAATTAAGAAAATAATTTAATTCTTAGGAAGAATTTTATTAAAGTTTTTGAAAATAATTGTATTTTTTGGGAAATTTTTATCACAAATTAAGAAAAAATTGAATTCTTTTGTGAAATTTTATTGATAATACTTAATTGATTTTTGCAAAGATTTTACTATTTTAAAAAATAATTGAATTCTTTCAAAGAATTTTATTTAATTATTTTTAAATAATTCAATCCTCGTGAAAAATTTGATTATTTGGAAAAATAATTGAATTTTTGTGAAAAATTTTATTTTTTAGGAAAATAATTGAATAATTGTGAAGAATTCAAGAAATTATCAATTTTTTAAAGAAATATTTGAATTTCTGAAAAGAATTTTATTATTTATGAAAATAATTGAATTCTTGGGAAGAATTTTATTTAATACTTTTTAAATAATCAAATTCTCGTTAAGAATGTTATTGCTTGTGAAAATAATTGAATTCTTGTTGTAGAATTTTATAAAAAGTTTTTAAATTAATTTTTTTCGAAAAATGTTATGAAATATAAATAATTCAATTCCTGTTTTAGAAAATTAAAATCTTACCTTCATTTAATCGAAATTTTTCCAAACACTTTTTCAAGATTCCTTAAATATTCTCCAATTGATAATTAATTTAATTGTTAATGACAAATAATCCCAAATTTGCAATAATAACAATATTAACAACTGCGGTCTTTGTTGTAAACAGTCGAAAGTCGAAACTAACCTAAAAAAAAACAGAAAATTAAAAGCTTAAAAACATTAAAAAATTGTTCACTATTTTACCTATTATTTTGTATTATTATTATTTCATTATTTTCTTTTATCAATTTTCTAAAAAAAATTAGTGTACAAACGTACAAAAGAAGATTTCAACTTCTAAAAACAACCGCAAATTTGTTGTTGCAAAGCAGAACAAAAGTAAACAAAATTTTGAGGTTAGAAATGGAGTAATTTTATATAAACGATTTATAAATTACAAAAGAATATTATAAATTACATTCCTTACAATTTTTATTGATTTTATTCGCAAATATAAACGTTTCTTTTAAATCGTTTAAATTTCTTCTTTGTTGATAAGGTAAATAATCAATCTTCTTACCAACAGGAGCTAAAAATACAGGAAGTACCTTTACCTACGCACCCTTCGCGCATGCGCACAACGCCATTTTTTTCGAATTGTTTGCAATTTTGAGGTTAGTTTTCGAGAAATTTTGTTTAATAATAATATCTCAAATGGAGATTTATTTATTAATTAATAGAAATAATCATACGTAAATAATTCCCAACAACGTTTGATTTTGTGTGTTGTTAATCTATTTTCCACATTGAAAATAGATGATAAATTTTTGGAGTAAAGTTAAGAATATATTTTTTTAATTAAAAAAAAAGAGTTTTTCTTTTCTATCAAAAAATATAATAATGTCGCGCCAGGATGCCGATATCGACTGTGATAAAGTATTAGATAACAAAAATGTAGACTTAAATAGTTATAGAAAACTAGTAAAGTCTTATATTGATTTGGTGAGTGAATTATTATTTTTTTATCATCCTAACCTCAAAGAAAGAGTTATTGTTTTCTTTTTTCTTTGAAATAAAAATGTTGTTGTTTCGCAGCATCTTTATAATGCAGCCCTATTCTGGGCTGATAAGGTTTTATCCTTGAGTAACGGTAATCCAAAGGACGTATGTATACTTGCACAATGTATGTTTTTATTGAAACAATATCACCGAGCAGCTCATCTCATCAAAAGTCGAGGTCTCGAAAAAGTTGGTATTCCTTTTAGTGTCAAAATTTGTTTTTATAAACAAACATTTCTAGAATTAGTTACTCTTTGACAATTTGATATTTTTTTAAATTATAAAGTGATTGTAAAATTTTAGAAAGACATCATGTGTCATTATTTGGCAGTTCGAAGTTTATTGGAGGCAAACGAATTCACGGAGGCATTGTCAGTGATAAATGAATTTGAAATTTGCAACAATATGTCTCAATTAAGTGCCAGTTTTGTAGATCATTCTAATATTCTAGATACTCCAAAAAATGTAAGTATTTTATTTTTATTCTCTCGGTAGGTTCTTTTTAATTTAATTATATTGTTTCTTCTTTAGGTACAAAGTGCCATTCTTTATGTGAAGGGAAGAGTTTACGAGGCAATGGACAATCGAGCTATGGCAACTGATTGTTATAAACAAGCCCTACAATGCGATGTTTATTCATATCAGGCCTTTGAGGCTCTCGTTCAAAATCAAATGTTATCGGCCGCTGAAGGTGATTTTTTCCTCTTCTTATTTTTCTTTCTTTTGCATTAAAATTTTTTTTATTCTACAGTGTTGCTACAAGTCAGGGTATTCAGGGAAAGGTCAGAAATTTTTATTAAAACTACTGGAAAAAATTCAATTTTTAGAATTTAAATTATCTTTATAAATTAATACTATTTTAATTAAATTTTTTAAAAGAATTCAATTATTTAATAAAAAATTTAATTAAATTTTACGAAACGATTTAATTATTTTCATAAATAATAACATTTTTTCGAGGAATTCAATTATTTCATAAATAATAAAATTCTTCTCAAGAATTCAATTATTTTCATAAATAATTATTTTCAATACAATTTTTTAATAAAATTAATAAAAAGAATTGAATTATTTTCTAAAATGATTAAAAATTTCTTTATTAATCAATTATTTTGATAAATAATGAAATTTTTCGCATGCATTGAATTATTTTCGACAGAATTTTAATAAAGTTCTTTATAAGAGTTCAATTATTTTTACTAATAAGACATTTTTTCGAAAATCTTCAAATATTTTCATAAATAATAAAACTCATCGCAGAATTTCACTTATTATTTTTAATACAATTTTAACCGAATATCTCGAAAAATGTAATTATTCTTAAAAATTTTATTAAAAATTGTCGAAAGAATTCAATTATTCAAAATTTTATTATTAAAATTCTTTACGAGAATTGAATTTTAAGAAATATTATTTAATAAATTATTTATTTTTGTATTTAAATAATTGAATTCCCGTAGAATTTTCAAATAAAATTTAATTCAAAAATGAATTTCACTTAAAATTTTAGATAATAATTGAATATTAAAAGTATTATAGGATAAATTTTTAGAAAAACAAAATTAAATTTTTGTGGAAACTCTGTACGCCTGTTTTTCAAACTAATTGAATAGAACTTTCGAAAATTTGTAAAAGATAATTTATTTAGAGAAGAAATTTTGTGAAAAATTGTAGAAAACAATTGAATTTTGTAAAAATTGCAGTTGTTATAATAATATAGTAAAAACACTTTTTCGACTTCTTTTGTATAGCTTTAATTAATTAAAGCGACTTTTTTTGTTAATTAAACTCGATCCGAGGCTTGTATTCTCTATAAAATATTTTAATTCTTTCTTTTTTTGGTGCATTTTATTCAACGTAGTATTAATTTTCTTCGTGTTCTATAAAATCCCTTTTCTTTTTTATTCTAGAAAAAGAACTTTTGGAGTCCTTGCCTTTAAGTGAACAATGTACAGAAGCGGAGGCGGAATTTTTGCGTTTATTGTACGACAGTAAATTGAAAAAATATCAGGAACCATCGGAAAGTCATGCGGTAACTTCTTGTGGAGTTATGGGAGTCCTCGTCACTGATCGACTAAGAGGAAATCTTGATATGCAAGTCTCAGAAGCTGAACGACTTTATTACAATTGCGATTATCAGCAGTGTTTTTCACTCACCGAAAGGTAATTTATTTTGTAATTTAATTTTGTTTATTATCGATTTTTTGATTGCTATTAATTTATTCTGTTTATTTTTCTTTAGTATTCTCAAAAAGGATCCTTATCACAATGGCTGCTTGCCTGTTCATATTGCCTGTTTGGTTGAATTAAAGAAGACGAATGGTAAGAATATTTTCTTCAAAATAATTTTCAATTTACTTTCAAGAATTTTATTTTTGTTTCATTATTCAACATTATAATTGTGTTTTATAATTATTATAGTTTATTATTTTGTTTGTATTGCCCATTAATGATCCTTGTGATTGAGGGCTTAGCTACTTAAATAAATAAATAAATAAATAAATTTAGAGAAATTATTTTTTTTGAAAATTAATTTTCAATTTAGAGAAATATTTTAACGTGGTTGTAAATTATTTTCAGCACTGTTTTACTTGGCTCATAAATTAGTGGATTTTTATCCAGAAATGGCACTCGCTTGGTTTGCGGTCGGTTCTTACTACTTCAGCATAGGTAATTAGAATTTTAAAAATACTGCAAAAGAAAAAAATTGCTTGAAAGAAATTGCTTCTAAAGAATAGTATAAATATAGAAAATAGTGTAAAAATAAGAAAATTGCTTAAGAATAAAGAAAATATTACGCAAAATGAAATTATATTTTGAAATTTTTTTCCATTTAAGGCAAAAGTGATCCGGCGAGAAGATATCTAGCGAAAGCAACGGCCCTGGATCGATTATTTGGTCCAGCTTGGCTCGCTTATGGACATTCGTTCGCTGTCGAAAATGAGCACGATCAGGCAATGGCTGCTTATTTCAAAGCATCACAATTAATGAAAGGCTGTCATTTACCGCTTTTGTATATTGGACTTGAATGTGGATTGACAAATAATCTTAAACTTGCTGACAAATTCTTCCAACAAGCACAAACAATTGCTCCAAATGATCCATTCGTCATCCATGAAATGGGAGTTATTTCTTATCACAATGGAGAGTCAGTGAAGAGAATTTTTAATTTTTAGTTTAAATACACCGAAAAGAAAATTTATTTCATTCAAATAAATGATTATTAAATATTTACTTTAATAATTACTATCAAATAATTTTTAAGTCAATTAAATTTTTTGCTCTAATTATTTTCTTGCTCTAAATACCGAAATTATTGGTTCAAACACAATTTATTTGAATTAAATGAAAATTATTTTATTCAAGTAAATATTTATTTAAGTCAAGTAATATTTATTTAAGATAAGTAATTAGTTATTTTAATCAAACAAGTATATTTTTCAGTGCTTTGTAAGTACTATAAATAGTGTAAATAGTATAAATTTAAAAAAATTAGGATTTAAATCGAATTTAGAGAGTTTAATTTAATTTTCAGTTACAAGTCGGCAGAACGTCAATTTAAGGAGGCAATGAAAAAAATTCAGTGTGGATTGAAGGATGTCATTTTGCCAAATAAATGGGAGGCGCTTCTCAATAATTTAGGACACACTTGTAGAAAAATGAAAAAATATGACGATGCATTAGAATATCATCAGCAGGTCATTATTTTACTTACAATAATTTACAATTAAATTATAATCGATGGAAATCTCTATTAAAAAAAATAAATTTCAGGCCCTGGTCTTAAATCCATTGAATCCGACGACTTATGCGGCAATTGGATTCATTCAATCGATGATGGGAAACTTGCAGGACGCCGTCGATTCCTGTCACAGAGCTCTTGGTCTCAGAAGGGACGACACATTCACCACAACATTATTAGGCTATTTAATGGAGCAATTAATTGACGAATCTCCTCCATATCAAGGTGATTGTTTCCTCTCTCTCTCTCTCTCTCTCTCTCTCTCTCTCTCTCTCTTTACTCTAATTTACATTTATCACTGTTTTCATTTTCTTCAAAATTCAATTTATTTTTTTCAAGAAAAAAATTCTCTGCAAAAATTTCTTTATTCTTACAAGAATTTCTTTATAACAATAACAAAAAATAATTAAAAATTTCTTCATTCTTACAAGAATAAAAAAAATTGAGAATTTTTTATTTTTATAAGAATAAAAACGGATGGAAATAAATTCAAAATAAGATTAAAAAAGAAAGAATTGAAAATTTCTTTATTCTTACAAAAATAAAAAAAAATTGAAAAATTCTTAATTTCAGGCTTCATACTCTATAATTAATTTTTAAAAAATATCAAAAAGTAGCTTTTAATAGGTACTGAAAAAAGTAGTAAAAAAGTAGCTATCGAAAATTAATTTTAACGATTAAAAAAAATTGTTAGTCAATTTACAAAAATCAGTATTACTCTGACTGTTTCTTGATGTCAATCAAAAATATTCATTTTCATTCTAATCCTGCTTCTAAATTTTTGAAAAATTCAATTATTTTCTAAATTTTTATCCTAAAAAATACAATTCAACTATTTAAATACAAAAATAAATAATACATTGAATAATTGAATGTTTCTCAAAATTCAATTCTTGTAAAGAATTTATCAATTTTTTAAAAAATAATTGTATTTTTGAAAAGAATTTAATTATTTATGAAGATAATTGAATTTTTCCGAAGAATTTTATTTAATTTTTTTTTAAATAATTGAATTCTCATGAAAAATTTTATTATTTGGGAAAATAATTGAATAATTAAAGGATTAAAGAAAGAATTTTTCATTTTTTTAAAAATAATTGAATTCTTACGAAGAGTTTTATTATTTACGAAAATAATTGAATTCTTGCTAAGAGTTTTATTTAATTTATTTTTTTAATAATACAATTTTAGGGAAAAATTTTATTATTTGGTAAAATAATTGAATAACTGTGAAGAAATAAAGAAAGAATTTATCAATTTTTAAAAAAATAATTGAATTTTTGAGAAAAATCGTATTATTCATGAATATAATTGAATTCTCGTGAAAATTTTTATTATTTAGGAAAATAATTAAATAAATAAATGATTAATGAAAGAATTTATCATTTTTTTTTAAATAATTGAATTTATGAGAAGAGTTTTATTATTTATGAAACTAATTGAATTCTAGCAAAGAATTTTATTTAATTTTTTTCAAATAATTGAATTCGTGAAAAAATTTATTTTTTTCGGAAAATAATTGAATTCTTGGAATTGAAAAATTCTTAATTTTTGCAAAAACGAAAAAAATGTGTAAATAATATAAAATTAAGTAAAAGAGAATTGGAATTATTTTTTGAAAGAATAAAGTAAAAATTTCTAAACTCTTTTTATTCTTCTACAAAAATAAAAAACGATTTTACAAAAAAACACTTTTCGTTTCATTTAATAATTAAAAAGTGTAAATTAATAAATTTGTAAAAAAAAATTTGTCTTTCAGATGCACCTCTTGAAATACCAGCGTACAAATTTCCCGAAACAAAATTTCCCACCGAAACAAGTGAAAATCCATTGAGCACATCGGATGGACAAGATCAAAATATGGATAAATTGAGAGTGAACCTATTTTCCGCATGGGGTGAAGATTCGGCAAAAGTTGAGGACAATTCAACGGAGAAAGTTGAAAGATCTCGTGATTCATTGGTTAATTATTCATCGAGTGACATGAGTTCAGAAGTTGAAATGTTGGATTCATCGACAGCTCATATAGAATATAGCTAAAAATTAATTTATATAATCATCTATTTGATTATATGTCATTCTTTTTATAATTTTTTTTGTTTTTATTTTTTATTTTTTTTCTAAGTTTTGTCACTTTTTTAAATTATGTATTATTATTTTTTTTTAAAGAATCAAAAAATTTAACTTCTGAATATTTCTTTTCCAAATAATATTGTGCTACTATTTTCGGTAAAGAAGTAAAAAAAAAACAAAGCACAATTTACATTTTACAATTCAATTTTTCGAATTTCTTTTTTTTTAAACCCAATCAAATTTTGGCGAAATATTTATGTATTTTTATTTTATTAATTTAGAATATAAAAGTTAATAAGTTTATATAAATTTCGAATTCTTACCAATTACGTTTGAGTTACGATAATTTATTGATCTCTGTAATTTATAAATATAAAAAAATACAGTTTGTTATTATTACCGAATTTGAAGTTTATTTTTTAATCCTTCAAATTTATTTTGTTTAAAAAAATATTCCAAAAATATTCCTTCATTTTGTGACAAAATAACGATTTTGTTTTTTTTTCTCATTTTAATTTTAATAAGAAAAACTTATAATTAAAAAATAAATCAATAAAATATTTTATTCGCTTTGATTTGTACAGGATTTTTTTTTATTTTTTTTTTTCACAAATTCATTGATTTTATAGAGGAAATGAAAACATTGTTTCTTTAGAAAACAAAGGATTGCACGTTTCTAAGGAAATAAAAAAATTCATTTCCGCTCTGATTCTCTTCAGAAGCTAATTTTTTTTCTTCAAAACTAAAATCATTTTTAGTTGAATTTTCAAATATCGAATTGCAAAAATTGGAAAAACTCAAAAAAAAAATTAAATTACAGTAAAAAATTTCCTTTATTACAAATTTATATTTAAAATTATTTTTTTAATTAATTTTAATTAATTTTACCAAATTTTACAAAATTTACAATTTTTGCGATTCAAACAGGCAATTGTTTTCCTCCCTTTTCGCTGATTGGTCAAGAACTTGGGAGTATTCCCCTCTCTGATTGGTCGTGTAAACAAATAAATGTCGGAAGAACTTTTTTATGATTTTTGAATAAAAAAATAATTACAATACACATTAATTAACATTTCCCGTGATAAATAATGTAGGGAAAAAATCATTAACTACCCAATGGTAATTTTTTAGCTTATAAATTTAATAGCGGAATAATTTTTCTTTAAATTCCCGGAGAATTTGGCGCGAGAAAAAAAAATTCTCATCGCACAGTTGGCAACACTGTAAGCACGTTTTGCCAAATCTCGCCGGCCGGATCGCATTCAGATCATCAGTTCTTCGCGGCAAGAAACAACATCGCGAAGAAAGTTTTTTCTTTATATATAGTGTGATAGTGAATCAAAATTTCGGGAAAATTCATAGGAAAAATAGTGTTTGGGAAAGTAAAATCAATATAAATGGACTGGTGAAGGAATTAAACGACACGAACCTCTTTCCCTTCCAAAAAAAGGGTAACGACTGGTTCATAAAGTCGTCATTTTTTTTCCTTTCTATGTCCCTTTTGTTTGTCCTTAAATTAAATATTTATTAATTTATTTAAAAAATCCCCATTATTTTTTTTTGTCATTCCCAAATTCCTTTTGAGAAAAGGAAGAAAAAGTTTGTTGTCGTAGAAGAAGGAAAGAATCAAGGAATTCGAGATGTTGTATCAACAGGTGAGTGAGATTTTTATTCATTTCTTTTATTATTTTTACTTTTTTTTTACTTTTTCTTTTACTTTTTGAGTATATGTAAAATTTATTCTTAATCTAACTGTAAATAAATTAGACGAATTTTTCGCTTAATCCTTCGTTCGCTTTTGGGTTTGAATACATTTTTTTTTTCGTGACAAACCACGTTTTTCTCGCGAAAAAAAAAAATTCTTCACTCCGAAATAATTGTTATAATTATTTTTTTCTTCCGTAATCTTAATAAACAAAAACTTTTTTTTGTTCTTGAAATGTAAAATTTCTGTAAAAGTTTTTTTTGCAATCGTGTTACAAATTTTTTTTTTTCTTTTGTCGTCCATTGCAAGTTGCAACTCGATTTATTTTTCAGCTGACAATATTTTTTTAATGACAGATATACATATATTTTCTTGAAAGAAAATATTTCCCACATTCATATAATGTGAACTTTTTTTTCTGTATCATTTTCTGGGAATTGTACCCCTGGTTAAGATTTGGTATACGTGATATCGTGTTTGTAAACACAACAACTTGAAGTATATACCTAACTTATATTAATGAGGTAGTACGATTCACAAAATGTTTTCTAAAGAGTATTTTATGTCGCAATTATAAATTCAATACAAATAGATAATTACATTAACAATAGAATTGTTCGTGAAAAAAAAATTAGGAGACTAGAATAAATTTTAGACAAAAGAAAAATTAAAATACCACGAAAGAAAATTGTCGAGTTTTTACTTTGGAGACATTCAAGGTCACTTTTGATTTTTCACGAAATAAAAGTTCTAGATTTGTGAAAATTCGTCTTTTTTTCAAATATTTTGTGTACTTTTTTATACATAGATTTATTGCCGTATATTTTTTCCTGATTTTTTTTTGTTTATATGCTTGCTTAGTGACAAAAGAAATCTTTTGACATTTAGGCTAATAAATTTTCCCCTGTTTTCAACAAATAGAAATTTCGAAAAATGTTCTATTTTTGTTAACAAAAAAATACTAATAGTATTTTTTAAATATTTTTTTAAATTGTGTTTTTTAAATAATATTTTTTAAATATTTTTTTAAAGTGTTTTTTAAACGAATTCGTTTTTTAAATTCTAATATTTTATGTTTTGATTGGAAAATAAAATTTATTTTCTTTGTTCGAAAATTGCTCTTATTGAGGGGGAGGGGAAAATGTCGAAGAAAATTTATGCGATCATGTGTGAAAATCAAATTTTCCAGGAAGCTCATTATAAACACAAGGAACACAAGTTTTCATCGTCTGAATTATGACGCCTAAATTTCTAGGAATTCAGGATTTTTGTCTATCCATGACTCAAATGTCCTATTCTAATTTTCATTTTTGAATACACATAGTTTTCGTAAACAAATTCCAATTAAACGTAATTAATATCGATTTTCAATAGAAATCAATTATTTTATTCAAAATTGGAAAATTTCGTCTCTATTTTTATGTTTTTTTTTCCAGAGTTAATTAGTTTCATGAAACTATATTAATTTTATTTATTATCATGTTTTTTAATTACGCATTTTTTATTTAAATTTTTCAGGAATTAAAATGTTATCAATACAATTTTTATTAAAATTCTTAACAAGAATTCAATTATTTTTTTATAAATAATAAAATTCTTGACAAAAATTAAATTATTTTCAATACAATTTTTTAATGAAATTAATAAAAAGAATTGAATTATTTTCCTAAATAAAAAAATTTTTCAAATAAATTCAATATTATATTTATAAATTATTAATTTCAATACAATTTTTTATTGAAATTTGCAAAAAGAATTGAATTATTTTCTTCAATAATAAAATTTTTTGAAAAAATTTAATTATTTTCAATACAATTTTTTAATAAAATTTATAGAAAGAAATCTCAATTATTTTCCTAAATAATAAAATTTTTGAAAAAATTGAATTATTTTCATAAATTATTATTTTCAATACAATTTTTTAATAAAATTTATAAAAAGAATCGAATTATTTTCGATACAATTTTAATCAAATTCTTTACAAGAATTCAATTATTTTTAAAAATAATAAAATTTTTTTCAGAGATTCAATTATTTCCATAAATTATTAATTTCAATACAATTTTTTAATAAAATTTAATATTTATAAAAACAATTGAATTAATTTCGAAAATGTTAAAAATTTTCTTTATAAATCAATTATTTTCATAAATAAAAAAATTTTTCGCAGGAATTGAATTATTTTGGATAAAATTTTAATAAATTTCTTAACAAGAATTCAATTATTTTTATGAATAATAAAATTTTTCGAAAAAATTAAATTTATTTGTTGGTAAAATTCTTTATGAGAATTCAATTTCAAGAAGTATTTAATTATTTAATAAATAAATTTTTTTGTTTGTATGTAAATAATTTTATTTTCGTAAAATTTTTAAATAGGAATTAATTTAAGGATGAATTTTAGAATTCAATTATTTTCAAAAGTAATAAAATTTTTGGCAGAAATTCAATTATAATCAAAAATTTTTTAAAATTCTGATCAAAATTTCCATTATCTTTAAAAATAATAAAATTCTTCTTCGAAATTCATTTATATTCTTAGCAACATTCCAATATTATTTTCATGAATTTTGAAAAACTCTTTTATAAATCAATTATTTTCATAAATAATAAAATTTTTGGCAGGAATTAAAATATTTTTAATACAATTCTATTAAAATTCTTAACAAGAATTCAATTATTTTTATAAATTATAAAATTGCTCGCAAGAATTCAATTATTTTTATAAAAAGTCAAATTTTTCGAAAAAATTTTCAGTAATAATAAAATTCATCGCATAATTTCAATCATTTTTACTTCCTCATAGAGGAAGTATTGTAATACCGAAATTTTTCGAGTTCGATTTTTTGACATATCTTTATGTTATTTGACCTCAGGAGTTCAAAAATGACATTTTTAAAAAATGTCATTCCGTATGTGTGTGTGTGTGTGTGTGTAAACATCACATTTTCATAAATATCTCGAAATCATGAAGAGCTTTTGGGTTGAATTTTTTTTTAAAATTGTAGATCTCACCTGCGGACATAAAGTGAGAGTACTTTGAGATAGATTAATAAAGTTTAACTAAATTTTTTTTGGATTTTTAATTTTGCAAAAAAACGTTTTTTGCCCATAACTTTAAAAAAATGTTAGGACACCTATAAATGTTTTTCCATAATTTTGTAGAGTTTTTTTAGACGCATCTTTTGAGCCCTAATTGAACATTTTTCGTCCATATTAACCGGAGATATTAAACTTTTAAAAATTCAAAATTTTGAAAAATAAGACTTTTTTGAAAATTTTGTTGAAAAATGTAGAAGTAATCTTAAAATTATCGTTACCGACTTGTAGAGCTTCAAAAAACGCTTCGATTGACCTATTTTTGAACCTAATTCGATAATAAATTTCGAAATTATTGGTATTTTAAAAACCAAAAATTGTGGAAAATGACATTTTCTCAACTTTTTTATTTGATAATTTTTGTTTAACTATTAAATTATTGTAACTATCTTGTAGGGTATTTAAAAATAAATTGATTGACCCAAAATTCAATCACTTTTACCATATCTATAAAAGTTATTCATATATTTCTATTATTTTTATCTCTATGAGGAAGTAAAGTGTTCATGAAATGAGCACCAAAATTATACAAAAAAATATACAACTTGGCAGCGGTTTTAATATAATTTTAGTCAAATTTCTTGAAAAATGTAAATATTTTTAAAAATTTGATTAAAATTCGTCGAGAGAAATCAATTATTTATAAATTTTGTTAATAAAATTTTTTGTGAGAATTCAATTTTAAGAAACATTCAATTATTTAATGAAATATTTATTTTTGTACTTAAATAATTGAATTCTCGTTGAATTTTCCAATGAAAATTGATTTAAAAATGAATTTCAGTTAAAATTTTAGATTATAATTGAATGTTAAAAGCATTATATTGAATTTTTTTTAGAAATATTTGAATTTTGAAAAGGTTTCAAATTAAAATCTTTGAAAATCTGAATTTTTCATATTTTTCACTAACAATGCTGTAGAATTAATTTTTTTGATAAAGTTTAATTGTTTTTTTTTTTGGAAATTATTTGAAGTTTTTATTTTCTAATATATATTTAATTGAAATATTTCCAAATAATCGAAATTTATGGTACAATTGAATTGTGAAGAAATAAATTTGAAAATTCTCGAAGAACTTTTTGAAAAATTATTGAAAATAAATTTCAAGAAGAATTTTAGTTAAAAATTCTAGAAAATAATAATTGAATTAAAATGATGAAAAGAAGAAATCGATTACACCGAGTCGAAGACTCGGAATTGTCGTTTTCTTACTGTTTTATAATAAATATTCTCATAATTTGTTAAATTTCAAAAAGGTTTGAATTTAAGATGTTTGAAAATCTTAATTCCCATGAAAAAATAATAATTAATTATTTAGTTTAAATATAAAATGAAATTGAAACTAATTTTTCTCCATTGTTTTTTAGTTGTCCGCTTATGAATCGGACAGTGTATATGGAGTGGAGCCTCTTGAGCGAAGTGATACGCAAAGTCTTCATCTACAAACGCAGGAGAATCTTCAAATTTCACATCGTGAACGTGATCCATTGGCACAAGGTGGAGAATTGCAAATTCCAAAAAAAGAACGTACTGTCGATCAAATAAAATTGCCAGCACCACGCGAACGAGGGGACACATTGGCACTTTTTCAATCGACAATTGAACGGGAAAAAATGCACGTACCACATCCAAATCGTGATCGTGAGCAATTACAATTTCAGCAGAGGGAACGTGAACGTGAACAGCTTCATCGGGAGAAAATACATCATCAGACGCGTGAACGCGATAATATTCACCAAGTGCAATCAATCAATAATTTTTTGCTCGATCTACCAACATCTTCTTCGTCAACTCATTCGAGTCACGATAATTCTTGTTCGTTGTCAAAGAACTCGAGTTTGGACGGTGAGTTGGAGACTTGCATTTTTTCCCCATATTTGTTACTACCTATATTATTTTTTTTTTTTGAACTAGCAATTTATTTATTAGCAATTTATTTTTGTTATGCAAATTACAAAATGTTTTATTTTCAAATATAAATTTTAAAATAAATTCATAATCAAAATTTAAAAAATTCACTTATGAACTACAAAATAAATTATTATTGTTTATATTTTCAAAAATTTTAATATAATTCTTCGCAAGAATTTAACTATTTTTATATAAATAATAATATTCTTTGGAAAAAATCAATTCTTTTTATAAATAGTAAAATTTTTTGCAAAAATTCAATTATTTTTAATAAAATTTCACGAAAGAATTTAATTACTTTCTAAAATGTTAATAAATTCTTCCAAACAATTCAATTATTTTTATAAATAGTAAAATTCTTTCCAAAAATTCAATTATTTTCAACAAAAATTTCACGAAAGAATTTAATTTTTTTCTTGATTCGTTACAAAATTTTTCAAAAGAATTCAATTATATTATTTTTTAAAATTTTAATAAATCCTTCAAAACAATTCAATAATTTTTATAAATTATAGTAAAATTGTTCGCAAGAATTCAATTATTTTTATAAATAGTAAAATACGTTGCAAAAATTTAATTATTTTCAACAAAAATTTCACGAATGAATTTAATTTTTTTTTTGATTCGTTATAAAATTTTTCAAAAGAATTCAATTATTTTCTAAAATTTTAATAAATACGTCGAAACAATTCAATTATTTTTATAAATAGTAAAATTGTTCGCAAGAATTTAATTATTTTCATAATTAATAAAATTCTTTGCAGGAATTTAATTATTTTCAAAACAATTTTAATTGAATTCCTCAAAAGAATTTAATTAATTTCAATTTAATTTAATTATTCAATTATTAAATTTAATTATTTTCAAATATTTACGTAAAATTCATTTATTTCCTACAATTTTAATAAAATTCTTCTTCATAAAATTCAGTTGCTTTCAAAAATTAAAAATTAAAATTATTAAAAAAATTCAAAGAAATTCTTGAAAAAATTAGAATTTTTAAAAAATTTAGGAAAATTTATCGGGAGAATTCAATTATTTTCATAAATAAAAAAATTCTTCGAAGGAATTCAATTAATCTCTTGAAATTTTTTGATAAAAGTTAGGAAACAAAAAAAAACAACTAATTTCAAAGATTATTTTTCTCCTTCGATTTTTTATATATATATATATTTTTTATTATTTTCTTTTTTTTCATTTCTCATTATTTGTATTATTTTGTTGTTATTATTCTCTTTTTGATTTGTTGTTCTTTTGATATTTGCTATTTATATTTCTTTTATTTTTCATGTATTAATATTTTTATTACTTAGAATATTTTATTTTTGGTTTGTTTTTCTTTTGGTTTCTTTTCATTATTTTCTTTTGGTTTTTCATTTCATTACTATTTATAGTATTTTCTTATTATTTATCTTTTGTTTTTTCATGTATTATTATTTTTATTATTTTATTAGTTAATTTTCCTTCTGATTTTTTTGATTTTAAAAATAAAATTTCCTTCCAGTTTTTCGGTGTTTTCATTTCTTTTTTCTATTTTTATTCTTTCTATTCTTAACAATCGACATTAATACACATATTTTCTTTTTAATTGACTCTTGTTTTAGTCTTTTGAAATTTATTTCTCCCCGACGATATTTGAATGAAAATTGTTTTAATTATTGAATTGTTGGAATAAACGGGGGATTTTCTTTTTTCTTTTTAAATAAAACATAAGCGAATTGACATCTATGTTTAAATTGGGTTATACATTCTTTGTTACAAAAGTGTATCAGAAAATTATTCATGCGACCCAGTTATATTTTTAGTTAGTTTCGCATTCCTATTGAACCTTTTTACGGACTTTAAAGTATAGTCTTATATATAGAACCATGAAATTCGGCTGACTAAATACTGACTTGTTTCACTGTTCTCACCTCGTATTTATGTAAACAAAATTTTTTTTCTCGTGAAAATTAACAAAAAAAATAGAAAAACCTTTTTTCTTTTTTTTGAAGAAATAATATTTTTATTTTTTACTTTTTGCTATTTTTAGTTTTTTTTATTTTATTAATTGTATTGCATGCTCAGAATAAATTTTGTGGTAAATTGATAATAAAGAAAATTATAATTTTTGCTGTGAAAAATAAAATTTTTTTTTGTTTTCCATTTTGACAATTTGTTTATGTACCAAAAAGAATTTTAAAAAAACAATGTCGAATTTTTTTGTTATTCATTTATTCTTTCTTATTTCAAAACAAAATACCTACAATTTTTAATGGTAAAGATGAGAATGGAATTTAAAGGAATTTTTTCATTATAACAGATATGTCGATTTCGGATCTGTTTAACTTGGGATTACCACGAGGATCGTTAATGAGTGGACAATCAAATTGTAGCTCATCTGGATATCGCCATCAACATTATGGACAAAATTTTAATCAGTCACCATCCGGATCTTATCAGGTTTGATTTTTCCATTTGTGTACTTTCAAAAAAAGAAAAAAAATCGAAAACCATTTTAGAAACAAAAATCAAATTTATATTTTATTAAAATTTATTTTATTACCTAATTATTTATTTAAACAATATACGGGCATACTATAATTAAAAATAATTGCCCTTTCGTAATTATAGAAACTATAAAAATATTCATAATTATTTTTCACTTTTTGAATGAAGTTTGTTATATTCAATTTTTTTTTCATCTGGCTAAAGAATTCTCAAGAATTCAATTACCTACTTTTAAAAATTTAATAAAATTCTTCACAAGAATTCAATTATTTTCTCAAATAATAAAATTTTTCACAAGAATTCAATTATTTTCTAAAATAATAAAATTTTTCACGAGAATTCAATTATTTAAAAAGAATTAAGAAAATTCTTTGCAAAAATTCAATTCTTTTCATAAATAATAAACTTCTTCTCAGAAATTCAATTATTTTTTCAAAAATTGATAAATTCTTGAATTCTTTCTTTAATTCTTCACAATTATTCAATTATTTTCCCAAATAATACAATTTTTTACAAGAATTCAATTTTTACCAATACAATTTTAATAAAATTTCTTAAAATAAATGATTGTCAAATTATTTTAATGCAATGGTCGCAAGAATTTATTTATTTTTTTAAAAAATAATATTTTTTGTGTATTTTTCAACTCTATTATTTTTTATACAATTTTACATAAAAATGCTCAAAAGAATTCAATTATTTTAAAATAATATTATTATTTTTTCGTAACAATTCAATTCTTTTTAAACCTTTTAATAAAATTCTCCCTAAGAATTCAATTATTTTACAAAATTTTGATAAAATTCATCTCAAGAATTTAATTATTTATTAAATAACAAAATTGTTAACATAAATTCAATTATTTTTATAAATAACATAATTTTTCTCTGGAATTCAATTGTTTTCCAAATTTTTAAATAAAATTCTACAATAAAATTTTTTTTTTAATTTTTGATAAAATTCTTGTTAAAATTCAATTAGTTTCATTATTATTTTCATTTATTTCATTATTTCAATTATTTTCATTCATTCATTTTTTAAGATCATAATTATTTTCGAAAATTTTCATAACGTTTTTTATAAAAATTTAATAATTTCTACAGATTTTAATAAATTTCTTTTCAAAAATTCAATTATTTTCATAAATAATAAAATTCTTGAAGAGTAAATAAAATTCTTTTCAGAAATTCATTTATTTTTTTGAAAATTGATAAATTCTTTAATTCTTCACAAGAATTCAATTATTTTACCAAATAATAAAATTTTTCACGAGACTTCAATTATTTAAAAAAAATTAAATAAAAAAATACTTCTCAGAAATTCAATTATTTTTTTTTAAAAATTGATAAATTCTTAAATTCTTTTTTTAATTCTTCACACGAATTCAATTATTTTTCAAATAATAAAATTTTTTAAGAGAAAATTTTCTACTTAGAAATTAAATTTTTTTTTTAAAAATTGATAAATTCTTTGTAAGAATTATATCTTGAGAAACATTAAATTTTTCAATATATTATTTATTTTTGTATTTGAATAGTTGAATTTCAGTGGAACTTTCTAATAAGAATTGATTTAAAAAAGAATTTCAGTTGAAATTTAAGATAATAATTGAATTTTTAAAAGCGAGTTTTTTTTAGAAATAACTAAATTTTAAAAGATTATTCAATTGAAATCGTTGAATATTATTTTAATTGTAAAACTGTAATAACATTTAAATTTTTACTTTGAAAAATTATTAATTTATTTTCTTAATTCCTGTGAAGAATTTAAATTAAATTTTTTTAAATTTGTTTAGCCAAATGAAAAATTTCCTTAAGAGAATATCTTCCGGAAATATTTTGTGATTTTTATCCATGTTATGTGCGTTAAAGTGTCATTTTTGGAACCATTGGAGAAAATTCTTAGCCAACGGTTTGCTTTTTATTTGAACAATAAGTACCAACATATTTTCCTTTAAGTGTCTCACTATTATTCCTTTAAAAAAGAAGTTGACCATTAAATTTTTATTTCCAGTTAAAAGACCACATTGAAAAAAAGGAAAACAGTACGATACTATTTCTTATTTTATATTTTTATGTCTAGCTTTGAGATTCGCATATTTTTCAAACGATGAAGTTAAGAGACTATAGAATTTATTTTTTCTCCTATTCTGGCAACATGTAAATATTGTAGTTTTTTTTTGTTTGAAATAATAAGAAAAGAAAATACTAGTTGCTACATAAGCAAAGGCATTTTACTTTGAAATATTATAACTCCTGCCAATGTAATAACTTGAATTATGATCATATCATTGGAGATTGTCCAAATTTCTATCGAACTTTTTTTATTACAATAAAAATATAAATACAATAGAATGGGTATTAATTTAAATACATATATGTATTTAAAATAAATATTATCCATATTTTTAAAAACCGGTAGGAAATAATTTTCGTAATTTTTATTTGTCAATCAAATTAGTAAATTTCTTCGAAATTTTTTCGTTTTCTTTCATTTTTCTCTGTTTCCTCAAGAAAGTATTGTTTTATTTTTGTTTCGAAATTAAATTAATCAGGAAGAGATATAATAATTTGTTCGATATTTGAAAAATTGTCTCCGAAGATGAATTTGTCATGGAGCCAAGTGCATATTGCCATTCTCAATGTCCTTATTTCCTGTGAGTGTGTATTTTATTAAACAAAAAAAAGAAAAGAAACTGTTTCGAACATTTGAGTGAATGTCTATTTTATGGCATATTAAAGATCCTAAAAGGAAAATGTCATCCTTATAAATTGCTATTTTTCCTGTCAAATAATTCAAACTTGAAAAACGTGTTAAGCGAACGAGGACTTTTGTATATCGAGCCAAATATTTTGCTTTTTGAGCCAACAAATCTCTCTAAATCATATAATTCCCCTATGGAAAAAGTTTTCTTTCTCTTCCTTCTCTAAATTGTTGAAAATTCACGAGAGTTTATCTTAAAATTAATTATTTTCCTCCCATTTCCTCCCAAGAAACACAAATGTAGTTGAAAATAAAAAAAAAATAGGTACAAAAACCATTTTTTTTAAAATTGACAAATGAAATATTTTATGTTATTTTAATATTTGATTATTTTTAAATCTTCTATATTAATAATCTTTGTATTCTGGTAATCTGTAATATTTTATTTTTAAATCATATTTTATTATTTTCGAATAAGAATAATTTTTCATTATTTGAATTATTTAGATGAATTTAATTTTATTTCGTTATTAATTTGTTGTTTTTCAACAGCCAGGGGAGGAGAGTCGTGGACACGGAAGTAATTTGACAGTTGGTCAAGAAGTGTTGAATTCACCAACTTCGGCGTCAACACCGGGAAGTCCCAGTACACCAGGAAGTCTCTACTCAAATCCACATTCTTTTCATCCACCCGCGGTTAGCAGCACCTACAATACTCCTCTATCGTCAAATCGTTCACAACACCAATATTTGGGCTCTCCACCGTCTCCAATTAATTCTTCTTTCTACGGAAGACCAATTCGCGGCTCTCCATCGTACAGGTAGAAAATTAATTTTTTTTACCTTGTAGAAAATAATAAAACGAGAAATTTTCAAATAGTTGAAATTAATTTAAAAGAATTATTTCTCGTTAGATATCTTTTTTTATTACGATTTCAGGCATCACAGATTTTTTTTGTCCCCTTTTTACAATTTTGTCACCTTTTTCGCCTTTTTCACTTTTCTTCTAATAAAAAATAAAGAATTTTTTCCTTTTTTTTTGAAATCTTTTTCAAAGTGTAATAATAAAATTTTTTTTAAATATTGATTTTTTTTAAACAAATTAGTTAAATTTTTCAAAATGTATTTAATTAATTATTAAAAATAACGGACTTATAGAAGATTTAAGTTAAAAAGAATTTTAAAAAAGTTGAATTTTGAAGAAGTTACAAATGATTGCAGAAATTCAATTATTTTTTAAAAGCAATAAAATTCAATTATGTTAAAAAATTAAAGAAAATTCTCCAACAAATTTCAATTACCTTGATAAATAATAAAATTCTTCTCTAAAATTCAATTATTTTGATATATTTTAAATAAAATTTTCGGTAAAATTTCAATTATTTTCAAAAATTTTCTTCAATTCAATGATTTTTAATATAAACTATTTTAATAAACTTTTCCAAAAGAATTCAATAATAAAAATTCCACAGGAATTCAATTATTTACAAATTTTTTATAAGTTTCCTCGCAATAATTCAATTATTTTCGTAAATAATTAAAATTTTTTTACAGGGATTAAATTATTTTCATAAATAATAAAATTCTTTTCAGGAAAAAGAATACAATTATATAAAAATTTGTTGTTAAAATTATCTATGTGAATTCAATTTTGAGAAACATTTAATTATTCAATAAATTATTTATTTTCGTATTTAAATAATTGAATTTTCGTAAAATTTTCTAATAAATATTGATTTAAAAATGAATTTTAGTTAAAGGCACTAAAAAAATTTAATTTTGAAGAAAAGTTACAAATAATTGCAGAAGTTCAATTATTTTCAAAAGTAATAGAATTTTATGAAAAAAATTCAATTATCAAAAAAAATTTTTTTAAATTCTAGTAAAAATTTCAATTATTTTCAAACGTCATATAATTCTTTTCCGAAATACAATTATTTTAAAATGTAATAAAATTCTTCGCAAAAATTCAATTATGTTAAAAAATTTGAGAAAATTCTCGTCAAAATTTCAATTATCTTTATAAAAAATAAAATTCTTGTCAAAATTTCAATTATTTTCAAAACTTTTTCTCAATTCAATGATTTTCAATCTCTACTATTTCAATAAAATTTTATAAATGAATTCAATTAGTAAAACAAATATTAATAAAATTCAACGCAAATTTTAAATTATTTTCATAAATAATAAAATTCATTAGAGAAATTCAATTATTTTTAATACAATTTTAATAAAATTTCTCTAAAGACTACAATTATTTTTAAAAACATTTAATAAATTCAATAATTTTCAAGAATCTTAAAATAAATTTAATTTTAAACAAATTTTGAAGAAATTGTTTAAAAAAAATTATTGTTGTCAAAATTTTTAATAAAATTCCTTTCAAAAATTCAGATAAAATTCTTCGAAACAATTCAATTATTTTTATAAATTGTAAAATCCTTGGCAAGAAGTCAATTATTTTCATAAATAAGAAAATTCTTCAAAGGAATTAAAATATTTTCATAAATATATTTATGAAAATATTTTTTTTTATTATAATAAAAATTCTTCAAAGGAATTCAATTATTTTTATAAATAATAATATTTTTTAGAAGAATTCAATTATTTTCAATTCAATTTTAATAAAATTTCTCGAAAGAATATACAATTATTTTTCAAAATATTATTTAAATTCAATTATTTTCTATAGTTTTAATAAAAATTCAATTATTTTCAATAATTTGTGATAAAATTCTTCAAAACAATTTAATTATTTTTTTAATAATAATTATTACACACTGAAAAAAGTTCTACTTGAAATAGCGATAAGTTTCTCTAGAATAACGAAAGTATTAATTGAAGAACTGAAAAATTTCGCTACTAAAGTGAAATCTGTAGTTCATCCAGCTAAATATTTTTTGCCGTGCATAACGAAAAAAGAATTAAATTAACATCAGATTTTCTACATTAAAAAAAACGAATTCAAATAGAAATTAATCATTTTACAACTTAACCAAATTCACCCCAGAAATCGATGAATTCGATAATTTAGAAGAAAGTCAGACAAAAGCAGGGTTCCTACAGAATCTGGAAATCAGGGAAATCATGGAAAAGGCCTAGAATTTTTAAAAGTTTCTAAATTTTTTCAGTATTCCATTTATTCTCTTGAATAAAAATTCAAATCATAATGAAGCTAAATCCCATAAAAGAAAAGAAAAAATGTTGAATTTTAAGAAAATCGGATTTTTGAATTTTTTCGAATTTTTGATAATTTTAGATTTTTTACTAAAGAGTCGAGAGTATTAAATAAGTAAAGTATTTTCCAAAAGCACAAAAATAATGAAACTAAATGCCATAAATGAGAGGAAGAAATGTTGAATTTTAAGAAAATCGGATTTTTGAATTTTTTCGAATTTTTGATAATTTTAGATTTTTTACCAAAGAGTCGAGAGTATTAAATAAGTAAAGTATTTTCCAAAAGCACAAAAATAATGAAACTAAATCCCATAAATGAGAGGAAAAAATGTTGAATTTTAAGAAAATCGGATTTTTGAATTTTTTCGAATTTTTGACAATTTTAGATTTTTTCCTAAGAATCGAGACTATTAAATAAGTAAAGTATTTCCCAAAAGCACAAAAATAATGAAACTAGATCCCATAAAAGAGAGGAAAAAATGTTGAATTTTAAGAAAAACGGATTTTTGAATTTTTTCGAATTTTTGATAATTTTAGATTTTTTACCAAAGAGTCGAGAGTATTAAATAAGTAAAGTATTTTTCAAAAGCACAAAAATAATAAAGCTAAATCCCATAAAAGAGAGGGAAAAATGTTGAATTTTAAGAAAAACGGATTTTTGAAATTTTTCGAATTTTTGATAATTTTAGATATTTTACCAAAGAGTCGAGACTATCTAATAAGTAAAGTATTTTCCAAAAGCACAAAAATAATGAAACTAAATCCCATAAATGAGAGGAAAAATGTTGAATTTTAAGAAAATCGGATTTTTGAAATTTTTCGAATTTTTGATAATTTTAGATTTTTTACCAAAGAGTTGAGACAATTTAATAAGTAAAGTATTTTTCAAAAGCACAAAAATAATGAAACTAAATCCCATAAATGAGAGGAAAAAATGTTGAATTTTAAGAAAATCGGATTTTTGAATTTTTTCGAATTTTTGATAATTTTAGATTTTTTACCAAAGAGTCGAGAGTATTAAATAAGTAAAGTATTTTCCAAAAGCACAAAAATAATGAAACTAAATCCCATAAATGAGAGGAAAAAATGTTGAATTTTAAGAAAATCGGATTTTTGAATTTTTTCGAATTTTTGACAATTTTAGATTTTTTCCTAAGAATCGAGACTATTAAATAAGTAAAGTATTTCCCAAAAGCACAAAAATAATGAAACTAGATCCCATAAAAGAGAGGAAAAAATGTTGAATTTTAAGAAAAACGGATTTTTGAATTTTTTCGAATTTTTGATAATTTTAGATTTTTTACCAAAGAGTCGAGAGTATTAAATAAGTAAAGTATTTTTCAAAAGCACAAAAATAATAAAGCTAAATCCCATAAAAGAGAGGGAAAAATGTTGAATTTTAAGAAAAACGGATTTTTGAAATTTTTCGAATTTTTGATAATTTTAGATATTTTACCAAAGAGTCGAGAGTATTAAATAAGTAAAGTATTTTCCAAAAGCACAAAAATTATGAAGCTAAATCCTATAAAAGAGAGGAAAAAATGTTGAATTTTAAGAAAATCGGATTTTTGAATTTTTGATAATTTTTGATAATTTTAAATTTTTTACCAAAGAGTCGAGACTATTAAATAAGTAAAGTATTTTCCAAAAGCACAAAAATAATGAAGCTAAATCCCATAAATGAGAGGAAAAAATGTTGACTTTTAAGAAAATCGGATTTTTGAAATTTTTCGAATTTTTGATAATTTTAGATATTTTACCAAAGAGTCGAGACTATCTAATAAGTAAAGTATTTTCCAAAAGCACAAAAATAATGAAACTAAATCCCATAAATGAGAGGAAAAATGTTGAATTTTAAGAAAATCGGATTTTTGAAATTTTTCGAATTTTTGATAATTTTAGACTTTTTACCAAAGAGTTGAGACAATTTAATAAGTAAAGTATTTTTCAAAAGCACAAAAATAATGAAACTAAATCCCATAAATGAGAGGAAAAAATGTTGAATTTTAAGAAATTCGGATTTTTGAAATTTTTCGAATTTTTGATAATTTTAGATTTTTTACCAAAGAGACGAGACAATTTCATAAGTAAAGTATTTTCTAAAAGCACAAAAATAATGAAGCTAAATCCCATAAAAGAGAAGAAAAAATGTTGAATTTTAAGAAATTCGGATTTTTGAATTTTTTCGAATTTTTGATAATTTTAGATTTTTTACCAAAGAGTCGAGACAATTTAATAAGTAAAGTATTTTCCACATTAAAAAGTTTGACATTAAAAAATATATAAAAAATGCCAATACTTAACCCACAAAATTTAATTTTCAAAACAAACAAATGAATGCAGATAATTTGCTAACGGAAAGGAAACTTACGATTATTATAATGTATTATTTATTTGCATTTTATTTATATTTAAATAATTGAATTCTCGTAGAATTTTCTAAAAATAACGTTGATTTAAAACTGAATTTTAGTTAAAATTTTAGATAATAAATTATTAAAAGCACCATAGCATTAATTTTTAGAAATAATTGAATTTTGAATAGGTTTCTAATTAAAATCTTTGAAGATTCGAATTTTAATACTTTTAACTAACAATTGTGTAGAATTAATTTTCTTTAAAAAGTTTAGTTGAATTTCTTTTGAAATTATTTTAAGGTTTTCTTTTCTAATAAATATTTAATAGAAGAATATCCGAATAATCGAAATTTCACGCAAAATTGAATTATAGGTATAATAATTAAACGTATACGAAAAAATAATAATTAATTATTTATTCAAAGAAGAAGTTATTAATGTTTTCGAATAATTTTCCAATTGATGAAATTTGTAAATAAATGTTATTTTCTATCAAAGAATCCAAAATTGTAAGAAATTTGAGTATTAATATATTGTTAGTATAACTTTAAAAATTTTAATTTGTTGTTTAGTATATTTTTTGTTCCCTTTTTGAGAAAAAAATTCCCCTTTTCACATTTTTTGAGGATAAAATATATTAAAATGTTTCATTTTTCAGCGATTGCAGCAGTCCAACATTGGATTATCCATACGTGGTTGGTTGCAATGGATCTCGATCGAATTCACCAGCTGATTCTGAGACGAGCGGGGTCAGTAGCATGGACGGTTCACTTTCCGATATTATGGTATTTCTGGCATTTGCATATTCTCTGACATTTAATATTCCTTTCAATTTTAATTCCTTTTTTTCCGTCACAATTGGCAAATTTTTTAAAAATTCCATAATTTAACAAGTTTAATAGTTTTATTTCATAATTCAATTTAATAAATTGGAATGCAAAAAATGTAATGTAATTGGAAATAATTTAAAGAAAGGAAAATTGATAATGTGAGAAAATAAAGAATGTAAAGAAAGAAATTTTATAATTTGCTTATTTTGAAATATATTGTATATTTTTTTCCCCCTTTTGTTTTGGGCAAATGTTTTACAGACTTGTTTGTCAATAAATTCATCGACCCATCAATGCTATCCGCCATCGATAAATTCTATGGTGTCGTCGGAGATGGACAATGTCTGTTCGGGAAATCGAGTGGCACCATTTCAACGTATGGCTGTGAAAAAATACGTTCCCCATCAGCAGCATCATTTTCATCATCATTCGCACAATCATTCGCGAAATTATCATCACTCACAGCAATATCCCGGAAGTTTTCTCAATTCTTATTTGAATTCGGAGAAGAGCTGTTGTTCAACGTCGAATCAATATATGATGTCATTACGTTCACCGCAACCAACGATTCCCGATATTTATATGTCACTCGATCGGGCAGCGCGATGCCACAGAAATGCTGCTGGTATGTAAAAGAAAATTGTATTTTAAAAAGAAATAAGAGAAACTTTGTCTTTTTAGGTAGAATTCAAAAATTGTTTTTTAACAAATCTTTATTATATGTAATCAAGTCTAGGAATTGAAATAAAACATTTTTAAAAATTAAAAAGAGTTAGAAAATAAGCAATAAAATTGTTTTTCTTGTTTTTTAGCACTTTGTGAAGCCACACGCACTTGGAGGGGCGCTTTACCGCCGCGATCTCAGAAACCAACGGGTTATTCCCCTAAAGTTTTCGTTGGTGGCGTACCTTGGGATATAACCGACTCGATGTTGGTTGCAGCTTTTCGGCAATTCGGTTCAATTCGGATTGAATGGCCCGGAAAGGATCAACCCACGCAGAAGGGATACGTTTACATTATTTTCGAATCCGAAAAACAGGTATGAATATTTTAATTAATTTTTCAGGTTTGCCGCAAGTCAGGGAAATAAGGGAAAAATCAGGGAAAGTAGAATTGGTCAGGGAAAAGTCATGGATTTTTATTAAAACTGCGGAAAAAATTAAATGTTTGAAGTTTATAAGATAATTCTGAATTTTAGTGCTTTTTTGATTGCCTTATAAACTATGAAATTACCACCAATTCTTATATAAAATCTTCAATTTTTTTCTATTTTTGACAATAATTTATTTTTCAATAACTTAACTTTTGAAGAACTATCACAAAATTATTACTTAGAAATAATTTAATGAATAATAGAACCTCTCAATTCTTAAATATTATTTTTTACTTCTTAGTAATTAAAGTATAAAAATTATTATTGGAAGTATTTAATTTATTATATTATAATAAACGTTTTTTTTTACTTTTAGGTCAGGACATTACTTTCTTGCTGCACACATGAATTAGCAAACGGTGGAAGCTACTTCTACAAAATTTCATCAAAGAGAATGAAGTCCAAAGATGTAAATAATTATTCAATTTCTTATCAAGTTTATAATTTATAATTCATAAATTTTCATAATTTCAAGTTTCTGATTAAGAATTTTTTCTTCTTTTTGAAATTGTCTACTAAACTTATTTTTTTAAATTAATTCTTTCTTAAATTATTACATTCTTATATTATTTTTTTCTTGAAATTTTTTTATTAACTCTACTTTAGTATTATAAAAGGTTTTTGTAATTTGTTGTTTTTTTAAATCCATGGATTTATTTTCGCTTTCTTAATTTTTTTTTCTTCTTTTTTCAAGGTACAAATAATTCCATGGGGCTTGAATGAAAGTAACTATATTAAATCGTCGTCCCAAAAACTTGATCCGCAAAAGACTGTATTTGTTGGTGCGCTACATGGAATGATGACTGCCTCAGCACTCGCTTTGATTATGAACGATCTCTTTGATGGAGTTATTTACGCTGGTATTTATTTTTTTCATTTATATAAATATTACAAGAACTTTCAAATTTTACTTGAATTTAAAAATAAATGAATAAGTAAATAAATAAGAAAATAAATGAATAAATAAATAACGAGAACAAGAAAGAAAAAATGAAGTATAAATAATGTGCGTGGAATGAGGAATTAAATTTTTCTTAAATTTAATTTTTGTTTTTAAAGGAATTGACACAGACAAACACAAGTATCCAATAGGATCGGCACGCGTAACATTTGACAATCCTTGCTCGTACATTAATGCCGTGTCCGCTGCATTCATTGACATTAAAACAGCGAAATTCTCAAAGAAGGTAAAATTCTATTTAATTCAAATTCAAATATATAAATTTATAAATATTTTTTGAATAAATAATTTTTGTTTCTTCTTTTTTTCCGAAACAGGTTCAAGTCGATCCCTACATTGAAGACGCGCTCTGCTCTGTGTGCTCCGTTCAACAAGGACCATACTTTTGTAGAGAATTGGTAAGTCAATTTTTTATTTTTTAAATTAAAAACGCCCCCTCGATTTTATTATTTTTTCCATTTTCTTTTTCTTCTTTTCTTTCTCTTTTTTTTCTTTTCTTTTTCTTAATATCCCCCCTTTTTCATAAATGATAAAATTCTTCTCAGAAATTCTATTATTTTTTAAAAAATTGATAAATTCTTGAATTTTTTCTTTAATTCTTCAGAATTATTCAATTATTTAAAAAAAATTGAATAAAATTCATCACAAGAATTCAATTATTTTCATAAATAATAAAATTCTTCTCAGAAATTGAAATATTTTTTTAAAAATTGATAAATTCTTTACATGAATTAAATTTTGAAAAACATTCAATTATTCAATATTATTTATTTTTGTATTTAAATAATTGAATTTTCTAATAAGAGTTAATTTAAAAACGAATTTCAGTTGAAATATTAGATAATAATTCAATATTAAAAGCGATATTGTCCAATTTTTTTTAGAAATAACTAAATTTTAAAAGATTATTAAATTGAAATAATTCTCAAGAATTCAATTATTTATTAGATAACAAAATTGTTTACATGAATTAAATTATTTTTATAAATAACATAAATCTTCTCTAGAATTCAAATATTTTCTAAATTTTAAATACAATTTGCAATAGAATTCATTTTTTGCAAAAATTTTGGTAAAATTCTTCTTAAAAATCCAAATATTTTTATAAATAATTGAATTGTTCTTAGGAATTTAATTATTTTTAAAAATTTCCATAACGTTTTTTATAAAAATTCAATTGTTTTCAATAAAAATTTAATTAATTTCAAAAGACTTTAATAATATTCTTCTTAAGAATTCAATTATTTTCAAAAATAATAAAATTCTTCTCAGAAATTTAATTATTTTTTAAAAAATTGATAAATTCTTGAATTATTTCTTTAATTCTTCAGAATTATTCAATTATTGTCCCAAATAATAAAATTTTTTACTAGAATTCAATTATTTAAAAAAAAATTAATTTAAATACTTCGCAAAAATTCAATTATTTTCATAAATATCAAAATCCTTCTCAGAAATTAAATTATTTATTAAAAAATTGATAAATTCTTTACAAGAATTGAATTTTGAGAAACATTCAATTATTCGATATATTATTTATTTTTGTATTTAAATTTTTACTTTGAAAAATGATTAATTTTTTGTTTTGTCAAATTTCATTGAATTAAATTTTATATTTAAAAGAATTTAATTTTTGTTAGTTTTAAAATATAATCGTATTTTTTAAGAATTATTATATTTTGAAAAATTTCGTTTTTAGTTGTTTTATTTTGTTATTTTATTTTTATTTTATTTTCTTTTATTATTAATTTGTAATTTTTTTATTTTATTACTTTATTCTTATTTTATTATTTTACTTTTATTTTATTGTTAATTAATTATTATTCCACTAAATTTGTCCCTCAATTTTCCACTTTTTTACTTAAAATTATATTCTTCTAGGACAAGTAAGTCTTTGTGTGTATAAAAATTAAAAACATATTATTTCCTTTTTTTTGTGACGATTTTTATTAATAGAATAATTAATTTTCTCCTGTCTAATTTATTGATTCGATTAATTGCAGATGTGCTTCCGTTACTTCTGTCGTAATTGTTGGCAATGGCAACATTCAACCGAAGGTTTACGAATGCACGAACCACTGACTCGCAATTCAAAAAGCAACCAGATGGTTGGAATGACACCAAATTATGGTTCATATACACGATACTCCAACACCTTCTCAATGTGATGTAAACACGAAACGGAAAGAAAAAACACAAGGATAAGGAAGAATTTTGTGATCTCTTAGAAAGTTCAAGTTTTTTGTTTTGACTAGTTATTTCTCTAGACATTGCACAGTAGAATTTATTTATATTTTTTTTAAATCCGCATTTTTTCTATAACAGTGCATAAAAAGAAAGAAAGTTTCTAAGCTGCAGGCAGCTAGTCTTGACGAGAAAACACAATAGATCCTTAGTAATCGATTAGTTTACAAAAGAGAGATTTTTTGTTATCACTATTTGTTTCAAATGATATACAAAAAGATTTAAAGTGAAGAAGTTAAGTCGATAATAATACGTGGATAATTTATCCATAGAAATTACGATCAAAAAAAAAAAAATTTTTTTATTAAGCATTTATAAACGGGACAGTATCTCTCGTGGATTTTTTTCTTTTTTTTTTTACTTGAAATCGTTGAAAATGAGAAACGGAGAGTTTGGCAAATACCACACAAAGTGATTAGTGGCGGTACTTGTTTATCATGCTTCATTTAATTAAATTCAAGATTCTCTCGATTATTGTCTTTTATAGTGACAATATTTTCTTTTTATCTAATAATAATAATAATGATAAAATTACATCGGATTCTATAGAAATCTTAATTCTCGATAGTTGTATTTTTTCTGAATTACTTAAAAAAAAAAGGAAAGTTATCGAAAAAGGAGGGAAAAAAAAATCACTAAAAAATATTTAGAAACAAATTCTGGAAAATGAAAAAAAAAAGAAACTTGTTTAATATATTAAGAGGATATTTTTTTAGATTTATAAAAATTTTCTTGAAAAGATGTTCGACTACGAGTCGCGTTTTTTTTTTAATGATTATTTGATGAGATTTCTTTGAAGCTGGATAAAGTTTAAACAAAATAATTCGTATTGTCCGTTTTGAGCAGCAAATTTTTTGTTTAAAATTTTTTTTCTACAACAGTCCAATTGGCGTTTAACTACCAATTTACGTGTTAATTTTTTTTTTTTTTTTGAAACATTGATCTGTTAGCTTTTTTTTACATTTTGCTATATTTGAAAAAGAGGGGGAAAAAAAGAAATGTACGTTTGGTAGAAAAATAGACTTGGTTAATTTATGATTATTAGATTTAAGTCGCGAGCGAAAAGGGCGGATTTGTTTATCGCTTTAAATTTATTGGACTGTTTAATCGTTGACGAAACGGAAGAGTACTAATGGTCTATATATATAAATATATATACGATTCATGAGCGGATTGTAGGAAATAGATTATGTTTTTATTTTTTGTTACGATCTTGCGTCTTGTAATTTGTTTGAAAAAGCCATATATAATTTCAAAAATCGAGATACTTATATTTTGATACATGATTTTGTTAATCGATAAAGAGAAAGAAAACATTTATACTTTTTGCAAAAACAAAAAAAAAATTCGATTGTTAATTTATTTATTATTTTTTTCATTTCATTGCCAAATTAGAATTTTTTTCCACTTCCTATAATTCCCGCCCAGCGAAAAAAAAACAAAGAAACAAAAAACGAAAATTACACTTTTATCTACTTATCAATTTTATCGTGTTGGGATTTTTGAATTTTATCCAAAATTTTCAATTTTATCTCGCTAAAAATCTCGCTGAAAATTTTATCTTACGAAAAAGTAAACCGATACTTGAGGAATAAAATTTTTTAAGGTTCATCTGCGATTATGTATTTTTTATCTTTGAGTTGATACTAGAAATTAATTTTTTCTTCTCCAGAAAAATTAATGTTTCTCATAATCAATATTAAGATTATACTTATGAAATAATTTTCTAGTTTCTCGTATTAACTCAAAAGTTTAAAAAAAACAAGTTATAAAGTAAAGGCGAAATTAGCAATTTTATTTAAATTTTAAAAAATCTTGATTTTATTATAATTAAAGAAAAAGAAAGATCACTAATTGTAGTAGAAATTAATGCCAAAGAAAAACGTTTTCTTAAAATACTAAAAAAAAAATTAACAAAGACGTTTGATTATTTTTAATTAAAATAAGCATTAATTATATGCTGGAAATTCTTTAATGTAATGAAATTAGAAAAGTTAAGTAGTTACTGTTTTTAATTATATATTTAAAATTCTAATAGATAAATTAAAAATAAAATTCCTACATTGTTCAAAAGTTTCAAATTTACAAATAATAATAATAATTATTATAACCAGTTTATAAAGAATAATTTATTAAATAATCGATAAAATATTCTTTACAAAATATGACGATTTAAAAAAAATACTATTATAAAAGTTATAATGTTTTAAAAAAAAATAATTGTTCTAGTTACATAAATATAAGAATTTTTGAATAATTATAAAAAAAGTTATACTCACAATGTAGTTGAATTCTTAATATAATATAGGAAAAATGCTTTTGAAATAATTATTTGGTTTATTTTGGGTGTGTGAAATTTTCCCAAAACCCTGAAATAATAATTTTCGAAAATTGTTTTCTATATTTTTTTTATAATAAAACTTTTTTAGTTTTCATTATTATATATCTATTTTTTAAATTTAATTTTCTGCATTATAATAATAAACTTATTTGATAAATAACTTAATTATATCTTTATAAATATATTAACTAAACTAATTAATAATTAATAACTGATTTAATTAAGTAAACAAGCATCAGTTCAAATTTTCGCGGTGAATGAGAAAAGCCAATAAGCATAATCCATGTGTGAATGCGCCTTTAGGTTGTAGGCAATCATAAAGGCGCATTCACTACTGAGTCACGTTTGTTACAAGCATTCTGATTGGCTGTTTATTGTTTGTATATTCATAATCAGCTGACAAATGACAGATGACATGTAGCAGAACACAGAAGACAAATGAAGAGAGTCCTGTCAAGACGTGTGTTGATATTGTCTCATTGTTGTCCTATTTTTAAGTAAATTATATTATTTATTAAACTGTAATTTAAAAAAAAAATCTATACAATTAATTCAATGGTTAATCAAGTAATTATTCCTCAATCGAAATATGAATTATTAATCGACATACAAAAGTAAGTACACACAATAATATTGATTTGATACACTTTTTTTTGTTATTATTATTATTAATTTATCCGTGTCACTTATAAATAAGAATAGATGACATAAAAATTGATTGATCTGGATAAAAAAAAAGGTATTCAAGCATATTCAAGTGACGCAAATTGTTTATCTTGGTTCATTGGAAAATTATCTGTTTTGTAAATGAATAACATAAATATTTTCTCTCTAAATAAACATTTTGTTTTTTTTTCTATAAGTATAGTCAAGGTTAGAGTAGTTTTTTTTGTTCTTGTTTTTACTAGTATCTTTTGTGTCTGATAAAATTATCTATTGTTTATAGACCTCGTTTGAGCAAGCAGGTTCTTTGTCTTGCCCTAACCTTTTCAACAGTTGGGGCATTATTCATAACTCGCACCTGGGTAGGACTGTCAACTGCTAGATCAACGAGGGAATTTGTTGTTGGGGAGAAAATTGAAAATGCCCAGATTACTGCGTGGTTACATCGGTCACGGCTGTACGCCGAGTCGACGAAGGAGAACAAGAATTCGTCCAGGAATGCAATCGTTAAATCAACCGATGATTATGCCAAAGATCCCACAGGGTAATTAAATATTACATTTTCGTAAACTATTTTGCACACTCATCTACTAAAACCTACTATTTACTACTTTTTTTTACAATTTGCTACTATTTGGATACTTTTTTATTAATAATAAATATTTTCATAAATAATAATAATTTTTCAATGGATTTCAATCATTTTTTAAAATTTTAATAAAATTCTACCAGAAAATTCAATTATCTTCATAAAAAGTAAAATTCTTTTGAAGATATCAATTATTTTTTTTAATAATAAAATTCTTAGGAGGATTTCAATTATTTTTATAAATAACATAATTCTTCGCTGGAATTCAATTATTTTTTCAAATAATAAAATTTTTCACGAGTATTCAATTATTCTTAATGCAATTTCAATAAAATTTCTTAAAAGAATTGAATGATTGTTAAATAATTTTAATAAAACGGTCGCAAGAATTTATTTACTTTTATAAATAACAAAATTTTTGTGCCTTTTAAATTCCATTATTTTTTAATACAATTTTACGAAAAATTCTCAAAAGAATTGAATTATTTAAAAAATTTTCTATATTTTTCGTAAAAATTCAATTCTTTTTAAAACCTTTAATAAAATTCTCCCTAAGAATTCAATTATTTTGAAAAATTTTGATAAAACTCATCTTAAAAATCTAATTATTTATTTAATAACAAAATTGTTAAAATGAATTCAATTATTTTTATAAATAACATAATTCTTCGCTGAAATTCAATTATTTTCTCAAATAATAAAATTTTTCACGAGTATTCAATTATTTTCAATGAAATTTTCATAAAATTTCTTAAAAGAATTGAATGATTGTTAAATAATTTTAATAAAATGGTCGCAAGAATTTATTTATTTTTATAAATAATACAATTTTTGTGCAATTTAAATTCCATTATTTTTTAATACAATTTTACGAAAGATTCTCAAAAGAATTCAATTATTTTAAAATTTTTAAAATAACAAAAAATTATTAACATGAATTCAATTATTTTTATAAACAACATAATTCTTAGCTAAAATTCAATTATTTTCAGAATGTTTAATAAAATTTTGCAATAATATCTTTTTTTCAAAAATTTTGATAAAATTCTTCTTAAAAATTCAATTATTTTCATAAATAATTGAATTGTTCTCAAAATTTTAATTAATTTTCAAAGATTTTAATAAAATTCTTCTCAAGAATTCAATTATTTTCATAAATATCAAAATTCTTCTCAGAAATTGAATTATTTGTTAGAAAATTGATAAATTGTTTTCTTTAATTCTTTACAATTACTCAATTATTTAAAAAGAATTAAATACAATTCTTCGCAAGAATGCAATTATTTTCAAAAATTTTCCATAACTTTTTTTTATAAAAATACAATTGTTTTCATTAATTAATTTCCTAAGATTTTAATGAAATTCTTCGTAAGAATTCAATTATTTTCATAAATATCAAAATTCTTCTTAGAAAATTATTAGAAAAAAATTAATTCTTCGCAAGAATTTAATTATTTTTATAAATAATTGAATTACTCTAAAGAAAATAATTGAATTTTTCAAAAATTTAGAATAAAAGTTCTCAGCAGGATTTGAATAAAAATAAATATTTTTTTGATAGAAATCAAGAAACAGTCAGGGAAATACTAAATCAAATTTTTGTGAATCGATTAAACCAATTAATTAAAATTAATTTTCAAAATAGGTACTACCTGACAATTTTCATTTTTAAAAATATTAATTACCTTTTCTTTCTTATTTTATTTATTTTATGTTTTATTTTCTTTATCTTTTATATTTTACTTCCATTTTTTCATTTTGTTATTTCTTTTTAATATTTTTGCAAATTTCTTTTCAATTTTTTTTGTTTTGTTTATTTAACAAGTGAAATAAGTGTTTCATTTATCACTCTTCCTATAATCGATCAAAAAAATATAAACAATTTTATTTAACTCGATTTTATTTTTGATTTACAGGAAAAAGTTGGTCTGCTATTACTCCATATCAGAAAAAATGATGAACACGACGGAAGAACTCATTCCGTCGCACGTTGACCCTCATATTTGTACGCATATTATCGTGGGTTTTGCAAGCGTGGTAAATTGCACTTTAAATTTAGGCAATTACTTATGGGTTTATCGTGAAATTGCCAATCTTCGAATTAAAGAGCCAAAACTCAAGGTGATGATAAGTGCAGGCGGAATAAATGAGGTGAATTCTGGATTTCCACAAATGGTCAGAACACACGCAAATAGAAAAATGTAATAATTCTTTTAACTATCTTTAACATTTCTTTTTATTTGAGAATTAAAATACGAATTATATCAAAATTGTTATTTATCGATTACAATGTCTTTATTTAGATAATTATGAATAGAAGTAAACAGTTGATAATTTTTAATGGAAATATTATTTTCAATATAATGGAAATATTATTATATATTCTATTAATAATTAACTCTTGATAAATCAATAATACTTCTGTTTAAATTATTTTTCAGTTTTATCAGATCAGTATTAAATATAACAAAGACATTGGAACTCGATGGACTTGATATCGATTGGGAATTTCCAGCATGGAATGGAGCGAATAGTCGGGAAAAAATATTTTTTGTTCAACTTCTTCAGGAGTTGAGAAAGGAATTTAGTCGCAGTGATCAGAAATTACTACTTTCTGCTGCTGTCGCAGCTCCAGATTCCATTATTGATCAAAGTTATAATATTCCAGAAATAGCCAAGTAAGTGAGAACAATATTATTAATAATTAATTAATGAATTACATTAACAATTCATTTATTAATTAATTTTATTTTATATTCACTGTACATATTTTATGCCCTTCTGCTTTGATCGCATTAATTAATTTATTAATTAAAAATATATTATTAATCGTTGTATTCAATTTCTTTTTTTCCTTCTATATTTCAACGTCAATTTCTCACGTGTAACATTTTCTACTTTTGTTAATGAATAAATATTAATATTTGTTAATTAATAAAATTTAATTTTTATTAATTCTCCTTACAGATACGTTGACTTTGTGAATTTAATGTCATACGATTATCATTCCTATGTGTGGTATTATCCATTAACGGGTTTAAATTCACCATTATTTCCACGTTCAACGGAAAAGGGATTTTTGGCGAGTTTAAATGTTAATTATTCCACAAATTATTGGATAATGAAGGGCATGCCAAAGGAGAAAATTATTATTGGCATTCCAACTTATGGACATTCCTATAAACTCACTAATCCAAGGAATCATGATGTGGAAGCGCCGGCAAAGGGAATTGGTTCACTTGGCGACGATAGTTTTGTGCCATATTACACGGTTTGTCAATTTCTTCAGGGAGGTGCAAATTTTAAATTTCTCAACGACAGTCTCGTGCCGTACGCTTATAAAAATGACGAGTGGATATCGTACGATAATATTGACAGCGTAATTCAAAAAGTGAGTATTTCATCTTATTTTAATTTTCAATTATTACACAGGGTTGTCACAAAAATTTAATTTTGTTCTCCCTGATTTCCAGATAAAATTTTAATTAATTCCCTGACCCTAAAGAATATTCTGATTCACTCTAGAAATTATTAGCTACTCAAAAAAAAAAAAAAATGTTCTATTACATTTATTTACAAATTTCTTTAAATGAAAATTATTCGAAAACATCAATAACTTTTTTTTTAAATAAATATTTAATTATTATTTTTCCGTAGGAATTAAAAATAATTTTTGAAAAAGTTCTTCTATGAAAATTTTTAAATTCACTTGTTTAAAATTCAATTATTCGGAAATTCTTCAATTAAATATACATTAGAAAATAAAATAATAATTTTAAAAAATTTCGATTAAGCTTTTTGAAAAAAAATTAGTTCCATAGAATTTTTAATTCAAAATATAAAAAATTCAAATTTTCAAAGATTTTAATTTGAAACCTTTACAAAATTCAATTATTTATAAAAATTCACGATATGTTTTTAATATTCAATTTTTATTTAAAATTGTAACTAAAATTCATTTCTAAATCAACTTTTATTAAAAAATTCTACGAGAATTCAATTATTTAAATACAAAAACAAATAATTTATTGAATAATTGAATGTTTCTTTAAATTGAATTCTCATAAAGAATTTTATCAACAAATTTTAAAATAATTAAATTCTTTTGACGAATTTTAATACAATTTTTAAGATAAATTTGCATTTTTCAAGAAATTTGATTAAAATTGTATTAAAAATAATTGAAATTCTGCGATGAGTTTTAATATTTATAAAAATAATTGAATTCCTAGAAAGAAGGTTATTATTTATGAAAATAATTAAAATTTGTCTTAAATAATTAAATTCTTTTGGAAAACTTTATTAAAATAGTAGATATTACAAATCATTAAATTGAGGAAAATTTTAGGAAATAATTGAATTTTTGATAAGAATTTTATTAAAATTTAAAAAAAAAATTGAATTTCGGATAAGAATTTTATTAAAATTTTGAAAAAATTGAATTTTGGAGCAGAATTTTATTAAGTTTGAAAATAATTAGGATATTTAAGAAAATTAAAAATTTATAGGATCATAATTGAATTACCGCGAAAGCTTCTATTATACTTTTGAAAATAATTGAATTTCTGTAATCATTTGTAACTTTCATCCAAAATTCAATAAATTTTAGTGTTTTTAATTAAAATTCATTTTTAAAACAATATTTACTTGAAAATTTTACATGAATTCAATTATTTGAATCCAAAAATAAATAATTTATTGAATAATTGAATGTTTCTTAAAATTCAATTCTCATAAAGAATTTTATCAACAAATTCTTAAATAATTGAATTCTTTCCACGAATTTTAATTAAAAATTTTTAAATAATTGAATTCTATTGGGAAAATTTTATTAAAATAGTATTAAAAATAATTGAATTTTTTAGAAAAATTGTATTATTTTTAAAAAGAATTGAATTCTTGTTAAGAATTTTATTGAAATTTTATCAAAATTAATTCAATTCTTGCGAAAAATTTTAATATTTACGAAAATAATTGATTTATAAAGAAATTTTTAAACATTTTCAAAAATAATTCAATTCTTTTTATGAATTTTATTAAAAAATTGGTTTGGAAATAATTATTTATGAAAATAATTGAATTTTTTCAAACAATTTTATTATTTTGGAAATTGATAGAAATTTCTTTCTATAAATTTTATTAACAAATTGTAATTAAAATAATTGAATTTTAGTGAAAAAATTTAATTATTTATGAAAATAATTAAATTCTTGTGAAGAATTTTATTAAAATTGTATCAAAAGAATTCAATTCCTGCAAAAAAATTTAATATTTATGAAAATAATTAAATGTTTGGGTTTAATTTTATTAAATTTTTTTTAAAATAATTGAATTCTTTTGGAAAATTTTATTAAAATAGTAAATATTGAAAAGCATTTAATTCAGGAAAATTTTGGAAAATAATTGAAATTTTGCCAAGAATTTTATTAAAATTTTTGAAAATAATTGAATTTCGGACAAAAATTTTATTATTTATAAAGATAATAAATTAAAATTTTAAGGAGAATTTTTTAAAATTTTATATCATAATTGAATTTCTGCGATGAATTTTATTACTTTTGAATAATTGAACTTCTGCAATCATTTAGAACTTCTCCAAAATTCAATTTTTTTTAAAAATGTTTTTAAGTATAATTCTTCTATAAATCTATTATTTTGAATAATTAATTAAATATATATTAAAATAATTTAACTAATTTCGGAAGAATTTTAATTATTAAAATTTTTCAAAAATCTAAATTCTAAAAATTTTTAAATTAAATTCATTCAAAATTGAAATTTTATAAAATTTCAATTTTTGAAACCTTTTGAAATTGATCTATTTATGAAAATTATAAAAGCTTACTCTTCTATAATTAAATTAATTTTGAATCATTTAAGTAAAATTATTCATTGAATAATTTGTAATTAATAATTCGATAATAGTTCTTCAAGAATTTCTTTAAAAAGAAATTATTGTCAGAAATAGTAAAAAAAAAATGAAAACATTAAATACTCTTTCTTTAGTTTGTTAATAAAAATATTTTCCTTTTTCTCCTTCAGGCAAAATGGATTAAGTCAAATGACTTCGGAGGTGCCATGATTTTATCATTAAACTGTGACGATTGGAATTCGACGTGTTCGAGAAGTGAAACATTTCCTTTAATTCGAGCAATTAAACTTGCTCTGAATTGAAAAAAAAAATTAGTTCAATTTATATTTATATAATAACAATTATTAACAATAGACTGTGATTTAACTTCTATTGCAGTTATAACAATCCGTATGAAAATTCAATTTATCAATTTATTAAAATAGAAACAATATTTTCAATTTTCTCCAATTTTTTTCTTACGGTACAAAAAATTAATTTATTGATCTAGAACATTCCATTTTCGATTAAAATAATCATTTTTCTTAATAATTCATTATCAAAATTAATGATTATTAAAATCAATTTTTTCTTCATTCCAATTGTTATTTTCTTCATTTACAAATAGAAAAACATGCAATTATTAACCAAAGAGAAATTAAATACAAAATGTTACCATATAAATATATATATAAATATTAAAAATCTAATAGTGACAAATGAAATACCAATTTATTTCTGTTAAATAATTCAAAAAATTGTAAATACTTCGCTTATAAATAGCACAAAAAGCAGAAAAAGAAAAAATTGTCCATAAATTTTCTCTTCTCAATCGTTGTGTTTTTAATTTAAAAAGAAAAACAATCTTGCGCCATTTTTCTATCGAATATATATATATTAAATTAGGATAATAAATAGGAATTGGGAATGTTGAATAAATAAAGAATCTTCATTTTTCCCATAAATAATTGTTATGTACTTTTGTACGTATATTAAGTCCATCACAGTATTATTTCAGATACATTGAAATTGAGGAAAGGAAAAAAAATTAGAAAAAAAAAATGTAATAAAATGTATCGTCTTACATTGAAGGAAATATATACAAGCAGAAGCGAAGAACAAAAAGAGTTTTGAAAAAAAACATGCTTTTAAAATACATTTATAGTAATTTCTTGTTTAAAAGGAAAATACTTTTTTTTTTGGAAATATTCATTTTCTCAACAAAAGGAAAAAAAAAATTATTTACATTTTATAAACATTCCTTTTTTTTCCCTTCGAAAAAAATGTACATTTATCATTGTTTATAAATCCAATAAATGTGATGAAAATTATTGAGAAATATACAAATTAAAAAAAAAGTGCGTGAGTGTATTTTTTCTCCCATATCGAGAAATTTTTCCATTCTACCAAATTTTTAATTTTGTATTTTACACAATTTTTGCAATTTTTTTGTTCTCTCAAAATAAAAATTTGAATTTACTTAAAATGTAAATTTGGTAGAAATAAAAATTATTCTTGCAATCAAAATAAATTTTAAAAAAGTGAGATAATTTTTTTAAGGGAACAATTATTGTGTTTATCATCGAAATAGAGAGAAAGAAAGAAGAAAAGATATTAAAAGGACAAAAAAAAATTCTCTTTATTATTAAAATATTCATTAATTCTGAAATTGGTAATTTAAAACTTTCGTCATCCCTGCGAGAAATATTAATTTTTTACATGAAAAACATGTTTAGAAATATTAAAAAAAAATAATTGAAAATTAAATAATTATATTTTTACTTATTAATATTTATAAATTAGAAATTAATTATTTACTAATATTTATAAATTAGAAATTTATTTTTTGCTAATATTTATAAATTGTAAATTAATTATTGTTTATTAATATTTATAAATTATAATAATTATAGTTTATAAATAATTATTTATAAATTGAAATTATTATTTGGAATCAATTAAAATTATTCAAATTTTTTAATTATTGTATTGAAAATCATTGAATTCTTGCAAAGAATTTTATCAAAAAATTTTTAAAATAATTGAATTCCTTCTAAAAATTCTATTATTTAAGAAAAAATAATTGAATTCTTGCGACGAATTTTATTTAAATTTTCGAAAATCCGAATTAAATTTGTTTGAAGAATTTCTTTAAATTGTTTCCTAAATAAGGGAATTTTTGAGAAGAATTTTATTAAAATTGAAAAATAAAAACGTTTAAATTGTTTCAACTATTTTTATTAAAAATTTTTGTAAATAATTGAATTCTTATAAAATTTTATCATAATTTTTGAAAATAATTAAATTCTTTCGAGAAGTTTAATTGAAATTTGTAATTAAAAATAATTAAATTTTTGTGAAGAATTTTATTAAAATTTTTTTTAAATAATTGAATTCTCAGAATTATATTACAATTTTTTAAAATAATTTAATTCATTCAAAAAATTGCTTAAATTTTTTTTTAACATAATCGATTTTGTTAATAATTGTAATTAATAATTTTACTATTAAATTTTATTAAAATTATTAATAAAACATTAATTTTTAAATAAATAAATTCTTTTAAAAAATTTCTTTAAGTTTATTGAAAATATTGTGGTTTTTTTTTAAATTTTAATTGAAATTTTTGAAAATAATTGAATTAAACAAATAATTTTTTACATTTTTTTAAAAATAATCGTGTCTGTTAATAATTATAACTAAAAACTTGATTATTGGTTTTTATTTAAAACTTTTGAAAATAATTGAATTGCTTTGAAAAATTTATAAATAGTAACAAATTTTCAGTAATTTATAATTTATAAACAATAATAATTATTTATTAATGTTCATTTCACATTTATTTATATAAATTAGTAAATTATTTATCAACTCACATAATCATATATTTAATTAAAAAATATAAATTTTCTCTATTCATTTCGCCTAAAATCGTTGCCGAGAAAAATTTTTTAATCTATTTTCTAATTTATACTTTATAGTAATAAATATTATTGTAATAATAATAATATTAAAAATTATGTACTAACAAAATTGTATCTATAAAATAACATAATTACATTTTCTTACCTAAAAATTATAATTTACAAATCTGAAGTGAATGAGAAATGGTCAACTTTTTTCAAATTGGCAACTTTTTTTTGCGAAATAATAAATAAAAATAAATAATTTTTTTTCTTGAAAAACTGTCTTGATTGCTGAGTACTTTTTTTGTGAAGTTTTACTATTCATGTCTTTTTTGTCTGGCAGAAAATTTCATGTATTTTCTATTTCTATTTTTTTTTTAATTTTATATATTCAAAAGGAAATTTCTAATTTGTCACATTTAAATAAATCGAATAAGTTTCTCAATTACATTTGAGATATTCATCCAGGAATTATTTCTGTACAGCCTAAGTTTATAACAAATTTTTCATTCTTTTTCTTTTAAATAATTACGTTATTATTTTTTTAAGAAGGCGCTCTTTGTGTGTTATATTACTTTGTGAATTCTACGTCATTAAAGCAGCGATTTTTTTTCTATTCTGCTATTTTATATTCTTTTTTTTAATATAATAATTTTTCAGTCTACAAAGGATATTCGGCGAAAGAATGTCATGCTGAAAATAGAGAGAGAGAGAGAAAGAGAGAGAAAAAGTACTAAAAACTACGAGATTATTTTTTTTGCATCTGAAGAATTAAAAAGTGATTCTAAGTTTGTAGAATTTTAGTTTCTTTTTTTCAAAAGAAAAATTTGAAAAATTTTTGCCGAATCCTTCCGCCAGACTGTCCGTTTTACAAATCTTTGGAGCAAGATGAATTTATTTTTTAAAGAATAAAAAAATACTTGCACCCAATTATTCTTCATGATCTTTGTTTTTCGTTTTCTTGTAAAAATGGCTTCTGAATAATTTTCATTTTCTCGATATTTATAGTCTTTTCCCTCAATTTAAACTCGGTTGTCGATTATTGTCCCATTCAACTTCAAGATTTGGCCATTTTGTTTGAAGAACCGTTAACATACTATTATTTGAAACGCATTTTAAATTACTCTCAAGCAATATTACTTGTCCTTTGTGATAAATAATTTTGTTATCAGGATTACTGCGTGACAATCCATTATAATGATAGAGTGTAAATGTATCGGGATCCGTTGGCTGTTGTTCCGAGAAAAATTCCTCCATGAATGCATTGAATAAAATTATTCCTAAATTCTCCTTGTCTAGTTTTTGTTTTATTATATCCACACTGTAAAAGTAGAATTTTCCATTTATTAATAATTAATAGTGATTAATAATGAATTGATAATTTCAAAAATGTAATGTTTTTTTTTTCAAAATAGAAAAGGGAGGAATACTTACTATTCGGAATCGTTGACTAAATTGAGTTCAGCGAGTACATCTTGCAGTAAAGTTGTCTGAATGAAATTATTACCATCGGGACTGTATTTATTGAAAATTCGTTTAGCTTTCTCGGCTGGTGTTTCAGGCCTAACGAGATCTCTCTCTGGTGAAAATAAAACAGTCAAATGGGTCTCGGATCCAAGAACCCAAACAGGATGCTTTGGCGATTTTAAAAAGGCGCCCACTTCGCAATACTGTAAATGTTCAAGGTACGCTAAAAATCCCACGGAATTCTGTTTCTCGATGCCAAGTAATTCTGCAAAAAAGTCCGAGATTTTTTATAAAACTAAAAAATTGTCCCAATGTTTTCGTTCTATTTATCTTGTTTTTTATTTTTATTATTATTAGGCAAAATTATTTTATTAACTAATTTTATTATCATAAAAAATTGAAAAAAATTAAATTCTTATAAAGAACTTTATTTATAATTAAAAATATAAATCGTTGAATTGTATAAAATATTGTTATTGGAATTTTTGAAATTAATAATTGATTAATAATAATTGAATTAATTCGAGAAACTTTTTCAAAATTCTATTAAAAATCATTGAATTTGTGCGTAGAATTAAATTTTTCGAATAATTTAATTGTAAATTAAAAATTTTTTTTTTTGAAAATTCAATTACTTTGTTTAAAATCTAACTAAAATTCTTCTCTACATCAAAAATTTGTTTTAACTTCTGTAAAAAAAAAAAATTGAATTCAAGTTTTTCAAAAAATTAAATTCTTCTAAATAATTGATTCAATTTTCGCAAAATATTTGAATAATTATTGTTATTTATTTGTCCAGCAGGAATTAAAATTTCAAACTACTTTCAATGTAAAATCTTTTGTAATTTAATTAAAATTAGAACTGCAATTCTTCCAATTCTTGAAATATTTTGTAAAATTTGAACTGAAATTCTTTTTCAAATCAATTCTTCTAAAAAAATTGTACGAAAATTGAATTATTTAAATACAAAAATAAATAATTGATTATTTATTAATGGAATAATTTGATATTTTTCGGATAAAATTTACTTAATTTACTGTTATGTTATTAAAATTAATTAATTTGACTAAAACACTAATCTCTCAATTTACAAATTAATTGTCAAACTTTTGACATGACAATTTAAAATTTGGACTGTAAAACAAATTTGAAATCAAAAAGCTCTAATTTCACAGAATATTTCGATTAGTATCATATATGATAAATAATAATATTGATTCATTTATTAATTAATTAATTAATTAATCTTACTGAGTCCACCAACGTCTTGCTCATGATCCCAAACGTGACCCACAGCTCGACCAGTTAGCATAAGATTTATTAAACTTTGACTTCCATAACCGAAAGTCGATTCAATTAAACATTCCGACGAGTCCAACATTTCCGATTGCATTCCAACCATTCCTTTTGTACATATTACTGTATAAAGTAAAATAAACACTCCATATGATTCCTTTAATAAATTGATTCTTTCCATAAAAAAATTTTCTACTTCGCCAATGCTCTCTACCGGAAGTATCCTGAAATTTCATTTGTTTTTAAATTTTTTCTTTAATAATATTTTCAAAAAATTCAAATTAAAAGTTAACATTCAACATTTTCGAATCGAATAAAAAATTTTCTTTGGTCAATTAGAATCATGTACATATTTTAATTTTAGATTCTTATTTTATTAAGATACTAAATAATTAATTATTCTGAATTATCTATTAATACTTATTAATTATCAAATACCTACAAATACTTATTGAAAAAATAATAGAGGTTTTGTTTAAAAAAATTGTAATTATGAAATCAAAAAATATTATTATTTTATTATTATTATTATTTCTAAAAAATTATTTATGAATAATTTATAATAAAAGATAATTTCTAAAAATTGTTATAAAAAAACAAGTTACATTTTTGTTTCCAAAGGGAAATTAAAAATTTGGTATTAGACAAACTTTTAGGGACTTATTTTGAATAACTTTCGAGATTTATTTAAAAATTAAAAAGAAAAAGGTGAGAAAAAAATTGTATACCTTAAACGTGAGTGAAAATTCTCGGAGAGAATTTCCTGTCCTTCACTTGTGCTCGGGACATCGACAGGAGGAATTCTGCCCTCCGATTTCGATGAACATTCAGGCACTTCTCCATTTACCATATCACTATTAGAGTCGCTTAAAAATACAATAGAATACTTTGGATTTTGTACATCAGCGGCCTGTGCCACAATTTCAGTAACTGCCTTAACAAGAAGCTGATCACATTTTTCATTTTTAATATCCTTCCACGTTGAAATGTCAAATTCTTGTAATAATTGTTTTATTATAAATGCCTGAACCGGAGCAATCACAACACATGGACCACCCTCTCTTTGTACAAGTGCACTCGGTTCATCCTGACTGAAATAAAAACCTACAAAAACCCCCAAAAAAATTCCATTTAGAATTTTATAAGAAAAAAAAAATTTATTTCGTGTAAAGAAAATAAAAAAAGAATTCACAATTCTCGAATTATGCAAATTAGAGGAATAAGCAGTGATGTAATGATAGAAAAAAAACGAACTTACTGTCATTGCATAAATCATAATAAATATCGTGATTTACCTTGTGCCCATCGTCTAAAGACATCTTCCTTGACACTCGGTCCCCAGAGGAGGATTTTGATATTCTCCAAAAGTTCCGCAGCATTCTCTGCCATTATCGAAATAAAATATAACTCGCGGAACAATTCTTTTGTTTGTTTTTGTTTTCTAACGGTTTTTCCAGACGAAAAAAAGAGGTAAAACACACACGATTATTAACAATTAAACTTTTTTTTTTCCCCTTTTATCCGAACATATTCCGATAAATTGAAGTTTGAAAATTTAAATTTAATATTTTCTTAAAAATATATATTTGTTTGATAACCTATTTGGCACATACAGCAATGTACGCCGCCATGCCAAAAAAAAGAGAAAAAAAATCCCCCGAGGACAAAAAAAGTATTTTTCACAAATAATTTTTCCTGTCGCACACTCTCGCCACACCTTTATTGCGGCAAATTAAAACCTAAACGAAATAAACGTTTCTAATTTGTGACTATTTCTTTTAAAAGTTTCTTGCGTTTCTTGTATAAGGTGGAAAAATTTTATGCTCGAAACACGAAGATTTATCCAAGCTCCGAGCTTAATTAATCGACCACGTGATCATATCACTGTGACGACAAAGCTCTCACGGAAAAGAAAAGCTCCGAAAATGATATTAAGTAACAATCAATTTGATTCGTTGATATCGATGGAAAAGGAAATTTCATTGGTTGGTCTTTTTATACTCAACCAATAATAATTCATTCATGTACCTTAACCTCAAAATTTACATTTATTGTCAAATCTGTCAAATAGACTTAGTTTTAAGTACTTGTGGTACTTGTGGTACTTGTTTTTACAATTTTACCATTTTCACATATTACTAGGTGGAAAATTGTAATTAAATTTATATTATTTCCCCCGTTTAAAAGGTGGAGAGTCACGTGACCTTGAAAACGTTTTTTTCTTTTTTTTAATCAAAACGAAAATGTAAAAAGAGGAAAGTTCTAAATACTTTTGCCACTATATTTGTTATTTTATAAGAATTATCATTTTTATCAAAGAAAAGAAAAGGAATTAGAAAAGAAGTGAGAAGATAATAGTAAATTTCAAATTTTTCCACGATCACAACGACGTCTGGCGGTGTTTAATGAAAATCAATGGTCAACTCAACTCCTCAACGATTTCATGGAGAATCGTGGTGTTGCTTTTTGTGTGGTCGTTTATTATAAGTGATTAAAAATCAAACAATTTAGTAATAATGCTGTAAAACCGCGAGAATTTATTTATTTCTCCGAAAAAAAAATCTGTTTTTTCATTGAATTATTTGGGGCGAGAAGCCGTATGTTAATTATACGGTTATAAATTTTGTCGTAAATAGAATAAAAATTCAACAGAGGTAGTGTGATTAATATTCAGTTGGAAGAGTGTTCCAAAGCACACAGGGCAAAATGGCAGCAAGCGAGTCCACATCGGATGAGAGTCTTTATCCTATCGCGGTATTAATTGACGAATTAAAAAATGAGGATGTTCAGGTAAATTGTGCATTTTTTGCCTTTAGTCATTACAATTATTGTCCGGTTAATTATTAATTGATTTAAACATGTTGATTATTATTTTAAATATACGTGAAAGTTTTTACCGGTCTGTTGATTGAGGTTGTGATTATATGTGTGATTGTCTTGTTTGCGGACACTCTTACGCTTTATTCAAAAACGTCATTAATAATTATTTTACTTGGCGGCGTTTTAAGCGTAAATTGTAATGAAAGATTTTAATTGTTATTTTAACTATAGAAGGAGGAGAATGAGTTTTTTTTCTTGGTTTTGGTTTACAATATAATATGAATGCGTCATTGTTGTACATGTGTAAAAATGAATCATTGTAGAGAAATAAATTAAATTCCATTGTTTTTAGTTACGCTTGAATTCAATCAAGAAACTTTCTACGATTGCTCTTGCATTGGGTGTTGAGCGTACACGCAGTGAGCTCATTCCATTCTTAACAGAAACAATTTATGATGAAGATGAAGTTCTTTTGGCACTTGCCGAACAATTGGGAACATTTACGCCTTACATCGGTGGACCGGAATTTGTACATCATTTATTGGTAATTATAATTATTTATCGGTAATTTTTGTTTTTTTCCCTCACTTTCCTGGAGGATTTTTTTGCACCGATTTTTTACTATGTTTTAACAAAAATGTTATCGTAATTTTTTTTTGCCAAGTCTTCTTGCGCATAAAACAGTTTTTTTTAACCTAGAGAAGGTAAAAATATTCAATATAAATTTTTAAAATATAGTTGCGCAATATTTTTCAATTAAAATAAAATTCAATAAGTTAGACTTGTTTTCTAAGTTTTTATGAAATTCGATAATAATAAAGTTGCTACAGGTAAAGAAGGTCTGCAAAATTGAAAATTCACTTTATAAACATTATGATTCAATTTTTTTGAAATAATTAAATTTTTCAAAAATTATTAAAAATAATCGATTTTAAGAGGAGTTTTAGTTGAAAATTCTAGAAAATAATCGATTTAGAGAAGTATGTTAGTTGAAAATTCTAGAAAATAATTTAATTTCGAAGAAGTTATAAAGTAGCAAACTTTTAAATATAATTAAATATCAAAAGGTTTTGAATTGAGATTTTTGAGAATTTAAATTTTGCGTAAATTTAATTAATTATTCTGAAGAATAAAATTATTTGAAAAACTTGAATTTAATTTTTTTGTAAAGAAAGTAAATCAAATTTTTGGAAATTTTTTATTTTGAGAAAAATTTCAGTTGGAAATACTATCACAGGTTTTGATAATAATTGAATTCTTTCAAAATATTTCTTTAATTTATAGAATATAATAGATTTTGTTAATCATTATAAATAATAATTTTACTATGGAAATTTTATTGATATTAGTGATAGAAAATTAAACAATTTTTATTAGAGTCTTTATAAATAATTAAATTTTTTTGAAAAATTTCTTTAAGTTATTTTGAAAATAATGTAGTTTTATTAATTTTTTTTGAACCTTAAACTTTAGCACAACTTTCATGCTACTATACGCGTCCGCCATTAAACCGGAAGTCTCTAGTTTTATGAATAATTTTAATGAAAAATTTTGTAGATAATTCAATTAAACAAAGAAGTTTTTTCAACTTTTTTAAAGAATCGTGTCTCTTAATAATTATAATTAAATAAATTTGATTATTTATAAAAAATAATTCAATTCTTGCGACGAATTTCACTATACTTATAAAAATAATTGAATTGTTTTAGAGGGTTCATTAAAATTTTAGAAAATATAAATAAAAAACAAAAAAATTATATAAAAATATAAATAATATAATTTTCATAAATAGATGAACTTCAAAGGTTTTAATTTGAAATTTTGTAAAACTTTTAATTTTGAAAGAATTAATTAAATAATAAAAATTTCACAAGAATTCCATTATTTACAAATTCTTTATAAATTTCTTCGCAATAATCCAATTATTTTCATAAATAATCAAATTTTTTACAGAGAATTCCAATTATTTTTAATATAATTTTAATGGAATTTCTCGAAAAATGTCATTATTCTTAAAAATTTTTATTAAAATTCATCAAAGAAATTCAATTATTTTAAAAAGCCTTCCAATAATTTATTTATTAGAATTTAAGTATTATTGTCAATACATTTTTTAATTAAATTTCTTAAAAGAATTAAATTATTTTCAAAAATTTTAATGAAATTCTTTTTAACAATTCAATTTTTTTTCAAAATAATTTTAATATAAAATTCTTCGTAGAAATTTAATTAATTTCAATAATTTATCAAAATTCAATTATTTTTAATATCTACTATTTCAATAAAATTTCACAAAAGAATTCAATTATTTAAAAAGAAATATTATTACAATTCGTCTTAAGAATTCAATTATTTTTCAAAGTTAAAAAAATTCTTCGCAAAAATTCAATTATGGTCAAAAGTTTGAAAAAAATTCTCGTAAAAATTTCAATTATCTTTATAAATAATAAAATTTTTCTTCAAAATTCAATTATTTTCAAAATTTTTAATAAAATTCTTGGCAAAAATTCAATTATTTTCAAAAACTTTTCTCAATTTAATCAATTTAATTTTACAGAGATTAAATTATTTTTAATACAATTTTAATCTAATTACTCGAAAAATGAAATTATTCTTAAAAATTTTATTTAAAAAATTATAGTAAAAATTTTAATTTTCTTTATAAATAATCAAATTTTTCTTTAAAATTTAATTATTTGCAAAAATTTTAATAAAATTCTTTAAATAAGAATTCAATTTTAAAAAAATATTCAATAAATTATTTATTTTTGTATTTAAATAATTGAATTCTCGTAGAATTTTCTATTAAAAATTGATTTTCATTTCATGAAAATGAATTTCAGTTAAAATGTTAGATAATAATTGAATATTAAACTCTCTAAATTTGAATTAGTAAAAATGTTTTCTAATTATAAATATTTTTGTTCCTTGTAATCTAGGGTATAACCCGTTAAACTTGTAATAAATAAATAAATAAATTTGAATTAGTGACTGACTTTTTTCTTTTGAATTTGCAGATTTTACTATTAAACAGTAGTTTCTATTAATTTAATGGTAAAATTTACTAATTCAAAAGCAAAAAGTCAGTCTCTAATTCCAATAGGTAAACATTTTTACTAATTAAAAATTTAGAGAGAATGCAGCGTGAATTTTTAGAAATTATTGAATTTTGAAAAGGTTTCAAATTATAATCTTCGAATCTTTGAATTTTCCATATTTTTAATTGAAAATTTTGTAGATTTAATTTTTTTTTGATAAAGTTTATTTTTTCCTTTATTTTATTTATTTTTTGAAAATCTTTTTTTTTTTTAATTTAAAGAAGAATTTCAGTTAAAAATGTCAGAAAATAATTTTTATTAAGTTACTTTAATAATATTCTTATAATATAAAATAATAATTTTATCACTGAGACATTTGTAATTATTATAAAACATGAAGAAATCGATGACTGATTTTTTATAAGTTGTTTAATTTGAAAAAGGTTTGAATTTGAAATTTTTTAAAATCTTAATTCCTATGGAAAAATAATAATGTCGAAATGCTATTGAAATTGTATTAAAAATAATTAAATTCTTGCAAAGAATTTTACTATTTATATTTTATAATTATAAAATTGAATTCTTTCGTGAAATTTTATTGAAAATAATTGAAATTTTGCAAAGTTTTTACTATTTATAATAAATAATCGAATATTGTTTCGAAGGATTTATTAAAATTTTAGAAAATAATTGAATTTTTTTTTTGAAGAGTTATATTTAAATTTTTGAAAATATAAATAATAATAATTAATTATGTTCCTAATAAGTGAATTTTTTAAATTATAAAATTATTCAAAAATTTCTATTTGAAAATAAATTTTGTAATTTGTAAAATTTGAATATTACGTTCTGCGCGTAATTTTTTACACTTTTTTACTCAAGAATTACAAAATTATTAACTATTTTTAACCATTTTTTTTGCGTTTTGATTTTTTTGTTCTCTTTTCTTCTGTAGTTGTTAATAAATTGATTATAATTAATCAATTTTCAATTACAAAATTATTAACTATTTTTAACAATTTTTTTTGTTCTCTTTTCTTCTCTAGTTGTTAATAAATTAATTTTGAAAAAAATGTATTAATTTCAGCCACCATTGGAATCATTGGCAACAGTTGAGGAGACTGTCGTGAGAGATAAAGCAGTTGAGTCTCTACGTAATATTGCTCTTCAACACAGTCCAGCGGATTTAGAGGGACATTTTGTTCATCTTGTTGAGCGTTTAGCATCGGGCGATTGGTTCACGTCGAGAACATCGGCATGCGGATTATTCAGTGTCTGTTATCCACGTGTTAATCCAACAATAAAAGCCGAATTACGAAATCATTTTCGTAATTTATGTCAGGACGATACGCCAATGGTGAGGCGTTCAGCGGCATCGAAATTAGGAGAATTTGCAAAAGTCGTTGAAATTGAATATCTAAAGACAGATTTGATTCCAATGTTTATTATTCTCGCGCAAGACGAACAGGATTCAGTTCGTCTATTGGCAGTTGATGCGTGCTTCAATATTGCAACATTATTGCAGCAGGAGGACGTTGAACAATTGGTGATGCCAACATTACGTCAATGCGCATCGGATCAATCGTGGCGTGTACGTTATATGGTTGCCGATAAATTCACCGATTTACAAAAAGCCGTTGGTCCGGAAATAACGAAAACCGATTTAGTGTCGGCATTTCAATTATTGCTTAAGGACACTGAGGCGGAGGTGAGAGCGGCGGCTGCCGATAAGGTTCGCGATTTTTGTCAAAATTTAGAAGCATCCAAACAGGAATCAATTATTATGACGGACATATTGCCGTATATAAAGGAGCTTGTCGCCGATCCAAATCAACATGTTAAATCGGCATTGGCAAGCGTTATTATGGGTTTGAGTCCAATTTTGGGTAAACATAATACCATTGAGCATTTATTGCCATTGTTTTTGTCGCAATTGAAAGACGAATGTCCGGAGGTACGTCTCAATATTATCAGTCATTTGGATTGTGTCAATGAAGTCATTGGAATACAACAATTGTCACAGTCACTACTGCCAGCTATTGTTGAACTTGCTGAGGATTCAAAATGGCGAGTTCGCTTGGCAATTATCGAGTGAGTTTATTTTTTTTTATTTAATGATAAAAACTCGTCAGAGGTCAACGTAGAGAAAAATCCATTTTTTCCTGCAAACGTGGATTTAATTTATAAATCAATGAATTTCTAATTTACTTTTTCAGTTTTCTCTATTTTCTTACAGAGAAAATTTTTCTTGTTTTATTATTCAATTCAATATTCAATATTAACATTTTTTATCTAATCAATTTACTTTTTTCGAATTTCACTAATTCTGGATTTATTTTTATTTATTTCTACTTTAAGTTGTCAAAAGAAGCCTCTAAATAAAATGTTCCTTCAAATTTTAATTCACTTAACTTCGAAACCATTTAATTTGATTTAAAATTTAAATCTAATTTAATTTCTTTATTACCTTATCAAAAATAAATATACTTATCGATTTAAATTTAAATTATTTTGAAAAATATAAAAATTTTATTTGAGACATGGAAAATTTTAAATTTTGAATGATAGATCTTATCAAATAAGAATTTTTAGCGACAGAACAATTTTAATTATACTTTTATGGCGATTAGAATGTTAAAAAGATTTTTGAAAATCAAATTTAATTATTTCTTATAATTCCTGTTATATCGCTTCTAATTATTTTTCAAAAAGTTTTAACTGAAAATTCTTGTTTAAATCAATTCTTATTAAAATTCAACGTTAAATTAATTATTTAAATACACAAAATTTTTGAAAAATTTAATTACTTTTCAAAATTTTAAGTTATCAGTCTCCAAAAATATACAATATTTAAAAATAAATTTCTAAATATTATTAATTAAGAAATAAATCAAGTCAGAAATTAATTAAGAAACTAAGAAAATAGAATTCTTTGAAATATAAAATTTATTTTAATGATATTTGTGAAAAATCCTTATTTTTACAATTTTTTTAAAATTATTCTCGGAAATTTATCTATTTTCAAACAATTTTAATTACGATTATTTCTTTAAATTGAATAAATAATTTTTGAAAATAATTGATTTCATTAGAAGAATTTTAATAAAGTTTTTAAAAATTATTACATTTTTTCAGGAATTTATTTAAAATTGTATTAAAAAATATTGAAATCTTACAAATAATTTTATTTTTTGAGTAGAATTGAAGTCTTGAGAAAAGTTTTATTAAATTTCCGCTAAGAATGTTATTAAAATTAAAGAATTTTTCATTAAATAATTGAATTTTTTCGAACAGTTTTATTATTTTTTCAATTAATTAAATTCCTGTGGAAAATTTTAATATTTATAAAAAAAAATTGAATTCTTACGTAGAATGTTATTAACATTGTTGAAAAAAATTGAGTTGTTATAAAGAACTTTATTTGTATTTTTTTAATTGAAATGAATAATTTTCAATTATTTCGAATAATTTAATTAAAATTGTATTAAAAATAATTGAATTCTTGGAATGAATTTTATTATTTTTGAAAATAATTGAATAATTGTTTCGAAGAATTTATTAAAATTTTAGAAAATAATTGATTCCTTTAAAAGAATTTGAAAAAACAATTTTTAATTGAATTTTTTGAGAAATTTATTAAAAATTGTATTAAATATAATTGATATCCTACAAATAATGTTATTATTTATGAGTAGAATTCAATTCCTTCTAAGCGTTTTATTAATTTATTTTTAATAATTGAATAGTTGTGAAAATTTTTATTATTTGTTAAAATTGCTAATATTTTGATTATTTCTAAATATTTAGAATCAAAAAACACTAAATCCACGTTAGGACAGATTATCTAGATTCCTATTTTATAATAATAATAATATGTTTGTGGTGTTTTTTTTAGATATATGCCATTGTTGGCCGGTCAGTTGGGCGTAGAATTCTTTGATGAAAAGTTGAATTCCTTATGCATGACCTGGCTCGTTGATCATGTATACGCGATCAGGGAAGCGGCGACACTCAACTTAAAGAAATTAGTAGAAAAATTCGGATCAGAATGGGCGCAGAATACGGTTATACCAAAAGTTTTAGCAATGTCGAGGGACCAAAATTACCTTCACAGAATGACATGCCTTTTCTGCATTAACGTGAGTCTCAATTTTTTCTTTTGCCTTCTTGTTTATTTCCTTTAATTTGCAGCTTTACTTAAAATTATTTTTGAGAGTTAAACATTTTTTTTTCTAAATTCAGTTTCTAATTTCTGTATTTTTTCTTTTTAATTTATTTCTAATTTATCAATTTAAATTTAATTGTCTTTATTATTTATCGAATTTTTTTAATAGTATTTTCAAGTATTTTTGTTATTATTTTATTTAATTGGCATTTGTCATAAAAGCTGGTGTATTATTTAATCAATTGCAGTTATTTATTTATTTTTATCTTTTATATTTTTTATTCATTTTATATTTATTTTTTTATATATTTTATTTGTTCTATATTTTTTTTTTTATTTCATATTTTTCTTTTTTATATTTCCTACATATTTATTTTATGTATTACTTTTAATATTTATTTATTTATTTAATATACAGACGGGACATTTTATTTTATTTATATTACAGGGACAATTTAAAAAATTGTTTTCTAATCATTTAATTTTCTTTATTTTTAAGTTATTTCGAAAACAAAAATAGAAAATTTCCTTTTTATTTTAAAAAGATAATAATAATTTCTTCTATTTATATTATAAGCACGATTTAAAAATTGTTTTCCAATCATTTAATTTTCTTTATTTTTAAGTTATTTCGAAAACAAAAAAAGGAAATTTTCTTTTTAATTTGAAATTGAAATTTTGAATTTAGAATTTTGAATATTGAAATTGAAAAATTGAAATTGCAGGTATTAGCTGAAGTGTGTGGGCCAGAAATCACGACAAAAGTGATGCTTCCAACTGTTTTAGCAATGGCAAATGACAATGTAGCAAATGTCAGGTTTAATGTAGCGAAAACCCTTCAACGTATTGGACCCTATTTAGAACCTAACGCTGTGCAAACGCAAGTAAAACCAGTACTAGACAAACTCAACACTGACAGTGATGTTGACGTGAAATATTTTGCATCGGAAGCAATCGCCGGAATTGCAGGTAAATAAAAATTTATTTTTTTCCTTAAAATTAATAATATTTTACCATATAGACGCATGTTTATAAAATGTTATAAATTTATTAAAAATATTAATTAATATTTCTAAAATATTTTTTCGTTTATAAACACGCGAATTTTGAAAATTGTTTTTTAATTTTAATTTTTACACGTCTTTCTCGAGATGAGGCATGCTTCTTTTTTTTGAGGGGAGAATTTTTTATTTAATTATAAAAATAAAAACGCAATTGTGTGACTTCAGCGATTCGAGGAATTCGTTCGACAATGATGCGATAACAACATTAACATTGCATGTGCTGCCTTCTTATTAACTTGCATTTTCCATCCTCTGCTTGTGATGTTTCTTTATGAACCTCGTGCATGGTCAACATTTCAATAAGTTTAATTTAATTTTTAAAACTGTAGATTGAACTTTAACAATTACATAGTTAAAACAAAAAATATTAATCTAGCAAAATTATTTTTTTTTGGCACTTAATTTTGGAAAATAATTATTAATTAAAAATTTCTATTGTAATTTCTCTTTAAAAAAAAATTTAAAGAGAAATTTCAATCATTCTGTTCAATAATTAAAGATATATAATAAATAGAAGTAGAAAAAGTAATTAAAAAAATAATCAGAATTTATTGAATTTTAATTTATTAAACTAGATTTTTTATATTCAAAAAAATCCCAATTTGTTAAAATTTTAGTATTCTAGAATTAAATTTAGTAAAGTTTAATAACAGACTTCGCACTCATCTACAAAAACATATTATTTACAATTTTTTTTACGATTTTGTACTATTTGGATACTTTTTTTAAATTTGTGACAATAAAAGCTACTTCTTTATATTTAAATTCACTTTAAATCCGCCAATAATTGAAATAAAAAAATTATTCTTTAAAATTTTGATAAAATTCTTAGATAGAATTTAAAAAATTTTTAAGAATAATTTTTCCTAAGAATTCAATTATTTTACCAAATAATGAAAATCTTCGCTGAAATTCAATTATTTTCAACAAAATTAAACAAAATTTTTCGAAAGAATTCAATTATTTAAAAGAAATTTTAATAAAATTCTTCGCAAAAATTCAATTACTTTTGAAAAACAAATAAAAATTTTCATAGACGACATTCAAATTATATGAAATACAATTTTTATAAAATTAAAAAAAAAAATAATTATTCAAAAAAAAATTTTGTAAAATTTTCCGAAAGAAATCAATTATTTTTAATAATTTTCATTTCAATACAATTCAATAAATTTCAATTATTTCAAAAAAAAAAAAAAAAATGTTAATAAAATTCATTGTATTTTTGCAAGAATTCAATTATTTTCATAATTAACAAAATTTTTCCCAGAAATTCAATTATTTAAAAAAAAAAGAAAAAATGTTAGTAAAATTCATTGCAAGAATTCAATTGTTTTTAATATAATTTTTAAATTGTCTGACCTTGAAAATTTGAAAAACTGCAACAATATTAAAATATTTATTATAAAAAAATGAATCATTTATTATTTTACAAAGAACTTAATAAAAGTTTTAGATTATTTTATTTAAATATTCTAAAGAAAATGGAATTTTTGAAGAATTACAGTTGTTTTGTTTAGTCGTAAACTTTAATTGTTCAATAGTTAATAAATTTTTATTACTTCTTTTCAGTCTTAAAGCTACTTTTTAAAAATTAATTATCGAGTGCGAAGCCTAACATAATTTTTATTTTTATTTTTAATATCGATAATTCATAATAATTGTTATCATTGTAATATTTAATAATAAACGTGTTAATTAAAAATCTTTAAAAAAAAAATCTTTAAAATCTTTAACCTTTTCAATTAAAGAAAAAATTTTTTAATTTAAAACTATTTTTTTAAAATTTTTTCTACAGTTTTTCTTTCTGGTGATGGAAAATCAAAGTTTAATATTATAAATGACGTTATTAATGTTATGACTTATGAGAAAATGAAAGAAAGAATTTATTTCTCAAGATTAATTTGAATCATTGATAAACAAGTTGAACAAATTTACCGGTTATGTAAATTTCATCTTTGAATAATTTTTTTTTTGCAATATTAAAGTACTAAGTAATTTAAATTGAAAAGAAATTTTTGCTACAAATCATTTTTATTGTGGAGTAAAAAGTACTATGAAAATTTATATTTTTTTCAATTAAGATAAAAATTATTTAATTTATTTTTATTTTATTTCTTTATTTTTATTTTACTAGGTATCATTAATAATTATTAATTAATTAATTAATTTTATTAATTTAAAAAACAACCGCTTATTAGTCAAATTTATTTTAATTTTAGTGTAATTTTTATTTTCCAAAGAAATATTCTAATTTTCGTTCTATTTTCTTATCTGTCTTGCGATATTTTAATTTTTATACAGGTAATTTTTTTCTATTATTATTATTATTATTTTAATTCAAGTAATTATTTATTATATTTGAAAAAAATGTATTATTGTTTTAACTTTAATTTAATTAGTTTAAGGCACAACTTTAATTTAATTATTTATTAGTATAAAATTAAAATATTTTGTCTAATTTAATCATTAATTTAATTAATGAATTAAATTTATTAATCAAGTAATTAATTTTTTAATAATCGAAAATCTTGTGTTTCAGCATAATTAAAAGAACAGGACAACAACCCGAGTGCATTGTATGAGTAACGAACAACATGCGACATCAGATTTAATACATAACAAAGAAAAAAAAAATAAAAAAAAAGGAAAAAAAAATAAATATATATAAAATAATTAATAATAATAAACAAGCAGATACACTGATCAATATACACACATACACACACAAACACAGACTATTTCCATTCGCTACACACGAAAGAAAAAAAAACAACTGCATATTATTAACTGCACAGGCAGGTTAAAATAATAATAAAAAAAAATAAAACCAACATGAAATTTTTCGAGTTAGCGATTAACGTTGAATAATATTTTTAGTTCTGTTGTATTTGTATATCTATAATGATGTATTAAGGTCGAATAATCAATTTAATTATTGGTATCATGTATCTCTCGTACCTACTTAAGTCTTAACGAGTAATGATTAATAAAGAAAATGACTCAGAGTCTATTTGTTTCTTTTTATTTTTTCCAAACTTTACTTTCTTTTAAAAAAAAAGTATTTATGTATTTTTTAATATAATTTTCTTTGTTGAATTTTATTAATTAGCTAGGTAGAAAAATATTACTCGCGAAACGCTGGATTAAATTTATTATTTAAAGCAAATTACAAATTTTTTTAGTTTTAAATTTGAACTTCACTAATTAAGAAATTAATTATAAATATTATAAATTTATAATTATTATTTTCTGAACTATTAATAAAGTCCTTTGAAACAATTTAATTATTTTCAAACTTATAATAAAATTGAGTTAATTCTTTGCAAGAATTAAATTACCTTCAAAAATTTTGATAAAATTCTTTCGAAGATTTTAATAAAATTTTAATTAAATTCATAAACAGAATTTAAATTCTCTTTGAAACAATTGAATTTTTAATTTAAGAAATTTTATTATTTTTTAAGCTCTTCGCAAGAATTCAAATATTTTCAATACAATTCTTAATAAAATTTCTCGAAAGAATTCAATTATTTTCAAAAATTATAATGAAATTCTTCGACACTTTTCAATATTTTTCAACGTTTTCAATAATTTTAATAAAATTCTTTGCAAAAATTAAATTATTTCCAATACAACTTTAACATTTCTTGAAGGAATTCAAATATTTTAAAACACTTATTATTATAATTTTTTCTTTATTACAAATTTTTTCTCAGAAATTCAATTATTTTAAAAAAATTTATTGTAGTTTTTTTATAACAAAATTCTTTTCAGAAATTCAATTATTTCATGAAATTTTTATAAGAATTCAATTATTTATTAAAATTTCAATAAAACAGCTCGAAAAACATTCAATTATTTTCAAGAATTTTAATAAAATTCTTCACAAAAAATTCAATTATTTTTATAAATAAAAATTCTTCGTAAGAATTCAATTATTATAATTTTTTATTCATTACAAAATTCTCTTCAGAAATTTAATTAACAATTAAAACTGCTGGAAAAAATTGAATTATTTTCAAGAATTTTAATAAAGTTCTTCACAAAAAATTCAATTATTTTTATAAATAAAAATTTTTCGTAGGGATTCAATTATTTCTAAACATTTATTATAATTTTCTCTTTTATCACAAAATTCTTTTCAGAAATTTAATTATTTTATGGAATTTCTATAAGAATTCAATTATTTATTAAAATTTCAATAAAACAGATCGAAAAACATTTAATTATTTTCCAGAATTTTAATAAAATTCTTAACAAAAATTCAATTATTTTTAAACATTTATTACAAAATTCTTCTTAGAAATTCAATAATTTTTGTATAAATAATCTAATTCTTTGGAAGGATTTAATTACTTTCAATAGAATTTTAATAAAATTTCTTGAAATTATACAATTATTTTTAAAATTTTATTTTCATTGAAATATTTTTCACGAAAAATTCAATTATTTTTATAAATATTAAAATTCTTCTTGGGAATTCAATAATTTTAAAAATAATTTTAAAGAAAATATCTTGTAAAGAATTCAATTATTTTCAGTACATAAAAATTTCTGGAAATTATGCAATTATTTATAACAATTTCAATAAAATTCTTTTGAAAGATTTTAAAATAATTGATTTTAATTCAATTATTTTCAGTAAAATTTGAAACAAATTTCTCAAATGAATTAAAATTTTCAACGAAATAATTTAATTTATATTTTGCATAAATTTTTTATTTTGTTTTGTATAAATAAATAAAATTCTTCGCAGAAAACTTCAATTATTTTCAATTCATGATAAAATTTGTCTACTAAAATATAATTATTTGATGTTTATTTTTAATTTCTCTAAAAATTTATAAACAAATTAAAACTGATTTTTAAATTGAACGAAATAAAAATTAGATTTAAAAAAAAATTGATTGAAAATTGGTTGAATCAATTAGATTCAGTAATAAAAAATACAAATAATAAATAATTCAATACAACATGAATAATAATTACAGTAATAAAAATATGGATAATGGAAATAAAAGAAAAAGTAAATAAAAACTTCGTTTTTACACTTAATCGTATGGCATTTATTGAGGGACATTTCTACTGAGTTTTTTTTTAGTACATTTTATATTATCACAGCTTATCTCTATGTTTTATTCGGTTTTTTAAAATAGTAATAACTTACGTAAGCCTTAAATATAATATATTACAATGAAATATTTATGTTTAATTATATATTATTATTATGATTAATTATTAATTAAATTTTATGCAATCTTAATTAAGTTTAAAAAAATTAAATTTAAACAAAAAATTTAAAAAAGTACCAGACATTTTTTGTATAATTTGAAATCAAATTCTCAAGACGTGTCAGAATTCGTATCTCGTTTTGTACTTGAAGGAATTGAATATAATAACATTAAAATTTGTCTCCTATTATATAATTAATTCTAATGAAAGAATTTATTTTTATCGAGCTTTGAATAATCGCTTTGAATTTTTTTTCTTATATTCTATTAACAATGAAATTCTACACGAACAACTATTTCTTCAAAAATTGGCTTATTACAGATATAAAGGGCGGGAGAGCGGAAAAACGTTTTAAAAAAAAACTCCTACTTACAATAATTATCTATTTAATAAACAATTAATATTGTATTCATTATTATCTAATTATAATTTATAATTAAATGTATTATTCGTTTGAAATGTGTTTCTTATTTTGATTGGAAAAAATTATTTTTCGCCATGAAAAGTTTCTTTTTTTTTGAAAAAATTTTTCTTGCTTTCAAAACAGGAAAATTTTGAATTTTTTTTAAACGTAGTTTTTAATGCGTAAAAAAATGAAAATATATTTTAATTTTCTTTGCCTTCGATTTAAGACTTAGGTAAGTAGAAAAAAAAAGTTATTAAATATAGTTATCACTAATAATATCTTTACAAGGTACAAACTTGTCTCTATAGATATATACGTATATTATTTTTATGATTACGAGTATTTTTAAAAAAAATGTTCGATAAACAAACAACAAACGATCGATATTTGAATAATAAAATAAAGAAAAAAAAAATGAAAATTCAATGATTGTTCATAGTTCCTTTAATGTTGCATCTCAGAAACAAGTGCAAAACAGTCGAGTGATTTTTTTTGGAAATTTTTTCGTTCCATTAGACTTCGATTGTAATAAAAAAATAATGAATAAATTTAAAACTGTAATTTTATTAAATAATAATTTATAATAAAATTTTATCGAATAATAATTTATAATAAAGAAAATAATAATTTCCTTCAAGTAAAATTTGAATAAAAATAATAATTGTAACAACAAGAAAAAGAAAACAGAAAAGAGAATGAAGAACAAATTAAAGAAAAAGTAGTAAAAAAATAGAATAAATGAAACGAAAAATAGAAAAGAGAAGTTAAAAAAAGGAGAAAAAGTAAAAAAGGAAGAAAATAAAAAAAAGTAGAAAAGAGAAAAAAGTAATAAAATAAAAGAGGAAAAGAGTAAAAAAAAGAAGAGAAAGTAGAAAATACAGGGGAAAAATAAAAAATAGTAAAAATAATAATAAAAATAAAAATAAAATTCGATTTTTTGAATTTCTTCGCTAAAATCGAAGTTTGGTGTCAAGTTTTAACTAATCAGTCTATAATTTATAGAAATGCAACATTGAAGGCTCAATGTATTATCGTCTACGTTATAAAGATACTTTGAAAAAAAAAGTTCCACAAAAAAATTATTTTGTCGAATTTTTTTTCAGATGAAAAAAAAACAAAAAATCGATGAACCTAAAAAGCAATTAAATATATCGATGATTATTTTTTTAAAATGAACTGTCGCATTGAACGCACAATAATTCAAATATTCATATATCACATTCTCACGTATAAGTCAAGGATTCGTTATTAATCATAATTATACTTTGGCTGGATCATTATTACAATATATTATAGTCCTAATTTCAAACCTCTATAAGCCTAGTACCATTTTTTTTCTTCATTTTTATAAATTCTCTAACTCGCGCAAGATTATTAAAACGCAAATTCTACTTTTTTCTTTCTAAAAAATATTTCATTTTTCCATTATCGCAATTTTTTGCTTTTTAAGAATTTTTTGTTGTTGTAATTTTGAGAGAAAATAATTTAGCAATAAATTTTTTTTTAATAAAAACAAAGAGAAAAATAAAGAATAATAATATTTTTGTCTTTGTTTTAATTTTCATCTTTATTTCAATTTTCATCTTTTTTTTTTTGATAAAATATTAATAAATTCTAATTGTAAAAATAATTTTTATTACCGTTTCTGAAAGTTAATTATTTGCAAATAATCGAATATTCATTAAATATTAATTTTTACGAAATAATTGAAGTTTAAAAATAATTTTACTAAATTTGATATTTCGCTAAAGTTACTAAAAAATAATTTTGATTCCAAAAATCGAATTTTCCTGAATATTCAAGTTTCGTGTAATAATTTCGTTTCTCTTATAATAATTTTTCTTTTTATATTATAAATTATACTTAAGAAAAAAAGCATATAAAAAGTAGAATTTGCGGAAAAATCGTGTCCCCTTGAGAAAAATAAAATAAAAAATACATTTTTGACTTGAATTTAGAAATGCCTCATTAATGACCTCATTATTGATTGAAATAATTGATTGTACAAAAATAAAAGGCTATATTTATTGCCTTGATAAAGGCAAAGATTTTTTTTCCTTTTTTTTCTCTCACTACATTCTGATTTAAGGAACAATTTTTTTCCTTTATACTGGGGTCTATTTTTTTTTTTTTTTGAAAGTATATAAAGAATACTATCCATGATTTTCTTTTCATTTTCATTGTTCATCAAGTCTTTCAATTTGTACTTCAACCAAAAAAAATTGAACTGTCAATATTCAATTTTTTCACTCCGATATTGCAATTTATCCAGTAAAATTTTTTTTTCTTTTGCTTTTTTTTTACTGTTGTCAATCGATTTTTTCGTAATTTTCAGCCTTGTTTCCTTAGCTGAAGGGATATTTTTAAAGAATACCTTTTTTTAAAGATGGGAGAATAATTTAGAAGGAAATTAAATTGCCGCTACGTCGGATTTTGCCAAGTCAACACAGACGACATTACTGATTATTGAAACTTGATCCGATTTTGTTGTTAAATTGATGTCTGCATTCACGATATTCAATGAGGAAATTTTGGCACGTTCATACGCATCGACTGTGTTTAAACTTAAGAACCTGGAAAAATTTTCGATTAGAATTAAAAAAGAGAAAGATAAATTTTTTGGTTTTTTAAGCAAAAATCTGGCGAGAAAAGAGTTGAAAAAAAATGCACGGCTCGAACTAAGCTCCGGAAAGTTCGTAATTTTATTCAAAAAGGGTGAAAAGTTCGTAAATTGTACGATATAATTTTGGAAATTTTGAAAAAGTTGGAAATAATTGCAGAAATTCAATTATTTTCATAAATTATTATTTAAATTCTTTTCAGGAATTCAAGTATTTTTAAAAATTTTAATAAAATTTTTCAAAGAGTTTTCAATTATTTTCAAAAATTGTTATAAAATTTTTTAATATAATAAATTTCAGTAAAATTTTAATTAAATTCCTTTAAAGAAATTATTGAGTAAATTATTTATTTGCATTTTATTTGTATTTAAATAATTGAATTCTAGTAGGATTTTCTAATAAAAATTGATTTTTATTTCATAAAAATGAATTTCAGTTAAAATTTTAGATAATAATTGAATTTTAAAAGCAATATAGTCCGTAATTTTTCATTTTTGGTTCGTAAAGTCCGTATTTTTAAAAACTTTCACTGGTTCGAGCCCTGGAAATGCAAAAATAAAATATAAAATATTTAAAATGACATACCTTATGCAAATATAAATAATTAATAATGTAGTGCCAGCTGAAAACATTCTTATAAATGGACTTTCGACAAGTTGAATAAGAATCCAAGCAGCTGCAGCAGAACCACACATTGTCGTGACAATGGCAAATGTTTGCAGCCAATGTCGAGGTGTCAAACTGTGTTGCCAATCTAATCTTCTCGAATGTTCAACATTGTATTTTGTTCCACACACTTTGCAAAACAAACTGTCCGAATTCATTGAGCTCTGGAAAAATTTTTTCCAAATTTTTAAACAGAAAAATACCCGAAAATAGAAGATAATTTCAAAAATAGAAAATAGAAAAAATACGGTAATTAAAGAAAATACAGCAAATAGAAAAAATACGGAAATTAAAGAAAATACAACAAATAGAAAAAATACAGAAAAAGAACGGAAAATAGAAAAATATGGAAAGTAATGAAAAGAACAGAAAATAAAAAATACGAAAAGTAGAGAAAATACAGCAAATAGAAAAAATACAGAAAGAAAAAAAACGAAAAATAGAAAAATACCGGAAAGTAAAGAAAAAAATAAAAAAATACGGAAAGTAAAGAAAGTCCGGAAAATAAAAAAAGTACAGAAAGAAAAATGAAAAATACGGAAAGTAAAAAAAATTTCCAGTAAAGAGAAAAAATACGGAAAGTAAAGAAAAACAAGTCGACTAATTGGCGGTGCAACGAAATGTGAAGAAATCAGTAACACGTCGATGAACTTTGAAAAAAAAAAAAAGATTCTGTTTACGAAAAAAAAAGGTAAACAAAGTGAAGTGTAACTAATTGTGAGGAGAATGAAAAATTACTGAGATTTTACCTCAACGAGCCATCGACGCAAGCAATCGTGATGAACGGCGCTCACGTCTCCTCGACATTGACAAGGTTGAATCAATGGACCAGCATCTTGTCGATAATTATCATAGCAAATCCAACAATCTTTGCTGCTACTGCTACCACTACTACTGCAAGCACCGTCCTTTAATAATTCCGCATCGGCTGAACAATTCTTGTCGTTTAATTCAAATTCATTGGCAATTTTTCCCTGATCGAGATCCAATTTCTTAAGGAGACGCTTTGGATTTAATATCCATAATCTCTCGGGACTCGTGCAATTCCATAGGACACATGGAAACCATAGGGCAACTGCCAATTCAATTACACGGAAAACGACGTCGTGCCAATTTCTACTATAAACAGGAACTCTGTGACAAAAAAAAAATGGGAACAAAAATTATTCGCTGTTTTATTTGTATCTTTTTTCTTTATTCTTCCTATAGACTTTCACTTTCTGTAGAATTAATATTAATTCTGAGATTAGAATATCTCGATTATAATTTTTTATAACTTAATTGTTTTTACCATTAATTTTTGTAAAATCAATTTTCAAAAAATTGTATGTTTCCTATTGAGAAATGCTTTATACGTTTAAAATATTATTGCATTAAAATATGCCTTAAAAACTTAAAAATATGAACAAAAATTGAAAAATTATATAATTATAATGAGCATAATTATATTTTGTGGAAATAAATGAATTTTGCGAGAAACATACTTTGTCTTCCAAATATCGCTGAGCATTTCGCTGAAGAGAAATCCACCGACAATGAGCAGCATAAAGGCTTGAAAAACTAATCCGAATCTAGATTGATGTAATTGTGATGTATTCACGTGTGTTTTTAGATTTAACGTTTCACCGGTCATTGGAGTCGATTCGAATAATTTTGCAGTCACAACTTCCTCTTCCGTTCCAGCTGCCTCACCCGGTAAATGTTTCTTTGTCGCTATCGATGTCACTTGATCCTCAAATAAAAAGCCTCCTCGAACCTAAAGACAAAGGAAATTGAGAATTACCATCATTTCCTTTATTTTATTAAACTATCGCAATAACAATAATATTAACGAATTTTTTTTTTAATAATTACACCCATCTTAAGTATTATTAATTAGTTAATTGATAAGTGAATTTTTTTTAATTTTAAATCTGAAATTATTGAAATTTATATTTAATAAAAAAATTTTGTAATTTTCATAATAAATAAATAAATATAACTAAAACAATTTTTTTTTATTCGTTAAAATTAATTGTTGGTAGCTACTTTTTTACTACTTTTTTCAGTATTAAAGCTACTTTTTGATACTTTTTTTTAAAAATACTTTTTTAATTATTGAGTGTGAAGCCTGTATAGTGTTTTTAATTATTTTTACCTTGAAAAAGACTTCGACTCCGTAGATCAGGAAAAATATGACGACAATAAAGAGAAGAACAGCATAGCAGCCATTGAAGACATGTGTGTAGAAACTCTGCAATAACAGAAAAGAATTTATTTTTTTTTTCTTAAATTAAAAAGAGAACAAATTCAGATATAGAAACTATTTTAAATCTATTAATTTTCTTTTCAGATCTTTTGTACTATAATTTTATTAAATTTTCTTTTGAATTGACTAAAAATGTTATTATTTTATTTTATTAAATTTTCTTATAATCGACCAAAAAAATTGTATTATTTTATTTTCTCAAATTTTCTTACAATCGACTAAAAATTGTATTATATTATTTTATCAAATTTTCTTATAATTGACTAAAAAAAAAAAAAGAAAAATTTCTACTTACTGTATCAACGTCCGTGTTCATTTGAACGATGACAAATTCAGCGACCAGTAATGAATATGTAATGACATTAAATACGAGAAAACCAAAAAATGATTTCGAAAGAAACTGCGGCTTATCGTAACGAATATCACGCAAGTGAAATACTTCAGCCCAGAAGCAAACGATTAACGACGATCCACTCAATAGAAATGGATAGTATGCTGACAATAAACTTCTCGACCATCCTTCTTCAAATGCAGTCTTAAAATTCAAAAAAAGAAAAAATAATTTTATTTGAAAAAATCCATAATTAAAAAATGTTTATTTTATAAATTCAAATTTACTTTTCTTTATCTTCTTTATTTGAATTTAATTTTTTTTCTTTTATTGTAATTTTCTTCAACTATCGTTTTCTTATTTTATTCTCTAACAACATTTGGACATTTTAATTGTATTTTAAGAATGAATTAAAAAATGTTTACTTACAGGAGAAGTGAAGTAAGCACCACGAATTATTGAAGCGAGAAAAACAACAAAGTACAAAACTTTTTGCGTTGTCACTTGACAGGCGCGCAAAAGTGATGGGGTTTTCATTTTTTGCCACTCAGCAACTATACACATTATTAATTGCAATAAACAAACGAAGGCAAGTAAAAAAAACATCGATGCAAATCCAATATAATAGCTGAAGTTCGGAACGTGACATTCTGATCCGTCGAATTGAATCTGCAAAGAAAATTTTCATTCAAAAACTATTCTTTCTTTTATTATTTCTATTGTTATAAAATAAATATGTACAAATATATCTTTATAAATGAATAATATAAATATATTTATGATAAATAATATAATAATTTAAATACATTGGGACATTTCAAATTATTATATAAATAATATAAATATATTTACGATAAATAATATTAATATATTTATGATAAATAATATAAATATACTTAAATAATAAATAATATAAATAAAGAAATTATGATTTCGATCATTAACTGCAAATTATCGAGAAGTTAAAAAATAAAATAAAAAAGTAAAATAAAAAATTACGTAATTAAAAACATTTTTTTAAATGACTTTCGAAAAAAAACCTTCTCAGTGCTTTAATGTCTTTTTAAGTATTCTATTGTATTTAAAATTAAATTGTGAAATAACTGGTTTAGATTAAATTTAATCTGAAAATTATTCGAACGAAAAAAAATAAAAGAGAATGAACTCTGAACATGATATGTCGAAATAGGTGTTTTTTTTTTGGTTGTCCATTTTTTACCTTTCTAATTCTTTAATCAATATTATTGGGAAACATTCCATTATATTTGATTATTAAAAATTGTTTTTAATAAAAAGAAAATATATTACCTCGCAGAGACAAGTGCCATTATGACATTCTCCATGACCGGAGCAATTTCCTATCCCGCAAGTATTATTCCACGCCATCATTCCAAATTTCATCAGCAGTGATAATGGATTTTGAGTGCTCAGAGCAATCATTTGATCCATTTTCACTGCCTTCAATCCTCAACTGCCAAACTGCAGTGCTGAAAAGAAGAAGAAAATTATAATTGTTTACTAAAAAAACACCAAAAAAGATGTTAAAAACTAAAATAGAAATAAAATAGAACTAAAATAGAAAATATTTACGAAAAAATATATTAACTCCCATTTAATATTCTGCGATGAAATTGAATCGAAAATTAAAAAAAAACAATATAAAGTCATTTTTTTAAATTATTCAGTACTTTATTTTCATTCTCTCACGAAAATTTAATGAGAAAGATGACCAACAAAAGATAATTAATTGCGTGGCATTACACAAAAAGTTCTAATTGATGTAAATTGAAAGTTTTATTACTAAATTGAAAAAAATACTTCGAAATGAATGTTCAGTCGCGAAAAACACAAAAAACAGATTTTTTAGTAAATGAAATTTTCCACATTGTTAAAATATTGACAAAAATAAATAAAAATTATGAAAAGCAAAGATTTCATTTCGTTTTTTGTATCCACAAAACAGTAAATTAAAACTAGACTGTCAAAAGCGTTGATAATAAAACTAATTTCACAATCACTCGCTATATCTATTAATGTCAATAAAATAAGATACTATTTTTTACCCCTTTTTTTCCCCAACAAAATTACTCGGGATATTTCGGATTTTTTCTAAAAAGACACCATTGTTTATGTATTTTCCGAAAAGGAGTTAAAAAAACGAAAAATAAGTAACAAAGAACTATTTAATTGATATTTAAGTTAAGAGTACGAGTACAAATGAAATGTTTTAAACGAAATGTACTAAATATACCGACGTTTCTTTATCAAATTTCCATCAAACTTTATTATCATATTTCAAAACAAAAACAAAGAAATCAATTATAAAAACAAAAAAAAAAGATGGATTGGTAATTTTAAATTTAAACCAACAGTAAACTTTAATGAAAGCGATATTAATGACAGTAAACACGTATATATTTTATTCGAGAAATTATGTCTTTGAGTGCATAAGTACTGATGGAAAAACTATAAAGACTCACCACTCGGTTTCACATTCGTCAGCTGTCTTTCAGGAATCTTGAAAAATAATCTCGATTCCTATTTTTAGCACTCCCTGTTTATTATTTGTCGCACACACAAATTGATAATTTTTTGGATTCTACCAATTTTTATCATTCACGGAGTGAAATGGAATAAAAGAAGTCGAAAAATCATTAAAAATATCGCGCCATTCACGATCACAATTCCGTCAATTTGACTTTCATCAATGCCTTCTTCATCAAACTGTACTAACGATTTAAGAATAAAAAAAAGCACGGACAAGAACACACCAACACTTTTTTGATTAAAGCACTGATGAACACATATGCAATTCGAACACGCAATATAATTTTCTTTCTTTGTGTGATCTGTTATGGTTGCAGTCACAAAGGATATTAATGACACTTTAGTATGACTTCTTGCTTCTGACACTTCTTTTTAAATATTTATAACATTTTTTTAAATTTATCTTTATTTTTAGAAACTCCCTTTTATTTTGCTTTCTTACTTTCGTGTCGAATTTTTATACATGTTCACTATTTTTTCTATTTTCTATTGTTGAAATGTTGGAAAATGATATTTGATTTATGGACATAAAGCACTGTTCACAATGACTTTTTGGCACTTGTCCAGTTTAGTTGTCCAAGACTCCAAGTAATTCAATTTTAAAAACAAAAATAATAAATAACTTTTTTATTTATTATCCAAATTTTCAGAGTGCTTCTATTTATAACAAAAAAAAATTATTTAACAAACTATTAATTTATTTACAAAACTAAATAATATTGTTTTTTATGATAAGCTCTCGACCAATCACAGCGCGCCATTTCAAGGACTTAAGGGAAATAATAATTGTTCGTGCCTGACATATGAAAATCGATTTTTAGTGTTAATTGTTATCTTTCATCTCTTTCATCAAATTGTCAAGGAAAAAAAGAGAAGGAGAAGGGAAATAATTTCTCTTGCTGAATTTTATATTCGATCTGGTTTTTTCAAAAATCGTTGCTGAGAGAAAAGAGGGGGTAAAAATTTCCCTCTCCTTCATCACTACTCATCGTTTGGATTCCTGTCAATTCTCATTTTTCTCAGAGGTGTTTTTCTCAACTTTGTGATTATTTTTTGCAAACTAGAAAGAAAACTTTGTAGATCAAGGTATGTGTTAAACCCGGTAAAATATCAGCTACCTGTCAAAGTAATTTTTTTCCCTTTAAATTTTTGTTACTATTATTACATAACTATTTTTGGATGATAATTCTAATGTTGCCAGAGTAGAAGACTTTATTTTACGATTAAGGAAATATTTTCTTTCTATTTCCATTATTTTCATTATTTATAATAATAAAATATATATTTAAAATATCTGAAAAATTTGTTTTTTTTTTTGTTGTAAATATGATTAGTTATTGCTGAATGATTTTTATTACTGAACTTTCTATTCTTTTAATTCGACTTTTTTTCTATTTATTTATATTTTTAAATAAGAATACTTAAAACAATTTGATAGCAGATAATTTTTGTTTTTTTGTATTTTTTATTGATTTTCTACATAACCTCGGAGTGTCGCCATTTTTTAAACGTTTTCAACAAAAGATCGAAAACAAAAAGCTACTCAATATTTTTGTGTTCGTTTTTATTACTTACTTCGAAGGGATTGTCGAAGAACTTTTACGATTCTTGGATTGAACAATTCGAAAGTCAATTTATAAATCGAACTAATAATTAAAAGAAACTTAGTACATAACCTGAAATATTGAGGAAAATTTCTTGCACAAACTTTTTTGATTTTAATGAAAAAAAAGAGTTTTTGTCAGAGTAAATTAAAAAAATGATTTTTTAGATGGTTGGTCCAATTGCAAAACCAGTAATGCGAGGAATGTGTATAAGCTACATAAAGAAAGGTATTATTGGAGCAGTTTCAGCATCTATTGTGGCTGGAGTTGCTTTTAAATTTCTCTTCATGGATTCCAGAAGGAAAATCTATGACGATTTTTACGCGTAAATTTCCATTATTCTCTCTTGATTTTTATTAAAATTGATTGCAAATTAAAGAGAGAAGTTAATGAGATATTTTTCTTTTTAGTACATACGATAAACATGCGGCCGTTCAACGTTTGAATAGATCCGGTTTTATGTCATCGTCACCTGAAAATATCGCCAAAAGGAGGGCAGAGCGTTAAATAAATTTTCAATAAATGTAAATAGACGATTCATAAATTAAAAAAAGTCACTATAGAAGTTAAAAATTTATCATTACTTTATTAATAATTCCCTATATTGTACTTTTTTTCTTTTGTTATTAATAATATACAGGAATTAAAATAAATCGTTTTGTTTATTTATTCCTTATTTTCAGGAGAAATTGAAGAAAAATTAAATACAAGAAAAGGGAGTTTTTTTTTCTTTTTTTAAACTAAATTCTCTATATTCGCTAAATTGTAATGATTTTAATTTTAATCTAAATAATAAAGGAGAAAGGACAAAGGTCCAAAGAAAATTAAGGTTAGAATAATGGCAAAGCAAAAGCAGACAAAGTTAAGAGAAAAAATAGGATTTGATGGAAAAGACAGGCGAGTAGCGAAAGAACGTTTCTGATTGGTTGTCACATTTTTGACCAACCAATCACAATTGTTTCTAAGGTTTAATATTCCTTTCACTCCCATTTTCGAAGATTATTAATTTACCTGTTTTTTTAACGACCTTGGTTTTAAACGATTGGCAAGATGGCGGCCAAGTTACCCAGTGTGCCCCGCGCGATTGATTTGCGCATGTCAAATGCTCGCATTGCAAAATGGCGGCACCTTGTTATTGTTCCTGGCGTTTTATGACTTGTCCCTTTATATTGCCGATTATGTCGAATTTTTTCGCGATCTATATCGCGCGCCGTGTGCATAAAGTGCAGTAATTATTGTTCTTGTGTACTTTAAATGAAGAGCAAGTGTTTTTGTGTTACTGTGGTGCAATTTTTGGACGCGTTTAAATCCCTTAAAACATCAAGTTTTGCGAGAGTGAAAAATGGGGTAACGTTAAAAATTTTCTCTCCACTTGGTTCATTCATACGGTTATAAAATCAGTGATTGTGCAAAAGGACAATTAAGTGTTTATCATCAAATGCGATTATGCCATTAAATTTCATTATTAGAATTGTAATGCATTTGTCGTTGAATAATTGTGGAACGAGAAATTTTTCGTGTTTTCAGCATGCTTGAGTCCACTTCACGACACCTCCCCCGACGGGACAAAATGGTGGCCCCCCGATATCCAATGGTCTGGGAGCCTTATTTTGCTGAAAATTAACGCGAATTATCATCGCAAAAGAATAATTGTGTTGAATAACGTTGCATTTCAGCCAAACGAATCTTCGGATATTAATACTGAGTGAGAATTATTGTCTATAACCTATTTTTACGTCTACATGATAATATTCCCCGAGCCCCTGTCTTATGGCCCCAAAGATTTTAATTGCCGTTCGTCAAATGCACGAGCTACCACCCAAGAAAGTCTTTTTCATTTTCGATTCAATTTTTTTCTTATTTTCCATAAATTGGAAAATAGAAATTTTCTCTCTTTTTTCCAATTTGTGGTTTATTCAATTTTTACATTTCATTAAAGTAAATTAGATGAAGAAAAAAAATCCGTCATCAAAGGTATAACCTAAGTACGCGACGGTTGCCTCACTTGTGTGTTTATGCACTGTGTTTTTGTGATTGTTTTCGTAAATAGAAACTATTTTTACCTGCCCACCTGTAATTCTTGATGCATTTTTTCGACAATTAATTCGAGTGTTTTTAAGAAAAAAAAGAGGAAAAAATCGAGGCGTGGTAATGTCAGTATTTTTTTTCATTTTCATTTATATTTATAGTTGAAAAAAATAATTCACTTTTTTTTGGAGTTTTTCTAGTTTATTAAGCTTCTAACCCGGTTGCCTTGTCACGTTTTGTGATAAAACTTGTAAAAGCTAGTCTTTTTCTTTTTTTTATCATGCAATATGAATTTCTTTTATCAGTGACTTTAGTAATATTAGCAAATCGGAACAAAATGTATTATCAGATTTGCAATATTTTTATTTTTATTTTATTTTTGTTTATTTTTATTATTTTATGTAAACATTTAATTTTATGCTTGATTTATAATTTTAATTTAAAATCAGAATTTACTGTTTAAATTTAATTAATTAAATAAAGTTTAATTTTTTTGGAGCAAAATTGAAATTTATGTTTAGAAGACGATTTTAATTCCTAATCGAAAATTTCTACTGTATTTTAGTGTTTTTTTATAAAGTGTAAATAATTTTGAATTCAAGATAAATTTCTAATGTGAGTAATTTTCAATAACAATATTTACATTTTTTTGTGGAACGGCCCTTAATTAATTGTTTTTATAAACACAATTAAATGTATATCAAAAATTCAGAGAATTAATAGTAAATATTGTGTTTAAAATTGAAAGGATAGAAATAATTTTCTTTCGATATTTTCATTGACAGATTGAACGATTAAAGGTAATTAAAATTTTGTGGATTAATGATATGACTAATTAAGTAATTTATTGACTATTGTTATTAAGTCTTTCCCTTTGATTCGGAATTTTTTTTTCTCTTTTGTCTTCGAAATATTAAAAGTATTTCGATTTTTAAAATTCTCTAAAAAATTAATTGTTTTTTTATAATTTTGTACTTTTTTATAATTATTAGTAAATAATATTTCAATAATACTTATTATTTATTAAGTAATAATAATAATTATTATTTAACTATTTCGTTAAATAAATATTATTCTCCCGACTAATTATAATTGCATTAACAATTTTCGTGTTAATATTAATCATTTAATTAATATTTTATTCTAAAATTTAGAAAAAATGCAACAAGTTATTCAAAAAATGTGAAAGTTTTGCAATATTTGTGCAATAAAAAAATTATAAAAATTTTTATTTATATAAATTATTATTATTTATTTTACAATTTGTAAATTTTTTTTTGTCGAAAAAGTGCCAATAATTTGATATTTATCGTGAAAAATTAAAAATTTATTAAACAATTTTTTAAGAGATAAAAATAAGAAAACATATTTTAAAAATTCATTTAATTAATTATTAATTAATATTTTAATCTAAAATTTAGAAAAAATGCAACAAGTTATTTAATAAATGTAAAAATTTTTAAATATTTGTTTAAACAAAAAATTATAAACATTTTTATTTATATACATTATTATTATTTATTTCTTTATTTATTTTATATATAAATTTTTTTTTTGTGGCAAAAAAGTGATAATAATTTGTTATTTATCGTGAAAAATAAAAATTTATTAAACAATTTTTTAAAAGATAAAAATAAAGAAACAAATTTTAAAAAATTCAATTTTTTTAAGAAAAACGTTAATGTAACGTTTTCTCTCTACTTTGAAATTAGAATTAATTTTTTTGTTTCAATTTTTAATGGTTTGACACTATTTTCATATAATATTATTTCAACATTATAAAATGAAAAATAAATAGAAAAAAATTGACGATACGGATTAAATTGATAACATGTTGTGAAATTTTATTTATTTTCTAATTATGTAATTAATTTTTATGTTTTTTTTGCTAATTAGTTTTAAATATGAATTAAATATTTTTTTAGTAAATTTCCAAGTAAAATACGTTTGTAAATTCATTCATAAAAATTGAAATAAAAATTTAATTTATATTTTTTTTTTTACAAATTTGTATACAAAATTTATTTACATTTTTATTTGTATTAAAAAAAATTTAAATATAACTTTGGATTTGTAAATGTAAATTCTATTATTATTTAGATATTTATTAAATTATTATTATCATTAACATTGCTACTATTATTATTTTATTTATTATTATTTTTCTACTATTATTATTATTTTTATAATTATTACTCTTATTTTTATTGTCATTATTATTATTGTTTTTAATTTAATTTTAACTTTGTTATTACTATTATTATTTTGTTTATTATTTTTTGTTTAGAAAAATAAACATAAATTTATTCTTTTTATTTAGAAAGAAACATGATTTAACATTTTATTATTTATTTCTCTTTCATTCTTTCATCTATTTATGTTATTTAACATTAATTTTCAACAATTAGTTGAAACGTAATTAGTCGTTTAAATGTTCGTCTTAAATAAATTCACATTCTTTTCACATCCGGATTTTAATATTAGACGTAAATTATTTATCTAATATTAGTGTAAATTATTTTTTAATTCAGGTATTTGTTTATTTATTGATAAGTAGGTTTTTTTATATAAATATCAATAATAAGCAAATGAATAATTAAGTAACTAATAAATAAATTAATAATTAATTAAAGTAGAAAAAATAAATTAATTAATAATTAATTAAATAAGAAATAATAAATTAATTAATAATAAGCAAATTTTTGTCTTGTGCTAATTTTCGAGAGATGTTCTAATATATTGTTTGTTTTTTGTTTCTTATTTGTTGTCAGTCGAAAAGGGTGTTAATTAAAAATTGCACTGGAGTGGTTTTGGGGATTATTGTCGTTTATTGGTCGAAAAACGGACATCTCGTCGCAGAAAAATTTAACTGTTATCCATAGAAGTTGCCAGACTACTCGGGTAGTTATGTGATTATTGCTTGGTAAGTATTATAATCATTAATCATTCTCACCATGTTTTAAAATGTAATTTCATTTCTTGACTTTTCCTATTTTATTTATTTTTACTATTTTCTTTGGCATACTTCTTTTTTGTATCGTTGATAATGATGATGATGATTTCTTTTATTTTTGCTTCTCAACACACCTCGATATTAGTTTCAATTTATCAAAAAAAGAAAATTAAAACTTAGTATTTTTTTGTAATAATTATATTTTTAAATAATTAAATTATTTGTGAATAATTCCGGAAAAATTATTAATTACTTTTCTTCGAAATTAAGTAATGTTCTGAATTTTTTTTTTTTTTGCTTCTTTTCTTTACTAACAAAAACTATTTTTCCTTGTATTATTTTTCTTTTTTGGTGACATTTGTTTTTTAAAGGGGTAAAAATTGTTGGCTTAATATGAATTTTTTGCACATTATTTTCTGTAGTCATGGCGGCTGACAGTGATGGTGATCTGATTGAGACGGTGGTAACGTGTGAAGGAGATCTTGGTGATCCAGATTTTCCACGCAAGTTTCAAGTCATCGTTAATCGTCTCAGTTCCCTTGTCTGCAAAGGTAAAACGAACATTCTTTTTTCTCAATTTGTCAAAAAAAAGAAAAAAACAGAATTATTACATTCAAAAATCTAATTTATGTTCTCCAGTTATTAACGAACAATTTTTGTCGTTAATAATTACAGAAAATATTTTTTTTCTCCAAAAAAGTGATTTAACTTTTTTTCAGTTCAATTTGTATTTCAAATTTAAATTATTTGTTTTAAATTATTTGTAATTTTGTAATTTTGTAATTTAAAATTTTTTAATTGAAACATTCTAGACTTTTTAAATTGCTCAAATATTATTGAATTTATTTTTCAAAAGTGGGAGAAGTTAATTATTTTATTTCGTTTGATAGTAAAAAAACGACTTTTTTTTTTAATTCAATAACTTTTTAGTTTTACGATACTTTTTGATAAATTTTAACATTTTGTTTTTAAAATTTTTTTTCCAGATAAGGACGAAAAATTGAGAATTGACAAAGTAGAACCATGGAATTCGGTGAGAGTGACATTTTCTATTCCCAAGGAAGCTGCTCTTCGACTGAGAGAATTAGCTTCACAGGGATCATCAACTCTCACTCAACTGGGTATCCTCTCAGTTCAAGTCGAAGGAGATCAGGTAAAATTGTTGAAAAATATTTTCAAAAATTAATTTTTTAATCGGAACTCACGTCTCTTTTTTTTAAATTTATTTTTAGCTTAATAATCTTTGTTAATTTTTGTTTTCGATTCCTTTCCTGTTTTTTTCTTTTTTTATTTTACTTTTACTTTCCTAATTTCTTTTAGAAAATATTTTTATACGTTTCTGTTTTCATTGTTTTTGTTTTCTTTTTTCTATTTTACTGTTTTGTTTCTATTTTCCGCTACTGTTTTGTTTACTTTTTTTCTCGTCTCCTACTTAATGTTTCTACTTTTTTTAGTTTTATTCTTACTTTTTGTTTACTTTTCTTTTGGATTTCAATTATTTTTCTATTTATTTTGCCACTTTTCTGTTTGATTTCAATTATTTTTCTATTTTCTCTATTTACTTTTATCTTTGTTTTTAACTATTTTTCTCCTTTTTCGTCTCTTTTCTGTTTAATTTCAATTATTTTTCATTTTTTTCTGTTTACTTTTCTGTCCGATTCGAAATATTTTCCTATTTATTTTGTCGCTTTTCTGTTAAATTTCGCTTACTTTTTATTTTTTTCTGTTTACTTTTCTGTTTTGATTCGAATTATTTTCCTATTTATTTTGTTGCTTTTCTGTTTGATTTCAATTATTTTTCTATTGTTTGTCTTTTTTTTTAATTTAATTTCAATTATTTTTGTATTTTTTCTGTTTACTTTTCTGTTTGTTTTGAACTATTTTTCTTTTTTTCCTCTTTGATTTCAATTATTTTTCTACTTGTTTTGGCACTTTTCTGTTTGATTTCAATTATTTTTCTATTTTCTCTATTTAATTTTATGTTTGTTATGAACTATTTTGCTCCTTTTTTGTCTCCTTTTTGTTTAAATTCAATTATTTTTAATTTTTTTCTGTTTCATTCAAACTATTTTTTTATTTAGTTTGTTACTTTTTTGTTTGATTTCAATTATTTTTTGTTTGATTCGAACTTTTTTCCTATTTAGTCACTTTACTGTTTGATTTCAATCATTTTTGCTATTTTCTCCTTATATTTTTGTGTTTGTTTATTGAACAAATTTTCTCTTTCGTAGTCTTTTTTTTTTGTTTATTTCCAATTATTTTTCTATTTTTTCTTTTTGTTTTGAACTATTTTCCTTTTTTCCGTTCGATTTCAATTATTTTTGTATTTTTATTTTGTTTTCTATTTACTTTTTTTGTTTGTTTTGAACTATTTTTCTATTTTTTTTTTGTTCGATTTCAATTATATTTCTATTTTTCTCGTTTACTTTTCTGCTTTATTTTCTATATTCTACTTTTCGTTTATTACCGTTTTTCCTTCTTTTCTCTTTTTTTTTGTTATTATTATTATTTTTCCTTGTGTATTAGCAGTTGATAATAAGAGTTGATTGTGTTTTTATCAGGTGATCTCATTGAGGATAGCAAGTCGATTCGGAGGAGAGGCGCAAGAAATAGTTTTGCATTCTGGACCTTCTCAGGAAACGGGGAATAAATCCCAAAGCAATCCTACAAATGGTGCATCGAGTGCAGATGGAGACTCTTCAGCTCCAATACCTGGTCCCAGCAATGCATCCAGTTTTTCCTCCACCTTACGAAATGTTGCTCAGATTATAACAGCCGGTAAATAATTACATTTAAAAATAATTCAAAATTAATTATTCAAATAAAATTGAGTTAAATGTTCGGCAAAATTTCTATGAATTTAATTGATATTTAAATTTGTTTATATTGAAATGAGTTAATTTTCTAGGTACATCAGCCGAAAAATCGCCCCAATTTCGTTCTCCAAATGTTGTTGCGCCAACAGACTGTGATCCAATTCCATTACTTCTCCCAAAACAAGTTCAATCGACGGCTGGCGGTAGTGGAGTGTCTGGCAATCAAGTGACACAAAATTCAAATCAAACGTCACGAACAAATTACAATGGGCCATTTCCCTTTGCAAGTATGACACACGCGGCGCAAGCGATTCATTCACGTGAAACGCAAGCGAAAACGAGTAGTGTACAATTTAAACATCACACACAACCACCACCGCCTTATCCAGCAGCTCAAGAAACTGTGGCAATCGTTACTGCCCCAACGACAACAATTCAAACGACAACACAGTCCATTTCAACTGTCACTCAAGTTGCACAGTACAAATCCACCTCCTCGTCGTCTTCTTCGTCATCATCTTCATCATCATCATCCTCCGCGTCTTCATCGACAAACATGGTTTCTAGTCCATCGTCAAGCTCCACCGTCACAAATCCATCAAACGGAAGTGGCAATCAAGTCGCACTCTCGAGTCCACTTCTCGTCAATCTTCTACAAAACGACGGCACAACAACGCATTCAAACAATATCGTTCCCGATCAAAAAATGCCCCCACCACCAGCCTCAATTGTCGATGGTTCAACAATTGGAAATCGTGTTCGACCCGCCAAGAAGCCAGTGCGAAGGAAAGACATACCATCGGCCAGTGAATCGCCACCAAATCTCGATTCACTACGAACAGAGGATTTAATTGGTTCAACGACTGCCGTCCCAGAATTAACGCCCTCAGCATTCGTCACCGTTAACGCCAGTCAACCCTCGACAGTGCCTCAACATAATATCCCCCAGCAATCAACTCAACAACAACAACAATCACTGCAAACAACAATAGCAACAACTCTCCCAAATCAAGTACAAATCCAACAAAAGTTTCCCGTTCGACAGGAAATCACCTACAGAACAACGACACAACAAAATCTCGCCGCAAGGTTTCCGGTCAATGGCCAACAAGTCCGTACTCCCCTTCAACGACAACAGCAAATTTTAATCCAACATCAAATTCTCACTCAACAACAAAACGTTAACGTTCAAAATGTCCAAGGCCAAATAATTCAACAGCAACAAATTCTCGTCAATCAACAAAGACTCGGCTTTCTCGGCAATCAACGTCAACCGACGCCTCCGCCCTATCCGAGGCAAACACCCCCGAGTGGCCAGAATCTAAACGTCCAACAACAATTACATCACAATCAGATAAAAAACATTAACGTTAATACAAACACAACGAGTGATTTTCGTTACGGACAGAGTCAAAATATTCTCAGTAGAAATTATCAACCGGATGCCACCGGTGCAAATGGGACCAGTTGGAGTGTAAATACGCAGCAGCAACAACAACAACAACAACAGCAACAACAACAGCACCAACAACAGCAGCAACAACAACAGCAGCAACAACAACAACGTCTCGCTACCACCAATTTTCCAAATCACATAAAAACCGAGACGGAAATAAAAGAGGAGAAAATAAAAGAAGAGGAAGAAGAAGAGGAGGAGGAGGACGAACCACCCGAACCCGTTTACACATCAACGGGTAAAATTCGTCAATTTTTGATAAATCCCTTCTCGGGCGAAATCGAACCAATGCCAAGTGAAAGTTCCGAATCAGAACCCGAGAGCGCTGTCGATAATCAAGACGATTTTTTCTCCTATCCCTCGCCATCGAACGATCGTTCAAATTCAATATTCTCCGACGATGATGCAGACAGTAATTTTTCCCGCCGCAACGATACAACAACAAACACTGATCAATCGGATTCGGAAGCAACCGTGAAATCGACAAACAGTGAAGGAAGTTTAAAACACAATCGTATTAAAACATCCCGTGAAAGTCCAATGCCAGCCGAGAAAATAAAGCTACGAATGAAAGTCGAAAAATCCGATCCCTTTAATCCTGCCTATAAAGTCGATGTCTCATTCGTCAATACACCACCATTACGTAAAGTCGATAAATCAAAAATATTCGCAACAATTTCAAATTCAGGATCTGGTGGCGAGGAACCACGTGTACCGCCATTGCATATTTCGTTACGTGGACGGAATGCGTCGGTGGTGCAAATTAGAAAAAAGGAGAAGAAACTTAAGGAGGGCGACGATGAGACGAATTTAAAGCGTCGTGGGAAACTTAAGAAAATTAAGGAAGACGGACATAAATTAGTGCAGAAGAAATCGTTGAACATGATAATAGGTACGAATAATATACCAATGGTTAATTCAACATTGACACAACAACAACAACAACACAATAATGCTATTAATTGTAAAATTAATAATACTGTCGCGATAAAAGCAAATACGGTTGCTAGTTGCAACCTAGAGGGAAGTGGAAATAAAAGTGGAAATATAAAGCCAAGTTCGAGTAAAAGTGGTGATGTTGATGATATACCATTAAATAGTAGAATACCATCGCCATTGAAGCATAAAATTGGTGTTTTAAATCAAACGACAAATTCAACATTAATGAAAAATCAAGTAGAGAGTGATGTACAAAATCATACGAATGAACATAAAATTGGCGGAGGTAAGATTTCTCATAATGTATCGCGTTTGGTTGTTTTTTTTTCTTTTTTTTATATCATCAAAATTTATTTTATATTGAAAAGGTTTCGTATTTTTGTATTTTAAATTCATAAATATGAGAAACAAAAATTTCTCAGGCTTTGTACTCATCTACTAAAAATTTTTCTGACGATATCTGATACTATTTGGATCATTTTTTTGTGATACTAATAACAATTTTTTTCTATGCTTGAAAATTTGCACTGCTTTAAATTCGTTAATAGCGGAATAAAAAAATTATTCTCCACAAATTTTCAAAAAAAATTCTAAAAATCGTAACAAATTTTAATAAAATTCTTTCAAATGATTCAATTATTTTGTAAAAAAAATTTTGAGATTCAATTCTTTTTAATATTTAGTATTTCAAAAAAAATTCCGAAAAGAATTCAATTATTTAAAAAAAAATTCTTATAAAATTCTTTGCAAACATTAAATTATTTTCATAAATAATAAAATTTTAACAGGAATTCAATTATTTATATTTCTTTTTAAAATAAATTTCTTCGATAATAATTCAATTTTTTTTCGTAAATAATAATTTTTTTAACAGGGACTAAATTATTTATAAATAATAAAATTCTTTTTTTAGGAATTAAATTATTTTCATAAATAACAAAACTCATCGCGCAGAATTTCAATTATTTTTAATACAATTTTAATCGAATTCCTTGGAAAAAATATAATTATTTTTCTTGAAAATTTTATTGAAAATCGTCAAGAGAATTCAATTATTTAAAAACATTTTTATAAAATTCTTAAGAATAATTGAATTAAGAATTTCAATTTCAAAGAATTTTATGAAAATTTTTTAAATAATTGAATCTTATCGAGAATTTTTTTTTAATATTGACTTAAAAATAATTGAATTCCTACGAAAAAGTTTTATGAAAACTTTTGAAAATATTTGAATTTCTGCGAAAATTTTAAAATTTATGAAAATCGTTGAATTCTTGCGAAGACTTTTATTAAAATTTTTTGAAAATAATTCAATTTCTACAAGGAATTTTATTATTTAACGAAAATATTTAAATACTTGCGAAAAATATGAATTCAAATTTCTGAAAGTAATTTACGATCTGCAAAGAATTTTGTTATTTTTAATTTGTGTCAAGAATTATATTAAATTTTATGAAATTTACAATTTTTCACAGGAATTATTTAATTATTTTTGAAAATTTTAGTAAAAATATATCGCAAGAATCTAATTATTTTCATAAATAATAACAAAAACTCATCGAAGAATTTCAATTATTTTTTATACAATTTTAATCGAATTCATTGAAAAATAGAATTATTCTTGAGAATTTTAGTAAAAATTGTCAAAAGAATTCAATTATTTTAAAATTTATTAATGAAATTCTTTATGAGAGTTCAGATTTAAGAAACATTGAATTATTTAATAAATTATTTATTTTTGTATTTAAATAATTGAATTCTCGTAGAATTTTCTAATAAAAATTGATTTAAAAAAATAAATGTTCGTTAAAAACGCTAAAAAAATTGAATTTTGGAAAAAAAAAGATTTTGTAATTGAAATCGTTAAAAATTTGAATTGTTGTAAAACTAACAATTTGTTGTAAAATTATTAATTTTTAATTATCGTAAGAAATGATTAGAGTTTTAAATATTTTTATTTAAAAATTTCAACGAAAAATATGATTGAATTTTGGAAGAAGAACAGTTGTAATTTTTAGAAATAGTTCAATTACTTCGAGTATGAAGCCTGAATTTCTTTACAAAAAAAAATTACAAAGAATGGATCAGAAATTATAAAGTTGATAAATTATCATAAATCATCATAATTATAAAGAAATAATTAATAATTATAAATATTTCTAATTAATTAGAAATATTTATAGTTAATTACAATTCAATCGTGAATTTCGAAAAGGGCTCAACTCCTGAAAATCGTAAGAGTCATTTTCCACTATTAATTTTTATGTGATAATGACTCTTATAGTTTTCAAGAGTTCATCCTTTTTCAAAATTCACGATTTAATTATCTATAATTGTTTTCTAAAAAGTATTAACATTCAGTAAAATTTACAGGAAAACGACATAATTATTGATTATAAATATTTAATAGTCATTAAAAATTTATTTTAATTTGTATTAAATTTATTAAAATTCAGAAAAAAGGAAACAAAATAATTATTGATTTAAATTGATTTTAAATTATTGAAAAAAAATACTCGATAATATTTTGATATATTTTCTGCTGCATTCTTTGATTCTTTTCTCTGCTTGAACACCGAGAAATTATTTCAAAACACGAGCAAATGATAAATATTTTCACTAGATCGTTTAAAAATGAAAAAAAATGGAATAAGTAATTGTAACTAATTAGTTAAAAACAAAATGGTATATTCTACTTTTTTTGAAAATTCTTTCTGAAATTTCTTTTCAAACTCAAATTTTTGAGAAAATAACTCTAGTAATTATTAAAACAAAAATATTTATGAAAAATTAATCAAAAAAGAGAAATCTCAAATCAGTGGAATGTGTCTATACTTTTCAAAGGGGGAAAAGAATAGGAAATAAAATTAGGGTTAAAAAATAGATCTACAATTAGAAAAAAAGGAAGTATTTTGATACGAAAAAAATTTCTTTTTCCGTCTTTAAAATTATTTTTCCACAGAAAAGAAAATTTTCTTTAAAAAAAACTGATTTTAAACGCAATGAAAAATTTATAGTTTTTTAGAATATTTTTGAAACTTGGTAATGAATAAAGTAAAGAATGAACAAATTAAAGAAAAAAATTACTGAAAAAAAATATTGTGTTAGACAAAAATTCCCAAAAAGATAAAAATACTAATTTTGTTTGCTTCCTTTTCTATTTTCAGGCAAGACGAAAAGAAGAGATTCAAAGAAAAAATCGGAAACTGGCGACAATCAACATCGTGAGCAAAATTTATTGTCAGGCGGTAGAATTGTTGATAATCAATCAAAGTGGAAGAAGCTTGGTTATAAAGGCGATGCGGCGACGCAAGGATTAAAAGCAAAGGAGCAAACAATTTTACCCAGCAATGATTTAACATCGGCAACGAGGAAAATTGGCGAAATCCGAAGAACAAGCGATGGCGATTTAACAAGAACAATTGTTAATGAAAAGAGCAATGTTCTCAATGCAGTTGGATCGAGATTGGCGGAAGTCAATGGAATTCGCAAGGATCTCGTTGCTAATCAAGAGAAGCGACGACGATCCAGTTTAATTGACGAGAAGGATCTTAATTTATCTGGTAAAGTATTTTTTTTATTTTCACTCATTTTTTTTACTTTTTCTATTTTTTTATAATCTGAACTTTTCTTTACTTTCTGTATTTTTCTGTTTCCTTTAGTTTTATATTATCTGTCCTTCTTTCTATTTTCTGTAATTTTTTTTACTTTCTGTATTTTTTACTTTTCCACTCTTGCTTTTTTTCTATTTTTTGTATTTATTCTATTTTTCGTATTTTTTTTATTTTCTGTATTTTTTCAATTTTTCGTATTTTATTTAATTTTTTATTATCTTTCTGTATTTTTTCTTACTTTTTGTATTTTTTCCCTTTTCTGTATTTTTCTTGACTTTCTGTATTTTATCTACTTTTCCACTCTCGCTTTTTTCTATTTTTTGTATTTATTCTATTTTTCGTATTTTTTTTATATTTTCTGTATTTTTTCTTACTTTTAGTATTTTTTCCCTTTTCTGTATTTTTTTTTTGATTTTCTGTATTTTTTCAATTATTATTTGTTTCTTATTTTCTTTTTTCTCTAGTTTTTACTTTCTGAATTTATTTTATTTATTTGTTTACATTTTTATTTTCATTTTTTATATTTTGCGTATTTTAAATATTTTCTGTCTTTTGTTTTAGGAATTTTTTTTATTTTTTGTACTTTTTAAATTTTCTATATTTGTCTTATTTTTTCTATTTTCCATAGTTTTATACTTTCCATATTTTTTTTTATTTTCTGTCTTTTTTCATTAATTCGTATTTTTCTGTATTTTTTTTCTGTTTGTCTGTATTTTTCTTTAATTTTTGTATTTTTTTACAAACTATTTTTTTATTTTTCTGTATTTTTTTATATTCTTTAGTTTTTTATTGACTGTATTTTCTTCTATTTTTCGTATTTTCCTTTCATTGTTTCGAATTATTTTTAAAATGAATTAAATTAATTTTTTCTTCACATTCTGCATAAATTTTTCTATTTTTTCGTATTTTTTATATTTTCCATATTTTTATTATGTTCTGTGTTTATTTCCATTTTCCGTATTTTTCTTTACTTACCGAAATTTTTATTTTCTATATTTTTTCCTATTTTCGTATTTTTTTTCACTTTCTGTATAAATTTTTCTATTTTCTCTAATTATTTACTCTCGTAGTTTTTTTTATTTTACGTATTTTCTTCTCTATTTTTTATTTTCATTTTCTCTGTTACTTTATTTTCCCTATTTTCCATTTCTCTTTTTTCTCTATTTTCTGCTTTGTTTAATTTCTGAAAAATGATTTTATTAATTGAAATAATTTTCTTTTCCTTTGCAGAATCTCAAAACGTAGAGGCTTCGTATTTTCACAGTCAAAAGACAATATCAGAGAGTAGTTCAACGCAAAATTCACTCACCGCCTTGAAAGTAAACACCAATTCATCGTTCGATAATGATAGTCCAATTGGAGCGACAAAAGCTTCAAATTTACCGTTATTACAAAATAATCCACACGCCGATGTGAAAACTGCTTCGGCAAATTTAACACCGCGTAATGAAAGTTCCATAAAAGTGACGACGACGACAACAACAACATCGATATCATCATCATCATCATCATCATCATCGTCGTCATCATCATCTTCGTCTTCATCACCGCAATCAAGACTTGCGCCAACAAAAGCAGAATTAGTAAATTCAACACTCGCATCGAAACAACAGAATATCACGCAGAAAATCAAGAATCATTCGCTAATGAAAAATGACGCAAACATCAGTGTAAATAGACATAAAGCAGATAATCAAACACATAAGAAATTAATACAAAATCATGTCGTGAAGCAAATTGATCGCATACCGATTAATAAAGTTGTCGATGCGCAGCGTGTTAGTTTACTGAAAACAACAACAACAGCAACAGTTTCGGAGCAAGCGGCAACAAAAGATGGAGATCTATCCTTGAGTAAACCAATACTTCCAATTGGTGAAATAAACGTAACGGAGGCGAAGGTAAAGCAAAAATTATTAGAGAATACGGTACCAATTGGAATCGTTGATACGAATACAGAAAGTAGAGTTGGTAATGGAGGCGGCAGTGGAAATGGAAACGGCGGTGGTGAAGATTCAGGAATTGAATCAATGGACGCACTCTCGGAGAAGTCGCCAAATCAAGGTGAATCACCTCTTCACAGGCCCGCTTCAACAACCGAAACTAAAACTACAATACAAGTTGATTCACCTCAAATCACCAATAAGAACAACGTGCCTTCCTCAACTAGTGATATGTGTTCAAATTCAAATCTTATTAAAACGCGAGCCGATTCAGTGTCAATTCCAATATTAAATTGTCACGAAACAATAAATGAAATGAATGAAATGAATGATAAAAAAATCAGTGATAATAAATTAATATCAAGTGGTGGTAGTGGTGGTGGTGGCGGTGGTGTTGGTCCCCTTATCACCGGTACAACAACAATATTAACAACACAGTGCGCGAATTCCATGAAAAATGACGACGATCAGGGTATAAGTGAACATATAAACATTGCCGAGGATAAACATCCTCAAAGTGACAATGTGATTAGATTAAGTGATGAATTAACACACGGACAAAACAATAACAATGTGCCTGTAGTTCAGAACCACATTTATAGTACTAGTGCTGAGAATTTAGAAAAAGAGGGCGAGAACTGCTCAAATTATCATAATCAAGATGAGACGAAAATAAATGACACCAGGCAGCAGAATATTCAGCAGAATATTCAAGAATTGCAAACAGAAGACGAGGATGAGGAGGAAAACCAAAAACAAAAAGAATTGAAAGAATTAAAAGAATTAAATGAATTGAATGAAACGTCAGTTAATTTGCAAAAAGTAACCGACGATCTAGTGAAGAAAATAATAATGACAGATACAAATGTTGGTGTACGATCTCCCCTGGCCGATGATCCACAACCGATCAGGATAACGCCACCATTGTATACGTATTCAAATCCCGTTGTACATTCTCGAGACGATACACCGAGTCCAGCGTCACAAATCTCAGATCAAATTGATTCGGAGAATGCGAAACGTAAACGGAGGCGAAAACAGGAATTGGAAGGTAGACATGACGTTATTTGTATAGAGGATAATGATGAATCGCAATTTGTTGAGAGATTAAATCATCCCGATGATTATAAGCGACCGCATAAATCGTTACTCGAGCAATTGTTGATTGATATTCCGGGGGAGAATAATGAGAAACGATCGTTGAGAACAAGATCGCAGAAACTTAATAGTCCGGATATTAAAACGCCAAAGTGTAGTCCACATGGTACGACGTCGAGTTTAACGACGACGGCGACGACTACCACGACTACTACGAGTTCGAGTACGACAACAGGGAAAATTGAAGAGAGACGAAGTATATCGCCGTATGCGAAAGCGAGTCCTAAATTGAATGCCACGGGTGGATCATCGAAATTGTCGCCGAATACAACGACGACGACGACGACGACGGTGAAGGCGGGCAAGAGAAAACGGCAGGAGAGTGAGAGTTCGGTGGCGTCGAGTACGGCTGACGATACACAACCGAGACCGGGAAAGAGAAAATGCTCGGAGAATGCTGTTGAACTTATAAAAGCGTGTATGGGAGTTGAGGAGAGTGGATTACTTAAGAAACAAGTAGTGAGCAAGGAGGAGGCGACGAAAAAGGGCATTGGTATTTTAGCCAAGGCTAAGAAAGGTACTTTTCGTTTTATTTTCGATTTTTCGATTCTTTTGTTGTTTTTCTTGTTTTTATTTTTAAATGAAAAAAATCGTCCGTCGAATTCAAACGGAAAATATTCAGAGTTATATTCTGTGGGTATTGCCACAGTTTTGGGGAAATTAGGGGAATCAGGAAAAAGTCTGGGAATTTTATCAAAAGTACTGGAAAAATATTAAGTTTCCATAATAACAATTTATATTAAATTTCTCAAAAGAATTTAAATATTTTCACTAAATTTTCAAAAATTTCTTCTAGAAAATTCAATTAGGTATAATTATTCAGAAATTTTAATAAAATTCTCCACAAGAATATTCAATTATTTACAATACAATTAGAATTAAATATTTTCAATTTTAATAAAATTTGATCAAAGAATTCACAGAGTTTAATTTTCAAAAACTTGAAACGGTTTCAATTTCAAATTTTATAAAATTTCAATTTTCAATGAATTTAATAGGAAAATTTTAAAGAACTTGAATTTTTGCCGAAATTGTAATAATACAAATTCTTCTGAAATTAGTTGATTTCATTAAAATTATTTAATTAATTATGAAAAATAATGGATTTATAGCTAAGAATTTTAATTCAAAACACTTAAAAAAATTGAATTTAAAAACGTTACAAATAATTGCAGCAATTCAATTATTTTCAAAAGGAAAATATTCAATATTCAAATGATTTTCAAAAGGAAATAAAATTATTCTTAAAAATTCAATTATGTTCAAAAATATTTTAAAAATTCTCGTAGAAATTTCAATTATATTTATAAATAATAAAATTTTTCTCCAAAAATTCAATTATTTTTCAAAAATTCAATTATTTTCCAAAAGAATGCAATTATTTAAAAAAAATTGTTATCACGTTTTAACGCAAACATTTAATTATTTTCATAAACAATAAAAGTTGCACAGGAATTCAATTATTTATAAGTTTTTTTTCTAAATTTCTTCGCCAATAATTTAATTATTTTCGTAAATTATCAAATTTCTACAGGGTTTAAATTATTTCCATAAGTAAATAATAAAATTCTTGATAAAAGTTTTTATAAGAATTCAATTTTAAGAAACAATCAATTATTAAATAAATTATTTACTTTTGTAATTAAATATTTGAATTTAAGTACAATTTACAAATAAAAATTAATTTAAAGATTAATTTTAGTTAAAGAAAACTAAATAAAAATTTAATTTTGGAGAAGTTACAAATGATTGGAGAAATTCAATTATTTTTCATTTCAAAAGTAATGAAATTCTTCTTCGAAATTAAATTATTTTCAAAAATTTTAATTAAATTCTTATCAAAATTTCAATTATTTTTAAAAATTCTCTTCAATTCAATAATTTTTAATATCTATCATTTTAATAAAATTTTACTAAAGAACTCAATTATTTAAATTAAATTTTAATAATTATTCTACTCAAACATTTAATTATTTTCATAAATAAAAAAATTCTTCTTCGGATTTTAATTATTTTTATAAATATTAAAAACTCATCGTAGAATTTCAATTATTTTTAATTCAATTTTAATTAAATTCTCTGAAAAATGAAATTATTCTTAAAAATTTTATTAAAATTCATCAAAAGAATTCAATTAAATTATTCAACTTAAAAATTTGTTGATAAACTTCTTTATGAGAATTCAATTTTAAGAAACATTGAAATATTATTATTAAAAGCATTAAAACCTGAATTTTTAGAAATAATTGAATATTGAAAAGATTTCAAATTAAAATCTTTGAAAATTTGAATTTTTTATACTTTTAACTAACAATTCTGTAGAATTTTTTTTTTTTTTTTTTGAAAAAGTTTAATTTAATTTGTTTTGAAATTATTTGAAGTTTTTATTTTCTTTTAATTAAAGAGGTTACGAATAATTGAAATTTCGTAAAATTGAATTGTAAACAAATGAATTTGAAAATTCTAAAAGAACTTTTTCAAAAATTATTCAAAATAATTGATTGTAAGAAAAATTTTAGTCAAAAACACTAAAAAAAAATTGAATTTTGTAGAAGTTAGAAATGATTTAAGAAATTCAATAATTGTTCATTTTTTAGTAAAAATTTCGCCAATTCAATGATTTTCAATATTATATCTACTAGTTTAATAACATTTTTAAAAAGAATTCAATTACTTAAAAAAGAATTTAACAAAATTCTGCGCAAACATTTAATTTTTTTCATAAATACTGCAAATTTCACAGGAATTGAATTTTTTTTATAAATTTCTTCCCAATAATTCAATTGTTTTTTTTTATAAATAATAAAATTTTTTACTCAGTCATCTTTAATTATTACAAAACATGAAATAATTGATTGCTCCGAGTCGAAGACTCGGAGTGATCGATATCTTCATGTTTTGTATTATAAATAATATTTTTATAAATTGTTGAATTTCAAAAAGGTTCGAATTTGAATGTTTTGAAGAATTTTAATTCCTAGGGAAAAATAATAATTAAATATTTATTTAAAAAAGAAGTTATTAATGTTTCCGAATAATTTTCCAACTAAAGAAATTTGTAAATAAATGTAATAGAATATTTTTTCGAGTATCTAATAATTTTTAGAGTGACTCAGAATATTCTTTAGGAAAAAGTCAAAATTTTGTCTGAAAATCAGGGAAAAGTCATAGAAAAACAAAAATACAGGAAAAATGTTAGATTTCTTTAAAAAATTTTTGAAGTAGGTATTGTATTTTTTTGTAGTTAGAAAGAAAGTTTTTCAAGTATAATGAAAATGAAAAAAGGCTTCGATAAAGTAACAATTTATTCATGTCTCCCCTTTTTTCAGGTCCCATTGTCGTTGAAGTTGATTCATCGGACGACGAGCCTCTCGTAGAACTCGCGGGAAAAATGAAGAGAACGTTAGAAGATACCTCAGTAGGTTCTCCAAAGCCCAAAGATCAAAAGTAAGTAAAAGTTCATTTTTTTTCTAAAATATATATTTTTTTAATAAATTGACAACTAATTGAAAAACAATTAGTCAAATAAGAAAATTAATTTTTAACTTATTTAATTTGATCTCAATTTTTTTTTATTATTTATTATTATTCTGCTTTTTTTATTTAAATTTAGTAGTGAAAATAAATGAAAACGTAAATTTTATACTTTTAATTAATGATCAGTTGTAGACTCAGAATCACTTGCGTATCAAAATTTAAACTTTAAAAAAAAGTTTAAAATGGAAATAATAGTGAAATTAGGAGAGAAAAATTAATGGGAAAAAAATTAATTTCAGGTCTCAATCTGGTACAAATGTAGCTGGTAGTCAAATAAATACCGCCAGTGTGCAAAATTTTAGTGCCAGTAATCGAGTGCAAAGAGAAAGTCGTTTATTGACGACGAAACAACAGCCGAGCACGACATCGACATTACCTGTTGGTAAAGAGAGACTAAGAGGCACATCTGTATCAAGTAACGAATCAATTGGCGAAGTCACGACACGAAGGTCTGTTCGACAAAGTACAGCCTCGCCTTTAGCAACTCCAGCGAGCAATACAAGAGGCGCTTCCAGATCATTGGAAGATGTAAATAGAAGAAAAACTCGTAGTGGAGCTGGTGAGTGAAATTCACTTGGAAAATATTAACTCCCGACACTCATTTACCTTTTTTTTTATTTTATTCTATTCTTATTTATTCAAAATAACCATTTTGAATGACAATTTTGCTTTCTTATTCTTCTTTTTAATTTACTTTTTTTGACATCATTTTCTATATTTTTATATTATTTTCTATATTTTTATATTATTTTATATATTTCTATATTATTTTCTATATTTTTTATATTATTTTTTAAGAAAAGAAAATTGATATTTTTATTTTAGTTACTATTTCAATACTTCAGGTAAAATTTAACTGAAGTAATTCGCTTAAATGCTTAATATTTCCAAAAAAGGTTGAATTTTGCAAAGAGGGAAATATTTTGAGTCTAAAATGTTGAAAAAAATATTCGTAAATAATTTTTTTCCTTCATTTTTGAACTGAAATTAATTTCCCACAATTTTAACGTCTTAATTTTATTTATTTTTATTATTTTCATTTATTGAATAAAAATAAATAAAACTTAATTCGTAAATTTTCAATTTAAGGAAATTTTAATTTACAAAAATTTACTATTTTAACTACTTATCAAAATTTCGAATGAAAATCAAATTTTATTCGGTACAAATTTTCAAAACGAAAAGAATTTGTATTTTTTTCAAAATTCAAATGTCAAACATTCGATTTTTAGATTTAAATTTCGTGTTATGATTTTTAAACTTCAATTTCGAGCGTTAGGATTTTTAATTGAAGTGAAAATTTTAATTTACGTGAATTTAAATTTAAATTTATTACATTTTTTTTAAATATATTTTTTTATTTCTTTTATCATTTAACGCTTCAATAATCAGTGGTTTTATAGTTTTTTTTTTAAATATTTAAAAAAAATTTTTTTTAATTCTTCCTATTTTTTTTAATTTTTCCCCTTTTTTCACAAATTGAATTTTAATTATTAGTTTCAACAAAGCGAAAATTGACTTCAAGATTTTTAATAAATAATTTAATTGTCGCTTTAGAAAATTTGTTAATTAAATTTCACATTACTTTTTAAATAGAAATTAAATAAATATAATTATAATTTTCCTTTAGCCTCTAATGAAAAAGTTGCAAATCTGAAACTATTTTTTAATAATTGAAAGAATTCTCAATTTTTCTAAATTGTAACATAAAATTTCTTTAGTTTCTAAATAATTTAATGCAATTAAATTACAGTCAATTACAATTTATTAAATCTAATTTTGATAAGTATCTATTTTCAGGGTTGCCACAGGTCAGGAAAAAGTCAGGGGTTTTTATTAAAAGTAGTGGAAGAAATTAAATTTTTAGAATTCATAAGAAAATTCTGAATTTTGGTGTTTTTTTTGTTTGACTTTATAAACTATTTGAAATTTTAAAAAAATATCAATTTCGAATGAATTTTTAACTATAGAAATTTTATAGAACTTAGATATTTAAAAAATTTTAATAATTCAAATTCTTCTTAGTTAAATTTTTAAATATATTTTTAATTAATTATTAAAAATAATGGATTTATAGAAGAATTTTAGTTAAAAACACTAAAAATGTTGAATTTTGGAGAAGTTAAAAATATTTGGAGAAATTCCATTATTTTTAAAAGTAATAAAATTTTTCAAAAGAATTCAATTATTTAAAAAATTTTTTAATAAAATTCTACGCCAACGTTTAATTATTTTCATAAATAATGTAAATTTCACAGAAATTCAATTATATACAAGTTTTTTTTTATAAATTTCTTCGTAATAATTCAATTATTTTCATAAACAATAAAATATTTCGCTGAAATTCAATTATGTTTAAAAAATTTTTAAAAAGTCTCGTAAAATTTTCAATTATTTTGAAACGAAATAAAATTATTCTTTGGAATTCAATTCTATTTTCAAAAATTTTAATAAAATTCTTGGCAAAATTTCAATTATCTTCAATATCTACTATTTTAATAAAAGTTTCTAAAAGAATTCAATTATTAAAAAAAAAATGATTAATGTTCTTCGCAAGAATTCAATTATTTTTATATACATAATAAAATTTTTATAAATAAGTCAATTACTTTGAAAAATCTTAATAAAATTCGTTCCTTGAAAAATGTAATTATTCTTAAAAATTTTATTAAAATTCTTCGAAAGAATTCAATTATTTTCAAAATTTTTTTATGAAATTCTTCGTAACAATTCGATTATTTCAAAAAATTTTAATAAAATTCGTCAAAAGAATTCAATTATTTAAAAATTTGTTGATCAAATTCTTTATGAGAAATCATTTATTTTTGTATTTAAATAATTGAATTCTCTTAGAATTTTCTCATAAAATTTGATTTAAAAATAAATTTCAGTTAAAATTTTAGATAATAATTGAATATTAAAAGCATTATTGCATGAATTTTCAGAAATAATTGAATTTTGAAAAGATTGTATTTTCTTTTAAATTATTTGAAATTTTTATTTTCAATTATATATTTAATTGAAGAATTTGCGAATAATCGAGATTTTGTAAAATTGAATTGTAAACAAATGGATTTAAAGATTTTCAAAAATTATGAACAATAATTGATTTAAAATAGAATTTTAGTTGACATGATGAAAATGATTTTGAAGAAGTTCCAGTAACAATATTTCTTATAATATAAAATAATGATTTTATTACTCGGTCATTTTTAGTTATTATAAAACATGAAGAAGTCGATGACTCGGAGTTATCGATATCTTCATGTTTTATAACAAAATATTCTTACAAGTTGTTGAATTTCAAAGAGATTTGAATTTGAAATTTTTGAAAATCTTTATTCCTATGGAAAAATTGAAATTTAGAATGTTCTTTAGGGTCAAGGAAAAAGTGAAAATTTTGTCTGGAAATCAGGGAAAAGTCAGAGAAAAACAAATTTTTGTGGCAACCCTTTTTAGTAGTATTTTTTTGTAGTTTTTTCTATCAATATGTATATTTTGTATATTATGATTAATAATTTATTTATTTCGAGGTCCGTATTTTTATGAACAAATATAAGATTTTTCCAAATCTTTGAAAAAAAATATTTAATTTTGCAACTTTTTGGTCCATATTTAAAAAGAAAAAGATTGAAATATCTTCGACAATGATTAAAAAAAAAACACAATAATGATAATAATTTTTCTCGCATATGTTTCTATGTATATTTTTAATTAAAAAAAATCACCTCGTACAGCGGGAACGATTTTTTAGTGACAGCTGAGACAGCAGAGCAGGCGAAACGGAGGCGAATATCACGAGAAAACAAATGACGTTCGGAAAGTGACCTTGACAGTGATTAGCTACCGTTGCTCTCGTCAAGGCCCAAACACTCTGGTTGCCTGTGTCTGCTAACAAAAATAATGGTTATTCGATCGCTGCGTGGCTGGACCCCACGAGTGATGAATCTGTCATTAGCGCACAATATATATCTATATCTTTATACATATATATTGTATATGTTTTGCTTTCCAAGTTCCTGAAAAATGAGAAGAAACTGCAATTCCAGAAAGAAAAAAGGAACACCAGAGAGAGAAAAAAAGAGAAAAGAACGCAAAGGGAAATATTCTCGAATTAAAAAGAAAAAAATGCAATTTTTCCAACCGCTCGAAACTCTGGTTTATCCTTTTTTTATCTTCTCTGCTACAAAATTCAGGGTTTAGTTATTTAGCGAAAAATATTGAATTTCGTGTTTAAATTCAAATTTGTAAATTTAAATTCAAGTTTCAAATTAGTTTTACTTTTATCGATTTAAATCAATTCTCAATGAAATTTTCAATTTTATCGATTTAAATTAATTCAATTGATTCAAATTATTTTGCTTTTAATTCGATTGTAATAGACTAATTTTATTTCTGTCAGATTTTTGTTTCTTTCAATTCAAAATATTCAGTATATTTCATTAAAATTAAAAATTAAATTTTTTTCGAAAAAAAACATTCGATTAAAAATATTAATTCAAAAGAAGGTATTAATTTATAAATAAATATTCGATTCGAATATTTTATTCGTATTCAATTTAATGTTTAGAAATTTTTAATTATTTTCCAAGAAATATTATAACTTATGAGTAAATTATTAATTTTGAAAATACAAAATCAAAACGATTCGAATATTAGAAAATTTCGATTATGAATATAAATTCAATAGTAAATATTCAATAAATAATAATTTTAAATATTCGAAAAATATTTATTAAAAATTTTAAATATTCAAGAAATAATAATTTAAATTATTCAATAAATATTAATAAAAAAAATTTCAAATATTCAATAAATGGAAATTTGTGAAAATCTAAGAAAAATGTAGAATTGAAAAAAAAAATTTCGAAACCAATGAATTCGAGAATACGAAACAGAAATATTTTCGAAACTAAATAACTAAACTCGTTAATCGCAAAACTGCCAAGTCGATCCAAAATTTATTGTTATATATATAAATAATAAAATGCATCTGTTCGTGCATCGTTCCGTTTGTCTTTTTTTCCGTGAGCTCTTCTCGATTTTTTTCCTTTTTTCTTTTTTTTTCTCTTTTTTAGTGTAAAAGAAAAAAAAAGAAAAAACCAAAAATAAAAGAGAAAGAGAGAGTGAATGTGTGTGGTGGTTAATTAAAGAAAATAGACTGTAGACTTCAGTGCATTAGAAACGTTCTTCTTGCAAAACGTTTTCAATTTTAAAAAAGAAAAAAAGAGAGAAAGAGAGCGAAAGAGAAGAAAAAAAGACGTTCGCGGTAGTTTTTTTCCCCGCAAAAAAAATCTACCGATAATTCAAAGAAAGCAAACAAAAAAAAATGTCTATATTTTTTCAAAGAAAAAAAAGTGGAAAAAAATGAAAAAAAACCGTAAAGTTTATAAAAAGAAAAATGAAAAGAAACAAAATTTTAATCAAATCAATTTATAATTCTATATCAAAGAAATTTTTCGATATTTATTATTATAAAAAAAAAGAGAAAGAAAACCAATTGTATTCTTCTATACGAGTGGAAATCAATGTGTGAATCATTCAAAATTTACTGCCAGCAAAATATTAACAGTGAAAAAGTAAAAATGTTTCTTATCGACAAAAAAAAATGTTTGAATGACTCCTGACGTCTTCTGCACTGTCAGACTGTTTTCAAAGATTTTGAAAAAGCAAAAAAAAAAAAAAATATCTGTTCGTTATTTATTTCAGTTTTTAAAATGTTCTGTCTAAATTGTAATTGTAAATACAGTTTATTTTTTTTTACCATGGAAAATTTGTTCGAATTTTCTCCGTTATTGTTTAATGTTTTTTCTCGCGATTTTCTTTCATCTTTTGAATTGTTAAAAAATATGGTCGAAATTGAAATCGATTTAAAATTTGTACATTTGTGTATTTATTAATTGTTTTTTCTTTTGTTTTTCGGGAGAGGAAAAAATGTATATATTTTAATGAATTAGCAATAATATCGAAAATTAATTAGAAATAATTAATAATTAATTAGAAATTAATTCCAAATAATTTGAAAATACTAAAGAAAAGTGAAAATAACAAAATTGTTTTTTGTAGGTACTTTTTGTTCTAGCAGGGAAATTTTTTTCCAAATTTTAAATAACATTTTGTTGTTTTCTAGATTTTTTTCTTAACTTTTAGATTATTTTTTTGTTTGCTGTTAATTTTTTCGAATTTTTTTTTTTTCGTTATTTTCACTTTTTTCCGATTTTATTAATTTTTTTGTTCGTTTCTTTCGATTTTGAATTTCTATTGCACTGTCTTTATTTATGGTTATTGATAGCAAAAATTTTTTATTAATTCAAAAACTCACGTGTTTGAAAAAAATTGTAAAAAAAGTCTTTAAAAGTGTTGTCGAAAGGAAAATTTCTACTTCGAAAGAAAAAAAGGGGAAAAAGAGAAAAGGTGTCAAAAATTAATTCACTTTTTTTAAAAACTAATTTAATGGTTTTTTATGTTTAATTAATAAAATTAAACATTTGAATTAAATTTAATATATTACATTTAAATTAAATTTAATTCATTAAAAACAGTCTTTCAGTTGAGAATTACGTCTAAAGTTATTCAGCAAAAAAGTGGGACATAGGAATATTATTTAAAAAAGAAAAATGGATTTATTTTATTTATATATTAAATGAAAAAATACAATGGAACGTTGGAATGAATCAAGCATAAATAATACGGAGATAAAATAATTATTAAGATTAAAAAAAAAATTATTAATACAATGTTAATTTGATAGGTAATATATGAATGAATATATTTTGTAAATAATTTCTTGTAAAGTTACACAAAACATATACACACACAGAGCACTTCTCATTGTATATAGGCAGAAAAATAATTGTTTAAAAGTTTTTTATTATTAAACAAACAAAAAAGTAATAATAATAATAGTAATAATAATAATTGAAGTAGCTCTAATTATTAAAAAAAAAATATGTGCAACTTTTTTTATTCGCGTCATATTAATGATTATATATACAATTTTTTTTTCTTTTCCTCGTAATATTCTTATATATTTAGAGTTTTTAAAGAAAAGAAAAAATAAAAATCTTCCTCGTGTAGCATCAATTTATTATTATATACATATATATATACAGACGAGCAATATTTGCGATACGTATGTATGTGTATACGTATTTGCAACAATTATTGACGTGTATAGTTGTTTTTCGTGAATAGACGAAACTAGATTTATGTTTTTTATTATGTAAAAGAAAAAAGAAATAAAAACAGAAAAAACGTGAGAAAAAAAGAATGGGAAATGTTACAAATTTTTGTAAAAACTATAAGTCTTTTTTTTAATTTTCTTCGAATTTATTATATTAAATTGGCTTCATGAATTTTTGTACAAAATTTTTCGTCCATTTTTTTGGTTTTTGTTATAGAGAAATTTTTATTGTATAATAAATTTCTTCTGTTTTTTCGTATATATGAATTTTTTGTACGTTCTCTCGTGTACAGATTATTTTTCGACGACGTCATTTGTATATAGAATTATTTTTTTATCTTTCCAAATTTTTCGATAATTTTTTGGGTATATTTTTCTTTTGAATTTATATTTATGTAATTTTTTATTTACATTACGCTCGTTGTAAAAATGAAATAAGAATTGAAATTGGGAAATTTAAATTCAATTTGAATTCAATTTAAATCTCAAATTCAAATTCAAAACTCAGTTTGAATTTCAAATTCAAAATTCAATTTAAATTTCAAATTGAAACTAATATTTAAATTAAATTCAAAATCAAATTAAATTTAAGTTCAAGTTCAACTTAAATTCAATTCAATTCAATTTAAATTTCAAATTCAATTTAAATTTATGTTAAATATTCAAATACAAATTAAAAATTAAAATTAAAGTTAGAATTCAAGTTCAAAGTAAAATTTAATTTAAATTCAAATTAAACTCTGAATTTAATTTTAATTATTGATTGATTTCAAATTCAAATTAGAAATTCGAATTTAATTAAATTAAAATTGAATTTCAGTTTAAATTTGAAATTAAAATTGAATTTGAATTTGTAATTAGAAATTTTAATTGAATTTGAATTTGTAATTTAAACTTAAAATTTAAGTTGAATTTGTAATTTAAATTGAATCCCAATTTTAAATTTGAAAATTGAATTTGAATTTTAGTTCAAATTCGAATTTAATTAAATTGAATTTCAAATTCAAATTACAAATTCATAAAAAAGTTTAAATTTCAAATTCAAACTTAATTTTAATTAAATTCGAATTTTTAATTTGAATTTAATTTTAAATTTGTATTTTTTTTCTAAAAAATTGTAATTAAATTTAACCGTCAATTTTTTTCTTTTGAGAAAATTGTTCAATTTATGAAAAATTTGGAATATTTCTTTTTCGGTGAAAATTTCTAAAATTTGAAAATGTGATTTTGATTTTCTGTATAGTTTTTACACTTTTATGAATGCATAATAAAAGAGCCGCAGTCTCTAGGGGAGGAAAAAAAGAAAATTGAAGAACTGAATCTAATTAGCGATTTAGAATTTGAAGTTTAGGTAAATTTTTTTTTTTTGTTATTTTACGAGTGACTCGCACTCTGATTCGTTCTAACTGAGACTGAAGCGGTTTTATTTTTTTTTTCACCACGAGTCGAGTCATTTAATATTAATCATTGTAGTTTAAATTATTTTTTAGTTTATTATGCATCACTCGTCATCGGAAAATTATTATTTTTCTAATAACTGTAATAATAAAAAAAAGAAGTTAAGGATTTATAATAATATAATAATAATAATTATAGTAATAATAATGACGATGACAAGGATGATTATAAATAATTGATAATAATAATTTGATAATTACGATGATGATGATGATGATGATAAAGAAGTTGATTAATCGTGAGGATAATAATAATAAATATTCACTTTTTGTAAATAGTAGCGTGCTTATTTTATTATAAAAAAAAGAAAGAAAGAATAAATGAAATCGATTCGCAAAAAAAAGAGCTTGTGTGTATATGTATAAGGAGAAAATCACAAAAAAATTTTTCTTTTTTTTTGGTCCATACTCTACATTGTGATGGGATGAAGTGTAATGTAAAATCTAGTGTTAGAAATTATTATCGAAAAAAAGAAGAATAAATTTCTTCTTTTAAAAAAGAAAGGAACGCTACTTGGAAAAAGAATTGTAATTTCGTTGTAAAATATTCTCTTCTTTTTTTTGACACTATTATAAATATATATATATATATATATAGTTTAGGCATTATTATGTTACAATTTTATTATTGAACATTTACATAAAATATGATTGTATAAACCATTTAAAAGAAAAATAAGTTTCACCTGTAAATAAAAAAATAATAAATAAGTGAATTTATTCGAGGAATCTAAATAATATTAAGAGGCTCGTGAATTGCTTCTCTAAAACAAAAAAGAAAAAAATGCCCCTTTTTCTTTTATTAAAAAAATAAGAAGCAAACAAAAATAAGCACGCGATTAATTATACGACGCAAATTTAGTGCTTTGTAAATAAATCTTGACAAGTGCGAAGTAACATTATTAAAAAAAAAAAAAAAAAAACATATTTTTGTTTCTCGAGCCTTTTAATTTTATAAGAATTACTGAAAATATATATTATATAAATATAAATATATAAATATTATATATTAAGAAAAAAAATGCGCGACAAAAGCACCGGAACAATGCGAGAAAAAACAAAACAAAAATGAAAAAAAAAGTTCCGATTCTTTTGATGCAATTATATATGCAAGAAAAAAAACATTTGTATTTTTAGTATTCGATTAAAAAATGATAACAACAAAAACAACTAGAAATGAACGTAAAAAATATCCATGAGGATAAAAATGTAAAACGAAAAAGAAAAAAACAAAAAAAAATAAAATAAAACTAAAAATATTAGATACAATATTATATTTGTAGAAATGATCGAGAGAGAGAGAGAGAGAGCGAGAGAGTGAGAGAAAGAAAGAGAGAAAGAGAGAGCAATGTGAGAAATAAAAAGATGAAAATTTTGAAGGATAAAAAATCGCGCTATAATTATAAAATGAAAACAAAAAAAAAATATATATATTACGATTATATTATTATCTATTATTACACAAAGTGAATACACAACATAGTAATTTGCTAATTGTACCTTTTAATAATTACTTGTAGACACATTGATGAAAAAAAAAATATGGTTTTTTTCTTGTTATTAATTATTATTATTAATTACCATAGACTTATTCAGAAAATGAAAAAAATGTGTTATAAAAAATTACAATCACTTGTTCTGTCTTACACAATCCCACCAATTTTTCACAGTAAAAGAAAAAAAAATTTTTAAAGCAAAAAAAAAAAAAAGGAAACAAAAAATACAAAACAAAATCAAGATATATTATTATATAATAGTAATAATAAAACAAAGCAAATAACAAGTAACAATTTTTCAAATAATACTATTTTATTTTTAGTAGTATTAATAGTATTTAAAATTAATTTTTTAAAGTAAAAAAATAAAATTCTTTGAAATATAAAAATTTTTTTAATGAAATTTAAGAAAATTTCCTATTTCAATTTTTAAAAATTATTTTCTACAATTCAGATTATAATTTGAATTTTCGATTAATGAATAGAAAATGTTTTTACTTTTTTTTTCTTTTATGAATTGAAACATTTGAAAAAATGAATTTTGTTGAGAAAAATTCATGTTGAAATGTTTTAATTTAATTTTTTAAAAAGAGCGATTTTAACAAAAAACGAATATTTAATTTTTCAATATTATAAATTTTGAAAAAAATAAGGACAACGGATGAATTTACGGAAAATTTATTACCAAAAAAAAGAAAACTAAATTAATCAGGTAAGTAAATTTTTTTTTCGTTTTTAAAAAAGATAGAAAAAAAAACAGAAAATATTTGGAGAATAGTTTAAAAAAATTTTCTACAGTAATTTTTATTTTTTATATTTGGGATTTTTTTTTGCAGAGAAAAAAAAGAACTTTTCGTAGTATAGAATTTTCTTTATTGTTAATTTTCTGTTTTCTTTTTCTCACGTTTGTTCTTCATTTATTTTCTTTAATTGTACCTTCTCATGAATTTTATCATTTGTTTCAGATTTTTCACGTAAATTTTGCATTTCATCAATTTTTGTATTTAAATCGTCGCTAGATTTACTATTATTCCAGGATTGTTCTTCAGAAGTTCCAAAAAGCATGAATATAAATCCACTGACGAGGAGGAGAATTGACGATATTGAGAAAACCATTCGCCAACTTTCCACAGTTTGCTGAAAATTAGAAAAAAGTGAGTAAATTTGAAAAAAAAATATTTTTTCTTTAGTTTTATGATTTTTTACTATTTTAATAAAATTCCAAAATAAATTTTTGATAAAATTCTTTTTATAAAAGTCTGCACAAGAAATCAATTTTTTTCCCAAATAATAAAATTTTTTACCAGGATTCAATTATTTAAAAGAGAACTAAATAAAATTCTTCGCAAGAATTGAATTATTTCCATAAACAATAAAATTCTCCACAATTATTCAATTATTTTCTCAAATAATAACATTTTTCACAAGAATTCAATTATTAAAAAAAAAATAAATAAAATTCTTTGCAAAAATTCAATTATTTTCATAAATAATAAAATTATTCTCAGAAATTCAATTATTTTTTTAAAAATTGATAAATTCTTGAATTTATTCTTTAATTCTTCCCAATTATTCAATTATTCTCCCAAATAATAACATTTTTCACGAAAATTAAATTTTTTTAAATACAATTTTAATAAAATTTCTTAAAAGAATTGAATGATTGTCAAATAATTTTAATAAAATAATCGCCAGAATTTAATGATTTTTATAAATAATACATTTTTGTTCATTTTTAATTCCATTATTTTTAATACAATTTTACAAAAAATGCTTAAAAGAATTAAATTATTTTGAAAAATTTTTATAACATTTTCCGTAACAATTCAATTCTTTTTAAAACCTTTAATAAAATTCTCCTTAAGAATTCAATTATTTATTAAATAACAAAATTTGTTAACATGAATTGAAGCATTGGGTGCAAGAAGGGCGTTAGCTAAATAAACTGTTTTTGAAAAACATTATTATTTATTATTTAATTACAATTTTCCCCTTATTTTACACTTGAATTTGATAGTTCAATAGTGGACTAATTAATTAAAAAAAAGTATATTTAATTTGCATGTACAGTTTTTGAGCTATTAAAGTTTAAAAACTTAAGGTTTTTTGCGATACGCCCTTCTTGCACCCAATGCTTCAATTTAATTATTCTTATATAAATAACATAATTCTTCGCTGTAATTAAATTATTTTTCTATTACTTTTAATAAAATTCTGCTATAGATTTCAATTTTTTAAAAAATTTTGATAAAATTCAATTATTTTCATAAATAATTTTTAATTTTCATGAATTCGAGATGTGCTTACGTTATTGGTGGTCAATAATCCAACGAGGAGAGGCGAGAGGAAACCAGAAGATGCTGCAATTAAATTACAAAATCCAAGAATAACACTGGCATAATTTGAGCTGAGATCAACGAATGTGGCTAATGTTCCCGACGATACGGCTCCATTGACAGCAGTTCCTGTCATCATGAAAATAATTGCTAAATTCGAATGACAACCACTCGAACCAAGACCCAATGTGAGAAATCCTTGGAAAATTGTACACATAAAAGTCGCCAGTTTTCTCACTTCAGTCAGAGTTAATTTTTTCGTTTTTAAAAGCCAATCGCTCAACATTCCGAAAATGTAGGAGAAAAGCATTCTCAACACGTGTGGAAGTCCAGATAAAACACCAGTCTAAAAGAATTCATTTTCTTCTTCAAAAATGGTACAATCAATTTTTTTTCTTCTAAATTCGATAATTCTGCATCTTTATTAAATTTTTCTACACTTTTTATTTTTTACTATTTCAATTTCAATTTTATTCTATGAATTTTTATTTTCGATTTTTCTTAATTTTGTATTTTTGTTTCAATTTCTAGTTTCTTTTCATTTAATTTTTTTTCAATTAGATTATTTTTTCTTTTCTTTTTTTTTTTGAATAAAATTTGAATGTCTCGTTCAACAATTAAAAAAAGGAGAAAATTGTAACGTAAATTTTTTTTTTTCTTTGTAATCGTTGATAAATAAACGTTTTAACGTTATGAATTTTTTTTTAGAGTGGCATTAAAATATTTTTTGAAAAATTTGATTTATTAAATATTTACTGTGTTAATATTCCAGCCGTGGATATAATTGAAGTAGGATGGAGCTTGAGTCATAAATGTCAAAAAACCCCAAGTTGTACCATACTGAGCGATAATTGCAATCCAAAGTGGACCAGAAGTTAAAATCCTCCTCCATGGAACATTTTCCTCTCGACTCGATAATGGAAGACTTTCGATAATGAAACGCTTTTCACTCGACGATATCCGAGGATGTTCAGATGGCGAATCAAACACCAAGAAATGCCAGAAGACAAACCTTTTGGTATTATTTTATTTTTCTATTATTATTTTTAATTTATTTCACTAATTTACTGATTTTAATTTTTTATTTTAATTTTTTAAATTCAATTTTTAAATTATATTTTTAAATTCTATTTTTAAATTCTATTTTTAAATTCTATTTTTAAATTCTATCTTTAAGTTCAATTTTTGTAATTGACTTAATTTTTCAATAATTTGTTAAGTTTAGATTGACAATCGGAATAATTGAAAAATTATTAAAATTATTGTTATTTATTATTGAAAAAAAAAATTTACCAAATTATTCCAAGAATTGAAGTCACGTAAAATGCAGCGTGCCAATTAAACCAAGTAATTACTAGAGCACACAAAGGATATGTAATTGCAGCTCCTACTGAACTTCCTGAAATCATAAATTTACAATTATCGATCTTTATATTTTGTTAACTGCTTTCTTTCCAATTTGGATAAAACATTTTTTTATTTAATTATTCTTGTTTTTTTAAAAATAATTTTCCATTGATTTACCCAAATAACTGCTGACGAATTTACTTCGTTCTTGAGGCGGAATCCATCTGGCAGTCATATCGTGCATAGCAGGCCAAATTACTCCCTGAAAATAATTTTTTTCTCGTCAAATAATTATTCTGATCTTTTGAAAAAATAGAAAATATTTTAAAAAATAGAAATAAAAGATACAATAAAAAAATTGAAATAAAAGAGAATTAAAAAAATGTAAAAATGTAAAAAAAAGTAGAAAAGGATAAAGAAAATGGAAACAGAAAAGAATTAAAAAATGGAAATGGAAATGGAAATAAAAAAGGATAAAAAAAATAGAAATAGAAAAGGAAAAAAGGATAAAAAATATAAGTAAAGAAAACACAAAAGAATAGAATTAAAAAATATAAAAATATATAAATAGAAAAGAGTATAAAAAAATATAAAAGGAAATTTTTAATTTTTAATTTATTAATTTTAAAAATAAAAAAAAATTTAAGTAATAAAAAAAAATAATATATTTTTTGAAACTTACAGCAACAAAGCCTTGAATGACTCGGAGGAATACCAAAGCATAGAGATGATAATTGGTTGCGAATGGAATCATTAGGCCGACTAAGGCTGTGAGTAAATTGGCCCATCCGAAAATAATCTTTGTCCCATAGCGACGAGCGAGTAAACCACCAGGAAGTTGTGACAACCAATGGAGCCAATAATACGATCCAAGGGCCAAACTTTGATCGTATTCATTCCATTTGAACCTGTCCTCAAACTGAGAAAATCAATCTTCCTTGTCACATGATTAAAAAAAATGGTGTGTAATTCTTTTTTTTTTTTTTGCTCTATAATTTTAATTCAGTCTCTAAAATCGTTAATTAAAAGCAAGAAACAAACTATGATTATTTACTGTCAATAGACAAATTAAATATAAATTCTTATTTATATTATTTAATTATTATTATTTTTAAATAGAATCTAAATCATATTTCAAATTCTTTTATTTTCAAATATTAACTTCAATTTTTTAAAGATTTCAAATTTAAAAATTGTACGAAGAGTAAAATTCGTCGAAATAAATTCAATTATTTTTATAAATATCGAAATTCTTCTTAGTAATTCAGTTAAGTTCAAAACAAATTTAATTAAGTTTCAGGAAATGATTCAATTATTTTTAAAAATTTATATAAAATTCCTCAAAACAATTAATTTGTTTCAGTTACAAAAAGTTTTATAAAATTCTACTCAAGAATTGAATTGATTATTATAAATATTGAAATTCTTCTCTGGATTTCAATTATTTTCAATAGAATTTTACTAAAATTTCTCCAGACGATTCAATTATTTTTCTAAATTTTAACAAATATCTTCTGAGAAATTCAATTATTTATAAAAATTTTTGATAAAATTCTTTATAAAAATTCAATTCTTTTTAATACGATTTTAATTAAATTTCATAACAGGATTCCATTATTTTTAAAAACATTCATAACGTTTTTCGAAAAAATCAACAGTTTCAATAAAGTTTTTTGCAAGAATTTTAATAAACATTGAAATTTTTCGAAAAAATTCAATTATTTTTATAAATATAGAAATTCTTCTATTTTTAATAGAACTTTACTAAAATTTTCCAAACGATTCAATTATTTTAAATATTTTTTTAACAAAATAAGGAATTTAATTATTTAAAACAATTTCGATGAAATTCTTTGTTTGTATTCATTTAATTTAAATGCAATTTTGATAAAATTCCTTGAATAAATTTCAATTATTTAAAAAAATTTTGATAAAATTCTTTGAAATAATTCATTTATTTCAGTTTAAAATTTTTTTTTTATAAAATTCTACTCAAGAATTCATTTATTTCTATAAATTTGGAAATTCTTCTCACGAATCCAATTATTTTCTATGGAATTTTACTAAAATTTCTCGAAACGATTCAATTATTTTAAAAATTTATTTTAAGTTTTAACAAATATTCAGAGGATTCAATTTAAAGAATTCAATTAATAACAAAATTTTTGATAAAAATCTTCTAGGGAATTCAATCATTTTCAAAAATTTTGATAAAATTCTTTATAAGAATTCAATTTTTTTTAATACGAATTTAATTAAATTTCATGGAAGGATTCCATTATTTTTAAAAAAGTTATAAAATTTTTTTTGAAAAAATTCAACAATTTTAATGAAATTCAAAGCAAAAATTCAATTTTTTTCAATGAACATTAAAATTCTTCGAAAAAATTCAATTCTATTTATAAATATTAAAATTATTATCAGGAATTCAATCATTTTCTGTAAAATTTTACTAAAATTCTCGAAATGATTCAACTTTAAAAAAAAAATTTTTGATACAATTCTTTGTATAAATAAAATTAATTTCAAAAATTTTATTAAAATTCCTCCGAAGAATTTAATATTTTTAAAAGAATTTATCAATTTCTGGAAAGAATTTAATTATCAGATATTTAATTATTTACATTACAACTACAATTAAAATAAAATAAAATTTTTCGAAAGAATTTAATTATTTTCAAAAATTTTAGTAAATTTCTTCAAAACAATTTAAATATTTTTAAAAATTTTAATAAAATTCTTTCTGAAAATTCAACTATTTTTAATACAATTTTTATTAAATTTCTTGAAAGAATTAAATTATTTTATCAATTTGAATAAAATTTCTCCAAAGAATTCAATTTTCTTTTTCCTTTAAAAATTTTTATTTTTGTCTTTCATTTATTTTTTATTTTCATTCTAATTTCTATTCTTTTTGTCCATAAATTTTTGAATTTCGATTTTTGAATGTTTTACATATTTTTTTTTGAGCTTCTAAATGTTTAATTTTTTATGTTTACTTTTTAATATTTAATATTTAATTTCTAATTTTTTAATTTTCAATTTTTTTAATAATTCAGGAAGGAAAATTACCAAATATTCAGAGGATTTTGTTGTCGTGGTGGGAGGAATTGTCGTTTCATTAAATTCTATTGGAAATCCACATTCGATGGCGGCAATTGAACGAGAATGCGGCACAACCATTGTGACAATAGCGAGATTCAAATTAATCCTTAACATATAATTCATGGCAAAGCCACAAAAGACCAATATCCAAAGGACACTTCGACACGACATGCATTCTTTTTCTAGAAGTGAGGAAAGAGAAAAAAACAACAATTTACCCAACAAAAATAGGAATTGCAATTTTAATTAAAAGAAATTTTCAATTTATTCGACACCAAAGAGATTATTGAACTCTTCAAAGTATGTATATTCAACTTTTCTTTTTATTATCTTATCAAAATTCAAAGACAATGTTTATTTTAAATTATAACATTTCCAGACCGTTCACTGTTTGATTGTCATTATTTTTCATTTTTCTTTTTTTTCAATTCAAAATTATTTCTTTTTTCGAAATAATAATTCTCATTCTCTTTAGAATAATAAATTAATAAATTTATTATTATTTATTATTATTTATTATTATTTATTATTATTTATTCTCCTTAAATTTTCTCATTTATTTTTAAAATAAAAAAATATATGGGAAAATTAAAAAATTTACAGAAATAATAATTACAAAGTCTTTACTCGAATTGAAAGAATTGAAAGTTTGCTAATTTAAAGTTTTTGTATTAAATAAAAAATTTTAATTTAAATTCGAAAAGAAAGAAAAACAAAAAAGTGATTAGAAAAAGAGGGGGGGGGGAAATAGTTGAGAATAGGTGACAGAAATTTCTTCACGATGAAATGGCCTTAACAATGATTTGAACTACGATTACATTATTTGATTTCTCTGATAGAGAATCAACCTCTCGTGTGTCCTTCAATTAGATTACTCTGCATTGAATATTTTATTTTTAAACTTTAAATACTGAGACGACACACTATCGAACATAATTTTTCTTTTCAATTGCTTTCGATTTTAATCAAAATATTTTCTTTTTCGTCATTTTTATTTTCGACAAAGAACGAAAGAAGAATTTTATTTCCGGAAAAAGTGATTTATTTTTATTCCCTTGTAATTTTTATTTTTGGAAAAGAACGAAAGGAGACTTTTTTTTTTATTGAAAAAGTGATTCCTTAGAATTTTTATTATTCGCTCACAAAGTGAAAAAGGCAAGAAAAGGAAAATAGTTTTTGATTAAAGTAAAATTACACTTACCTTGAGTCATTTTTTTTCTGTGCAATAAAGACTTCTTCTCAATTTAATAAATGAATTTTTTTCCTATTTTTCAATTGTTCACCACTAAATTGTTTTAATCCAAGAAAATGAAAGAGAGAAAAAAATTCCAATTTCCAACTCTTCAGACCTTTCGAATAAAAAATTTTCGATTTTATTTTAATTTTTAACAATTTCTCTCTGTTTTTTTTTGGATAGAAAATCAGTTTTTTATTTTAATTAATTGTATCATTTTAATAGAAAGTTTTTTTAAACGAAAAGTAATTTTTATACAAAGTTCAAATTTTTAGACGAAAAATAATTTTTATACAAAGTTCAAATTTTTAGACGAAAAATAATTTTTATACAAAGTTCAATTTTTAAATGAATAATAATTTTTGTACAAAAAGTAATTTCAATTCTATAAATATAATTTTTTTTAATATGTAATTTTTAGAAAATTTTCTAATTTAATAATTTTACACAGAAACACGAACTTTTTGGAAAATTTTTTCTTAAAAACGAATTGACATCAATGAGAATATTTTTTTAACGAGAAATCTGTATTGAGAAATTAAAATCACATGACCTGTCACATGCTGTTAAAAAAGAGCCAAAAAGAAAAATTGTCAACGTTCAATAGAAGGAGATAAAAATTTATTTTTTTTTCCTTAAATAAAATTGAATTAAATTAAATTAATTTAATTTAATTAAATTAAATTTAAATTAAATAAAATTTCTGTCACCTACATTTTTTTTTATCAAAACTTAAGAACTGCTGGAAATTCAAAAAGCAAATTTTCTTTCTTTTTTTTTGTTCAAAATCACTTTATCATCACATGTAGATTCGCAAGGGCAATAAAGAGAACACTGTGCGACTGTTCTTTGCTCTGATCGATTCGATCCAAAACGTAATGAGACGCATCATCATCATCATCATCATAATTTTTGTGAAAAGAGAGAAAAAAAAATTCTGATAAAATGATGCTGAGAAAATTGACTCACAACTGTGTGTTTCAGGTAGAGATAAAATAACTAAAATCGTAACTATATTTTAAAAAAAAATTAACCTTCCTCTTTATTTGTTAAACAAGTAGAAAATTTTCAGTTTGACAATCAAATCTTTGAAGATAATGAAAAATAGACATTAAAAATGGAGGAAGATTTATCACTTTTTAAAATTAATTTCCATTTATATTGGATTATTTAAGAGAAGACAAAAGTGTACGTATTTTAATTGATGGATTGATTAAATTTGTCGATAACAGTTTTTACTGGATTTTCTTTTTATCAATAAACATAACGTAAGATTTCAGAAAAATTTAATACTTAGTAATTCCGATTTTGGATTTTATTTTTTTTGTTATTTTTAATTTTTTTCGTCATTTTTGTGAATAAAATAGGCAACAAAATTAATTACAATTTTCACTTATTAAAAATTCTATATTTTTTATTTTATTTACATTTTATTATTTTACTTTTTATATTATTCATTTATCTAATTTGTTTAAATTTATTTATTCAAATTTTTAAATTTAACAAATTGGACAAAGATTTTATTCAGAATTCATTATTAATACTATTTATTATTTTTAAAAATATTTATAACACTTTTCGAAAAAATTCAAAATAATATTTTCAACAATTTAAATAAGAATCTATGGAAGAAATAATTTTTTTTTATATATCTGTCGTAGGCAAATAGAAGAATCTGCCAATTGACAAATATGCTTGGAAATTATTTGTATTTTTCTACTGGCCTAACAAAATTCGCCATTTAGCTAATATTTCACTTTCTCATTTATTATTTTATATTTTAATGTAATAAACATTTATACATGTCTGAACTAAACGAAATGTCAATTTCAGCAAAATTATATTGACATAAGTTTTTAAAAATTTTCTGCAATTGAAAAAGGAAAATATTAATTTGTACTAAAATTAAATTTATTTCATAAATTCATAATTTTTGAATTCTTGTTTTTCATTTTATAGTTATGTTTATTTTTCTCTTTTCAAAATTATTTATTCTTTGTTTTCGTAGATATATTGTTTACTTTTGCTATATTTTAATAACTCGTATATTAGATTTAATAAATTAGCATTATTAGTATTTTCTGCTTGCCTTGTTGTAATAAATAACACAATTCAAAATCCCCGAATTATTCTTCCAAAATTTTAATAAATCAAATATTAAAAAATTAAAAACCATAAAATGAAATAGTGTGAAAGTATTTTTATTTACAAATAAAAAAAGAAAAATTTATCAAGAAATAGGTGAAATTATTCAGAAATGTCTCGTGACTTAAATTATCATTTTCTCATAATTATGTGATTATAAAAGAAAAATTGGAGTTGATCGATTTAATTTTCGCAACGATTTCAAATTAAAATAATAATAATAAAATATCTACAATGTTTAGGCGTTCAATGTGCTTTTTTTTAATTGCCTCTGAAATTCTAAGACAGGTTTTTCTGCACAAAAAAAATTGATATTTTAACTCTAAACTTGTATTTTGCCAAGACCACTATTATTTTCAAATAATTAACTTTACATCAGCACACCTAATCGTGACGTAACTTTTAACTCTCGAAATGGATCGGACAAAAAAAATCCATAACTTGTATTCCAAGAGAGTCGAAAAAAAATTTTTTATTTGCATTCTTCTAAAAATCAGATAATATTTTTTGTCTCATTTTTTTTTAACATTTCGTCTTTTTCTTATTATTTTGTGAATTAATTTTGATTACTGAATTTTTATTATGAATAGTTTTTTTTATTGTCCTTTTTTTATTTACTAAAAGTAAATTATCTTTGAAATTTTTGAAAAAATGAAATTTTAATTTTTATAATCAAATTATTATTATTAATAAATAATTATTTTTGAAATTATTTTTGTTTCGAAAAAATTGAACTTTAATTTTTACAATCAAAGTTTCATAATTTCGAAACTGTTTTTCTTTTCTTTAGAAATTATTTTTCAAGAAATGTGTTAATGTGATTTATTTTTTTTTTATCAGTTTTGTAATGAATGAATGTTTCTGTTTACAGACGGAATTTGGGATATAATTTTATTGACGTGGTTGCTGAGAGCATTAATAACGATTCTGGACCAAGAAGAAATTACTTCAAATCTTCTCTCGATTTCATCATTTATAAGATGTTTTCAAAAACTATCACTTTCTCCAAAAATTCTCAAAGTTCTCGCAAGGCAAAAAGGAAGAAATTATTTTTCTGTTTACAATAATTTTGTTTACACATAACGAAGTGAGGGAAAAAAGAGATGGAAAATACCAGAATGAATGAAAAACGGAAGTGATTGTGCGATGGAGAATTTTATACAACTCTCAGGTCGCCGTATCTCCATAAAGTTTGTTCGACTTTCAAAATCAATGTTTAGTCTTTCTTCTTACGCTGATCGAGGCAGTTCAGTTTTTCTTTTTTGTGAAATTGTTTATTATTGTGTTTTAATTTTATGACTATAATTTTTCTCACAGTTTTTCTCTCACGATCACAATTTTTTCAAGATCGCAAATTGTAAATTAAATTGTAAGTTAAATCGCAAATTTTAAAATTCAAAATTAAATTCAATTTTACGTACAAAAAAAAAATAGTCGAATAGAAAAATTAATTATTTTTCTAAAATTAAGTTTTTGACAAAAGAATTTTTTGTTTGCAATATTAAATTCCTTTTATTTGTAATAAAATAAATGATAAATGAAATTTTTTTAAATAAAAGAATGGAAATAAAATTAAAAAGTGATTAAAAATTAGAAAAATTAAAAAAATTATTTCTATTAATTTTTTGTTTTATTTTCAGTTGAAGAAAAATAGAAAATGCCAATCAGTAAAATTAGAATTGCAATTATCGGCGGTGGTGTTGCTGGATTAATTGTAGCAAGACATGTCACTTCAAGACCAGAATTTTACAGTGTATGTCTTTTTGAGCAAACGGATGAAATCGGTGGCACTTGGGTTTATACTGATGAGACAGAATTTGATGAAAATCAATTACCAGTTCACAGCAGTATGTACGAAAATCTCAGGTAATTTATCGAAAAGAAACTTTAATTAATTTATTTATTTACTTCATTTATTTATCCACTTGGATTATTTATTTTTTTATTTTATAAATTAATTTATTTTGTTTCTTTTTCATTAATTAATTTATTTCATTTATGTAATTAAATTAACATTTTTTAGAAAATTTAATTTTTACCTTTGGAAATTGTTATTAATTTACAGAACAAATTTGCCAAAGGAAATTATGCAAATTCCTGACTTTCCATTCAAGGATTCTGAAGGATTACCATCTTTCGTTCATCACAGCGTTATTCGTCAATATCTCGTCGATTATGCGAAACATTTTAATTTACACCCTCACATGAAGGTAAAAAAAATATTTCCAAACATTCATTCGTTTAATTATTTTCTAATAAAAATTGATTTAAAATTGAAATTCAGTTAAAAATTTTGATAACTAAATATTAGAAGCGTTATGATGTTAATTTATTAAAATAATTAACTATCAAAAGATTATTAAATTGAAATTTTGAAAAATTCGTTTTGTTGTAAAAATATAATAATATTTTGAAAAATTATATTATTTTTTTTATTTTCCTAAGAAATTATTAAAGTTTTGAATAATTTTGTCTGGTTGTAAAAAATGTTCTTTTTTCACAAAAACATCTAGCTTCAAACTTTGGTGAATCACGTGGAACCTGAAATTCTTTCGACTGGAGAAACAATTTGGTTGGTGACATTCACGGATTTACGTACAAAATTAGTTAAGACGAAATTATTTGACGTTGTTATTTTATGCAATGGACATTACACAGTTGGACATTTTCCACAAATCCAAGGAATTGAAAACTTTCATGGCGGAATAATTCACAGTCATCAATATCGAAAACCGGAAAATTACGCTGGACGTAAAGTTTGTATCCTGGGTGCATCCTGGTCTGGAATTGACATCGCTCTCGAAATTTCGAAATATGGCGATAAAGTAAATATTAAAAAATTATTTAATAAATTAAAATTAAAATGAATCATCATAATTAGTAAACAAAGTAGAAAAATCATTTTCAAAAATTTTAATCTCATTTTTTGGAAATTTTTTTGTTTCGTTTTAAAGAAAATGTATTTTTAAATTTTGTTAATTTTCCATTTTGTTTTAATCGCAGATTTATTTGAGTCACAATCTTCCTCAACCGTTGGACGCAACATTGCCAAAGAACATCGAACAAGTGCCGGGCGTTAAATCAATTTGCGGAAATACTTTTTTCTTTCGCGACGGCTCATTTGCTGAGATCGATGATTTTATATTCTGCACAGGTGAATATTGCGAAAAAGAAAATATTCCGAAAATTTACTAATTAATTCAATTTTCAAATGAAAATACAATTAAAAATTCAATTACTACCTACTCTCTCAGTGCTTTGAATTTAAATTAAATTTAGGCTAGAATTTCGTATTATTCAATACGAAATTCAAATTTTTACTGAAATATTATTTTTAAATAGAATTTAAACAGAAAAAATTTAAACGTCAATAAATTATAATAAATAAATACAGATTTATAATGTAGATTATAAATATTTGAATTTGAAATTAATAGATGAACAAAATTTTTCAGGATACGAATTTACCTACCCGTTTTTGTCGAAGAAAGTGGAAATTCACACGAGGGATAATCACGTGGAACCAATTTATAAACATCTTATTCATATGAAAATGAAGAATTTATTTTTTATGGGACTACCGACAATTGTCGTACCGTTTCCAATGTTTCACATTCAAGCTCAATATATCATGGGAATTTTAGAAGGTCGTGTCAAATTACCAACACCGGAAGAAATGAAAGAGGACTTTGAAAGAGAAAAACAATCTTTACTCGATTCTGGAATTCCCGTAAGAAAAATTGATTCATTTTATTATTTGTAGGGAATTATTATTATTTTTTTTAAATTAAATAATAATTATTATAAAATAATAATTTCTTGCTAAAATAAAAATATATTTGATTTTACTTATTGACGAGAAACAATTATTAGGTACTAATAATAATTAAAATATATAATAGTTATTATAAAACAATAATTGAACGATAAAATAATGAAATAATAATTTAAATTAATAATCATTTTTGCGCTCGTGAAATTGTTACTCGTTTTCTTTTTTTAAAATAATTATATGAATAAATTTTATTTCTTCGAATTTACAGATTCGACATATAAATAAATTAGTGGACCGACAATGGGATTATTATGACGAAATAGCGGCTGCAGTTCATGTTCCAAGTTTTCCACCGGTAATCAAAAAGATTTACAATTACTCCAATAAAATGCGTGAATTAGATTTGATGACTTACAAAAATTATCAATATCGTATTATCGACAGTGAAAATTTCACTGTAAGTTGTCGTAAAGGCTGTTAATATAGTACATAGAAAATAATAGAAAAAAAATTTTATTCCTCTTTTTTAAAAAGATTTTAAATTAATAAATAATATTATTTTTAATATATTATATTTATTATATTATTCCTTTATTATCTATTTATATATATATTATATATTATTAATATTTTTAGATTAACGAAAAAATATAAGTTTATTAATAACTATTCAGTTTAATGAATATTTACCTCCATTTTAATTTTTTATTAATAAACTAAAAAACCAAAAAAATAAACAAAATTCAATTTCATTAGATTATTTTAATTAATAAAATAAAACTCCATTATTTAAAAAAATTTTTAAGAAATTCTTTAAAAAATCTTCTCAAAATTCTTCAAAATTATTTCCAACAATTTTAATAAAATTCTTGACAAAATAAATTTATGTCATTCTTTGGAAGAATTCGATTATTTTCATAAATAATACAATTAATTTATTTGAGAGAATTTTATTATTGTAAGTGTAATTTTAAGAAAATTCCTGAAAAGAATTTAATTAGGAGAAATTCAATTATTTCCCGTACAACAATTGTTGTACAAGTAAAATAAAATAAAAATAAGTAAAATTCCATGAAAGAATTTCATTATTTTAAAAATTTGTTATTAAATTTCTAAAAAAAGAATTTAATTATTTTTATAAATAATAAAATTCTTCAAAGAAATTAAATTATTTCCAATGCAATTATAATTATCAATATTTAAAATTTTTAATTTAAATAAATTTTCTTCAAAGAGTTGAATTATTTTCATAAATTTTGATAAAATTTTTTGTAACAATTCAATTGTTTTGAATACAATTTCAATTAAATTCTTTAAAAAAAATCAATTATTTTCAATAATTTTATTAAATTTGTTCAAAATAATTTAAATATTTTCCAAAAATTTGAAAGAATTCTTTATAAGAATTCAATTATTTTTTATACAATTTTAATTAAATTTTACAAAAGAATTTAATTACTTTCATAAGCTTAACTAAAATTCTTTATAAAAATTCAATTATTTCGAATGCAATTTTAATTAAATTCCTCGAAAGACTAATTATTATCATAAATTATGTAAAATTTTAATTTTAATTCTTTTTTTTAATTTAATTTATTTTTTTTCAATTTCTCTTTTTTTAACTTTTTAAATTTTAATTTTAAATTTTAATTAATTTTTAATTTTAAGCAATAAAATTTTTTGCAAGAATTCAATTATTTTCACAAATAATATAATTTTTCACCAAAATTCAATTATTTAAAAATCATTTTTATAAAATTCTTACCGAAAATTTAATTTTCAGAAATAATAGAATTAATTGCAAAATTTCGATTATTTTTAAAAAATTTTTAATCCTTTCTTGGAATTCAATTAAAATTGTATTCAATAGAATTTACTTACAAAGAATTCTATCAAAATTCTCAAGAATAATTGAATTCTTTCGAAGAAATTTATTAAAATTTTAAAAATAATTGAATCTTATCGAGAAATTTTTTTAATATTCCTAAAAATAATTGAATTCCTGCGAAAGTTTCGATATTTATGAAAATAATTGAATTCTTGCGAAGAATTTTTTATTAAGAATTTTGAAAATAATTGATTTTCTGCAAAGCTATTTATTATTTAACGAAAATAATTAAATTATTGCGAAGAATTGTATTCAAATTTCAAATCTGCTATTTTAATAAAATTTTCCAAATAAATTCAATTAATTAAAAAATTTTTTCATGAAATTCTACGCAAACATTTAATAAACATTTAATACCTAATAAAAATTTCACAGGAATTCAATTATTTACAAATGTTTTGTAAATTTTTTCACAGTAATTCAATTATTTTCAAAAATAATAAAATTCTTTTTAGGAATTCAATTTAATTTTCACAAAAAAATAAAATTCATCGCAGAATTTCAATTATTTGTAATAAACATTATTTGATAGAATTTTTATTGAATTCCTCAGAAAAATGTAATTTAAAAATTTTTATTAAAATTCATCGAAAGAATTTAATTTTAAGAAAACATTCAATTATTCAATAAATTATTTTTTTATTTAAATAATTGAATTCTTGTAGAATTGTCTATAATAAAAATTGATTTCAAAGTCTATGATAGAATTTGATTTTTTTTTCTTGAAATTCCTGTCAGGAATTCAATTATTTTCAATAAAAATTTTACTAAAATTTCTCGAAATGATTCATTTAAAAAAAATTGTTTAACAATGACTATGAAAAGATTAAAAAAAAATAATTTAATTGTTGCGTAGATTTTTAAAGCGAAACGGAGAGAGGAAAAATAAGAAAAGTTCCATTTTTTTATAGCACATACATTCATTTTATTATACGTAGATTGTTCATAGCTTATTAATCGTCTATTCTTTATGCAACAGAAAATATTACAGTATTACAGAGGGGGGTAGAGAAAGAGAAGATTGGAAAAATTGTTTCTTGAGAAATGAAAATTATTATTCTTTTAGTTTTATTTTCGCAAATCTGCCGCGAGTGTTCCACTCGTGCTCCACGTCACCGGATTTTGAAAGCACGAGTGATTGAGCCCCTTACACAAGTGGCAGGTTCGAGAAAAGAGGAGGCCAAAACTCAATCATCCGGACATGAGGGTCTCCCCTTTTTTTTTTCTTGTATTCGGTAATTAATAGGATTCAAATATTAACCTTTGAATAATATTTAAGACATCCAGCGGGGAGTCTACGGGATTTTTTTTTTAATTAGTTGTCTAAGTGCGAGAGCGCGTTCTACAAGCGCATTTTTTTTTTTTTTTTCTTTGAAACACAAACTATTTTCCGTATGTCGACACATTTTCCTTTGATTTCTATCTTTACAATATCAAAGGCAATTTTTCTCGAAATTTAAAATTTTGTGTAACACAAATTATTTTTCTTTTCGCGAAAAGAAATTTTTTTTTTTTCGACTCGCTTTTTACATATTTTGCCTTTTTTCCATCGTTTGAAATTACACTCGACCTTTTTTTTTTTAAACTATTTTATTATATATTTACACAAACTTGATTTTTTTTGGCACCGGAACTTTTCATCGTCGAGTACGAAGTACATTCTTCAAATTTTTGTGTTACAAAATATTTCAACCTCGAGGGTTTCTTTTTTTTATCGACGAGTTGGCATATACTCGTCGCGCACACTTTGTTGGAATGTAATACGAAAAAAATGAATTTTGAAAAAAATTCATCGACGAGGGTGTCGCGTAACCAAGAAGTTTCCAGGTGTCTCACCTAATTAATCGTTGTGAAATCCGGAAAAACAATTCGGTAACAGCGACTCGACCCCCCTCCTCTCTCTCTTCTTTTTTTTCCCTAGGAAATTCTGACTGCGACTGGTTTTTTTTTATTCGCCAGACTGCCCGGCAGTCAGATCGTTTTTCGAAAAGCAAGAATGAACGAAGAATAACAAAAAAATTCGTAAATACTAATACAATATTATTGTAAATATTTTTTGTTTTTAATATATTAATAATATATATTTAATGATAAATATTTCATATAATAATGTATTAATAACAATCGATTTTCTTTTTTTTTTCTTTTTTTTTTTGTCTTGGGTTTTACATCCTGATACGCGCAAAATCGTATCATGATAATCCTGTAAATTGGTAAAATACCATACGAAACGTAATATACATTACAGTTTACTTTGTTCGCTTCTCTTCTTCGAAGTTTTAATAATAAAAAACCTAGAGACGGAAATTAATAATTGGGGAAAAAAAGTAAACTCAATACTGAGTCTGGTTATTTTTTTTTTTTTTGATCGGATTTATCGCTCGCTTAACTATTCACAATTGAATTTTTTTTTTTGATCTATTTCAATTCTAACGAGATGATATTATTTGAATTCAAATGAAACGAAAAAAGGCGATTATTTCAATTCTCGTCTTGTTTGAATTCCTTCGGCTTTTCGTGTGTTTTTTTTTTATTTTATAAGTTATAATATCGCTGCGTTGTAATAAGTAAGTACTTAAAAATTAATAAGTTGACAAAAAATTTATTTAATCGACACTTGCGCGCGAGGCCGATTTTTCTTTTGTTTTTTAAAAATCATCGACGAGTTCGTAGATTTCTTGCGAGCGTTGAAGAAAACGATATAGCGCATTTTTTTTTCTAAAATTGTCTTTGTATTTTTTTTTTAATGACATGATCCTTTTTTTTTGGTGATGAATGGCGAGTGTGTGTGTGTGTGATTCAGAAGACTTCGGAATCGGGATCATTGGATGGTGCTGGCTGAAGTGATGACTGCATTCCCGTCTCTGTATTCCGCCTCTTCACTTTACTCTTCCGCTTCTTCAGCATCGTCGCCTAGGAAGGGAATGGATCAGGGGAAAAACGTACAGAGGATTGTTTTTTTCTTTCTTTTTTCACAAATATAAAAAAAAAATTGAAATTTCGCTCGCAACACCAGAACTCAGAAAATGATCACAAAAAAAATTAATAAATAAAATTAATAAATATACATATATATATACTGGAGAAAAATTATTACAATATAAATAGAGAGAGGCAACATTGCAGAAAAAGAAACGATCAAAAGATTACTAGAAATCTACAGATTGTAGAATAAAGGATGCACTATTAGAATGGTCCAGATATTTTTTTTCATTTCCGACAATTTAAGGAGAAATGTAAAGAAATTATTAATGCATAAGATTAATGTTAATTATTAAGTAAATTAATGAATAACATTAAGATTGAAAGAGTAAAAAAATATTTTTAAAGTAAATTTATATACAAAATAATTTTGAAATAGCTTTTTGTGTGAAAAATTATTTTTTACTCTTCGTTACGTTAGTCAACTTTCTCCTTAAATAGAAGTGTAAAATTTTTCCCAATTTTCAAAAAAAGAGGCCTTGGATCGAATTAAAAAGCAAATAAAATTCGCCTTATTTTCTAAAAATCAATTATTTTCCAGAATTTTAAAACTTAAAATTGTTCTCTAAATGTTTAATAATTTACCAAAGAAGTAGAAAATTTTTCTCAATTTTTTAAAAAAAAGCCTTGGATTGAATTCAGAAGCAAATAAAATTCGCCATATTTTCTAAAAATCAATTATTTTCCAGAATTTTCAACTGAAAATTATTCTCTAAATTTATTATTGTTTTTAATAATTTAATAAAGAAGTAGAAAATTTTTCTCAATTTTCTCACAAAATTGCCTTGAATAGAATTAAAAAAGCAAATAAAATTCGCCACATTTTCTAAAATTTAATTTTTATTTGCCTTCAGAATTTAAAAATTTAAAATTATTCTTTAACTTTATTATTTTCAATTTTTTAGCAATTTAATATAGAAGTAGCAAATTTTTTTCAATTTTCGAAAAAAGGAATTGAGTCGAATTAAGAAGCAAATAAAATTCTCCTTATTTTCTAAAATTACAATTCTAATTCTTTAAAAATTTAATTATTTACCAGAATTTTTGACCTAAAATTATTTTCCAAATTTATTATTTAAAAATTTTAATAATTAATAATTTACACAGAAAGTTCTTCTAAAATTTAATTATTCAAAAAAAAAAACAGTTTTATTAAAATACGATTAAAATTTAATTCTTTTCAACTCAGTTTTAGAGAAAATTCGAAAAATTGGAAATCTTTCAATTAAATATATTACTGAAAAATTAATTTAATTTCAGAATATTAAATTTGAATAATAATTTTAATTTTTTAATTTTTTAATATTTTAAAAATCTTTTCGAGATTGAATTATTTCTTTAAATTTCTATTTCAATTTTTCAAATTATTTATTATTTTCTAAAATTTTCAACTAAAATTCTTCTTTAAATAAATTATTATTTATAATAATTTGCAGAAAGTTCTTCGAAAATTCAATTATTTAAAAAAAACGAATGTTCACTTAGAATAAGTTTAAAATTCAATTATTTTCAATTGAATTTCACGAAATTACGAAAATTTGGAAAATCTTCAATTAAATAAATTGTATTCAGTAATTAAATTTAAAATGATTTGAATTAAAAATTCTAATTGAAAATTTTTTGAGATTTTCAATTATTTCTATAAATTTCTACTGCATTTTTCTAAATACTCCATTACATTCTGAAAATTTTAACTAAAATTCTTTTTTGAATCAATTATTATTTATAATAATTTGCAGAAAGTTCTGTGAAAATTAAATTATTAAAAAAACAAAATGTTCACTTAGAATTACTTTTAAAAAATTCAATTATTTTCAATCCAATTTCACGAAATTTAGAAAATTTGGAAATTTTTCTATTAAATACATCATGTTTAGAAATTTAATTAAATTCAAAATAATAATTTTCCTTATAGTTTAAATTAAAAATTTTCTAAAATCTAAATTCTTCGAAGTTTTTAATTAAAATTTTTACTGCAATTTTTGTTAAATATTTCATTATTTTCAGAAATTTTTAATTAAAATTCTTCTCAAAATCTATTATTTCATTATAATTTCCAAAGAGTTATTCAAAAATGCTAGATTATTAAAAAAAAAAAAAAAAAAAAAAAAAAAAAAAAAAAAAAAAAAAAAACAGAAAGTTTGTTTATATTGCGTCTAAAATTCAATCGTTTTGCACTAAATTTTACGAAATTTCCAATTTTTCAATTAAATATATCATTTAGAAATACAATTCCTTAGAAAATAATTATTTTCAAAATTTGAAATAAATAATTTCCAAAAATCTAAATTTTACAGAATTTTTTATTTCAAATTCTGAAAAGTTTAATTAAATTCAAAATAATAATATTTTCCTAATAATTTCAATTACAAATTTTCTAAAAACTAAATTCTTCAAAATTTTTAATTAAAATTATTCTTCAAAATTCTACTATAATTCTTCACATAAATTCAATAATATTCTAAATTTTTTTACTGAGAATTTTCCTCTAAATTAATTATTAATTATTTTTTTTAGATATAATTTTTCAAAGTTTTTTAAAAATTCAATTATTTGAAATTTTGAATACTCAAAAATTCAGTTTCTTTTTAAAAATTGCTACGAAAATCGAGAGAAATTGTATTTTATTGCCAAAAAAGAGTTATTTTGTTGCAAAGCGAAGTCAAAAAAGTTGCAAATTTCGTAAATAGTAAAACAAAAGTCATATATCCAAGGCCTTAAAAAAGAAGCGTCTTAATTCAGAAAAAAGAATTGAAGCATTAAAGGAAAAAATTAAAAAAAAAAAAAACACTGGACCATTCTACTTGCTACAGTTGAAAAAATGTAACAAAGAAGCTTTATAAAATTGCACTTGAGACCGAAGGTTTAATGAAAAGGGGGAAATAAGGGAATTAAAGAACAGAGAAGAAAGGTGTGACATGCGCTGAGGATTTGACCGGATTGGACCCCGTGAGAAGAGGTCCATTTTTTATTTAAACCTTAAAATTAGTACGAATCATTCCGAAATTCCTCAGGCCACTTGATTTTTCAAAAAAAAAATAAATAAATAAATAAATAACAATAAAAAAAAAGAAGAAAGAAACAACGTTCAAGCGTCGAGGAGTCTAGGCAAAGATCGCGTACCTCTTTAAGGAAACAAAACTTGTTTCGTTTACTTTTTTTCTTTCTTTTTTCAAATAAATAAATTTTCTCTAATTAGACTAGTTGCAAGCTGCAGAAACTGTTGATTTACTCGTCCGTGCTCTTGCCCCCCTCCCCATTAGCAGGTAGAATCGACGGTTCTGTATTCCGACGCTTGATCTTATTTTTCTTCAACATGGTTGCCTGAAGTGAACAAAGGAACAAGGAGACATTAGTAGAGTGCGATTTGGGGAGGATTGCATGCGCTGAACGGACATCAATTTTGCTTTCGCGCAGAGCGAACATTTTTTGCGGTCAATGTATTTTATTTTGTCGAATAAATTGTCGTCGACTAATTTTCAAAAATTATACTTTTCAAAAATTATTTTAAAGGTATATCAGTAGATCACGAAATTAAATGAATTTTACAGAAAAAATTTACATTTATCGTAAACTTTGCTAGTTTTTCGATTCGTCAATCACAATCTTTAATTAAAAATACATAAAATTGAGAATTTTTAAAGAATTTTATCAAATGAAAAAATAAAAATAAATAAAATTTTTAAAATAAATAAAAATGAATAATTCAATTCTTAAAGAATATTATCAAAAATTTTTAAAGTAATAATTAGATAATTAGTTAATACTTGTAAATTTGAATCTAAAATTATTGAAATATTGAATACTTTTGATGAATTTTATATTTTTATTACACTTACAATAGAAATTTTATTTTATCGAAGAGTTTTATTAGTTATAAAAATAATTAAATTCTTTTGAAAAATTTCATTACAATTTTCTAAAAATAATTGAATCCCTGCAAAGAATCTTATTATTTATGAAAAAATAATTGAATTTTTTCAAGAAATTTTATTACAATTTTTGCAATTAATTGAATTTCTCAGAAGAATTTTATGAAAACTTTAAACAATTTAAACCTTTTTATAATTTTGAGTTGTCAATCATATATTTTTTCTTTACCAAATTTTTAGTTACTTATGGAAAAAAAAATTGTATAATTTCTATTTTTTGAAATTTAATAATAAAAATTTATTATCTTTTAAAAAATATAATTTTTCCGAATATAACTCTTCAAAAAAATAGGTACGATTATATTTCAAAACAATTTTCAAAAAGTAATAAAATTAAATTCTTTAAAATATAAAATTTATTTCAATGAAATTTTACAAAATTGCTTCAATTTTTTAAATTATATTCGAGAATTCAATTTTTCAAAAAACTCATTTTTCTTTGAATTTCTTACATTAAATTATTCAAAAATTCAATATTTTTTGTTAAAAAAATATTTAAAAACTTATTTTTATTTCTTTTAATTGAAATTTCAAATAATTTCTCAATGTAAAACCTTTTGAAATGTAATTACATATTTCTAACAATAAAACTAGCAATTTTTACAAAATAAAATTATTTTTTAGAATTTTTTAATGAAATTATTCAAAACATTAATAATTTTTAATGAAAAATAAAAAATTTATCTTGAAATTCAATTATTTCTTAAAATTTCTGTTATAAAGCTTCTAATATTCAATTGTTTTTCAAAATTTGAATTTGAATTTGTTTTTCAAAAATCAATTTTTACGAAAAAGTTGTACGAGAATTGAATTATTTAAATAGAATAATTTTGGTAAAATTCAAGTACATATTATCAAAAATTTTTAAATACAATTCTAAAGAATACAATAGGAGATTTAATAATAATTTTTTAAAGTGCTAAAATAAAAATCATTGAAATATAAAATTAATTTCAATAAAATTTGAGAAAATTTTCCACTTTTTCAATTTTTTAAAATTATTTTTGGGAATTCAATTATTTTAAAAATATTTTAATTAGAATTTTTTAAAAAACTCATTTTTTCATAATTTCTAAATAAAATTTGTTCAAATTTAATTAATTTTTGTTTAATAAATATTTGAAAACTTCTTGTTATTTATTTATCCAACGGGAATTAAAATTTCAAAATGCTTTCGATGAAAAAACCTATTGAAATTAAATTATTTTTAGTAATAATAATAGTCTTGAATAAAAAAAAGTTTTCAAAAATTCCAAAAAATAATTGAATTTTGCAGGAATTGCAGTTGTTGTTTTTAGAAATAATTAAATTTCAAAAAGTTTTTTTATTCCAATTATTTGAAATTTCAATTTCTGTAGAAAAATAGAGAATAAGTTTCCTATAAAAAAATTATTTAACTTTTCAATAATTTAATTTAGAAATATAAAAATTCTTCTCATTACGTACTCTTGAAACGTTTAAAATTATTCCTGCAAAATATAACTTTTGAAAATTAGTCGTCGAACAATTTTTTCCAAATACAATAGTTTGACCTTTTTCTTTTGAAATGTTATTAAAAAAAAGAAACTACATTCTACAATAAACATTGATGCTTCTTTGGAAAAAAAATTTGAACGTGCCACACAGACAATGACCCCATTATTCGACACACAATATTACAGAAACGGCCGGTTGACAATAGGTTGCGATTCGGTCACAGGTGTGAAATGATGGAGAGTAAATTCGACAAAAAAAGGAAAGAAAGAGAAAGAGAGAGAGAGAAATGGTGCAAAGATACCAGGAGATTCAAAAAAATACATATGCAGAGAATAGAGGAACGGAGAACATTGTCAGGTCCGGGCAATTTTGCATTTCTGTGGAATATATGGGGTTCGAAAATTGTAAATTTTTTCAATTACCTTTAATGCAGATTTCAGGACGACAACGTCTCCAGGACTCTGGACCCATGGTTCACCGTCCACTTGAACTGGAGTGTCCGTATGCAAATGGATCTTTATGTGGCCACCCTGTATTTTTTTTTAAATTTCAATTAATAATTCTCAGAAATTTTTTTAATTTATGATTATATTTTCTCTAAGATTTTTTTTTTGTTAAAAAATCACTTGATTTTTTAACACGAGATGTCGATCGATTTTTACTAAATATAAAGAAGGAGTGAAAAAATAGAAAATAGATAAACAAAATTAGAAAATAAGTGAAAAAAATAATAAAAACAGGAAAAAAATACAAAGTCACAGTTTTTCTAAGAATAACAAATTCAGACAAAAAACGAATGAAAAAAGTTGCGAAGTAACATTTTTGATTCGTTTGTCAAATAAAAAAAAAAAAAAAGTTGAAAATTTCTTTTAGTATTTAGTGGATGAAAAACTTACTAAACCATTGGATCGTCAGTATAATGACAAACCGCGAAAATGAAGAAAAAAATTGAAAGAAAGTAGAAAAATAAAAACATACTTGAGCTATCCTCATTGCAGTGCGAAGGCCAGATTGAATTTGACCTAAATGAACAACTCCCGTGACGCCAACAACCTCCAGCATTCCGTCCCAGTGATTTGGCTTGTTGAACTGATCCTCCTTATCGGGTCCCCAAGGATTCGCACCGGAGCCCCAACTATTAATTTTTGGTGAATATTTTTTATTTCTCAGTTGATTCATTCATTCTTTTTTTTTGATTAATTATGTAATTCATTAATTACATAATTTAATTCTTCGCAAGAATTCAATTATTTTCATAAATTAATAACATTCTTCGGAAGAATTTTTATTATTTTTATAACCAATAGAATTTTGTGCAAAAATTCGATTATTTTCGACAAAATTTTATGAAAATTTCACGAAAGAATTCAATTTCTTTTTCTTTTTAATTTTTAATAATATGTTTCGAAAAAATTCAATTATTTTCTAAAATTTTAAATAAATCCTTCAAAACAATTCAATTATTTGTAACACAAGTTTAATAAAATTTTATGAAAGAATTCAATTTCTTTTTTTTAATTTTTAATAATATTTTTCGAAAAAATTCAATTGTTTTCTAAAACTTTAATAAATCCTTCGAAACAATTAATTTATTTTTTATTCAATTTTAATAAAATTTTATAATTGGTATGTTTTTAGGACCTTAATTTTTGTCAAATACTGTTTTTTGAATAAAATTTTATGAAAGAATTCAATTTCTATTTAATTTTTAATCAATTTTTTCAAAAAAATTCAATTATTTTCTAAAATTTTAACAAATCCTTCGAAACAATTCAATTTTTTTTATTTTTAACAAAATTTTTCAAAAAAATCCAATTATTTTATAAAAAAAAAAATAAAAACTAAATAATATTCAAATTGTTTTAGAAATAAATAAAAAAAAGCCTAATTTCGAATTGTCAGACAAAATTTTTTTAATAAAAGTTTTATTTTTTTCATAAAAAAGAAACATTTGCAATTATCTTCGTTGGTCAATTATTATTTTTACATAACTACAAAGATTATATTTTCTTTTAAAGAAAAAAGGAAAATAATTTGTATAATTTTTCTTTCTCAATAACAATTTTTTTTTTAAATAATTCAGTTTTTATTAAAAATAAAGAAGAAAGTTTGCTGCAAAAACAATTTAATTGACAAATGAAAATTCTGAAAATTTTTTCTCACTTTGTTATAAAACTCTTTTAAAATTCTCAATTTTATTCTCAATAAAAAAAAAAGAAATTATAAAAAATTTTTAACTCTTTTTGAAAAAAATATACTTGAGATTGTGTTAAAAAATTTTGATGAATAAATAGAAATTATGTAAATTTTTTTATTTATTACTAAAAAAATTAGAAGGTTTGTTAAAAAATTGCAATTGAGGTCCAAATCATTATTTCTTTTTTAAAAAAAAGAATAAATTAGGTATGCAATTTTTTTTTATTAATTTCTAAAACAAAATTATAACTTCGTTAGAAATTGTGATTAAAAAACAGAAACTACACAAATTTTTTTCCAAAAGAAACTGAAAATGTGATAAACAAAAAATATGATTCACAAATCAAAATTATAAAAAGTAATTCATTTTTTTAAATTTTAATAAAATTCTTTTAGGACATTTAATTATTTTTAAAAATAAAAATTCTTTTGTAGGAATTCCTGTGGTTTGAGTCTGGACTAGAAAATGTGGGTAAATGTCGGTATAGGAATCTGTAAATAGAACTGGTCGAGAAAATTATTCAAGATTACCCTGTGGTTTGAGTCTGGACTAGAAAATGTGGGTAAATGTCGGTATAGGAAACTGTAAATAGAACTGGTCGAGAAAATTATTCAAGATCACCTTGTGGTTTGAGTCTGGACTAGAAAATAGGGGTAAATGTCGGTATAGGAAACTGTAAATAGAACTGGTCGAGAAAATTATTCAAGATTACCCTGTGGTTTGAGTCTGGACTAGAAAATGGGGGTAAATGTCGGTATAGGAATCTGTAAATATGTCTGACAGAGGAAAATATTCAAGATCACCTTGTGGTTTGAGTCTGGACTAGAAAATGTGGGTAAATGTCGGTATAGGAATCTGTAAATAGAACTGGTCTAGAAAATAATTCAAGATGACCCTGTGGTTTGAGTCTGGACTAGAAAATGTGGGTAAATGTCGGTATAGGAATCTGTAAATATATCTGACACAGGACAATATTCAAGATCACCTTGTGGTTTGAGTATGGACTAGAAAATGTGGGTAAATGTCGGTATAGGAAACTGTAAATAGAACTGGTCGAAAAAATTATTCAAGATCACCTTGTGGTTTGAGTCTGGACTAGAAAATGTGGGTAAATGTCGGTATAGGAATCTGTAAATATATCTGACACAGGACAATATTCAAGATCACCTTGTGGTTTGAGTCTGGACTAGAAAATGTGGGTAAATGTCTATATAGGAATCTGTAAATATATCTGACACATGAAAATATTCAAGATCACCTTGTGGTTTGAGTCTGGACTAGAAAATCTGGGTAAATGTCGGTATAGGAATCTGTAAATATATCTGACACAGGAAAATATTCAAGATCACCTTGTGGTTTGATTCTGGACTAGAAAATGTGGGTAAATGTTGGTATAGGAATCTGTAAATAGAACTGGTCCAGGAAATTATTCAAGATCACCCTGTGGTTTGAGTCTGGACTAGAAAATGTAGGTAAATGTCGGTAAAGGAAACTGTAAATAGAACTGGTCGAGAAAATTATTCAAGATTAACCTGTGGTTTGAGTCTGGACTAGAAAATGTGGGTAAATGTCGGTATAGCAATCTGTAAATAGAACTGGTCCAGAAAATTATTCAAGATTATCCTGTGGTTTGAGTCTGGACTAGAAAATGTGGGTAAATGTTGGTATAGGAAAGTGTAAACAGAACTGGTCGAGAAAATTATTCAAGATCACCGTGTGGTTTGAGTCTGGACTAGAAAATGTGGGTAAATGTCGGTATAGGAAACTGTAAATAGAACATGGTCCAGAAAAATATTCAAGATTACCCTGTGGTTTAAGTCTGGACTAGAAAATGTGGGTAAATGTCGGTATAGGAAAGTGTAAACAGAACTGGTCAAGAAAATTATTCAAGATCACCGTGTGGTTTGAGTGTGGACTAGAAAATGTGGGTAAATGTCGGTATAGGAATCTGTAAATATGTCTGACACAGGAAAATATTCAAGATTACCCTGTGGTTTGAGTCTGGACTAGAAAATGTGGGTAAATGTCGGTATAGGAATCTGTAAATATATCTGACACAGGACAATATTCAAGATCACCTTGTGGTTTGAGTCTGGACTAGAAAATGTGGGTAAATGTCGGTATAGGAAACTGTAAACAGAACTGTTCGAGAAAATTATTCAAGATCACCCTGTGGTTTGAGTCTGGACTAGAAAATGTGGGTAAATGTCTATATAGGAATCTGTAAATATATCTGACACATGAAAATATTCAAGATCACCCTGTGGTTTGAGTCTGGACTAGAAAATGTGGGTAAATGTCTATATAGGAATCTGTAAATATATCTGACACATGAAAATATTCAAGATCACCTTGTGGTTTGAGTCTGGACTAGAAAATGTGGGTAAATGTCGGTATAGGAAACTGTAAACAGAACTGGTCGAGAATATTATTCAAGATCACCTTGTGGTTTGAGTCTGGACTAGAAAATGTGGGTAAATGTCGGTATAGGAAACTGTAAATATGTCTGACACAGGAAAATATTCAAGATTACCCTGTGGTTTGAGTCTGGACTAGAAAATGTGGGTAAATGTCGGTATAGGAATCTGTAAATAGAACTGGTCCAGGAAATTATTCAAGATCACCTTGTGGTTTGAGTCTGGACTAGAACATGTGGGTAAATGTCGGTATAGGAATCTGTAAATTTGACAGGGTGTCTACAACACCTGGAAAACCTGGAAAACCGGGAAATGTCAGGGAATTTTTTCGAAAGTCAGGGAATTTTTTTCATCATGACTTGAAATACTCTTGAACAATATTTTTAATGCTCATAATTAGTTTTACAAATTTTTAGTAAAAAATTAATACTAATAATTAATATTGCCTTTCTAATTTGCAATTTTATTTTGAGAAATAATAGGAACCACAGACATACATATAATCAAATAGAAAAAAATTGACCACTTAAAATTCTGAAAGATCAAAAGAAATGCAGAAATAATGGCATTGAAAAAATTCGTTTCGTAAAATAAATCAATTTATTTTTTAAATACATAATTTAGGGCTCAAACTAAATCCCGTAAAGTCCGTAAAAGTCAGGTTTTTTTAAAAAAGGTCCGTTAAGTTCGTAATTTGATTAAAAAAGGGCGAAAAGTTTGTAAATTGTACGATATAATTTGAGGAATTTTAGATAAATTACAAAATGATTGCAGAAATTCAATTATATTCAAAAATTTTTTTAAATTCTCGTCAAAATTTCAATTATCCTTATAAATAATAAAATTCTTCTCTGAAAATCTATTATTTTAAAAAATTTTTAATAAAATTCTTGGCAAAATTTCAATTATTTTCAAAAATTTTCCTTATTTCAATGTTTTTCAGTATGTACTATTTTAATAAAATTTTTCTAAAAGAATCTAATTATTTTCATAAAATAATAAACAGTTCACAGGAATTATTTTCGTGCATAATAAAATTCTTTCTAGGAATTCAATTATTTTCATAAATAATAAAAATGATCAAAGAATTTCAATTATTTTTAATACAATTTTAATCGAATTCTTAGAAAAATGTAATTATGTATTCTTAAAAATTTTATTAAAATTCGTCATCAAATTAAAAATTTGTTAGTAAAATTCTTTATGAGAATTAAATTTTAAGAAACATTCAATAATTCAATAAATTATTTATTTTTGTATTTAAATAATTGAATTCTAATAAAAATTTATTTAAAAATTAATTTCAGTTACAATTTTAGATAATAATTAAATATTAAAAGCAATATAGCGTGAAGGCAATTTTTACCTTTTTAAAAGGCAAAAATTGCCTTTTTTAAAAGAAACAATTGCTTTCGTGTATTGCTTTTGTTCTTAGGCAAAAATTGCCTGAGTAAAAAGCACATTCTGCCGAATTTTTTTTTCAGTGTAGAATTGAATTATTTTCAATACAACAATTTTAATTGAATTTCAATTTTTGTCCAAAATTTTAATAAAAATCTTCAAAAATCTTCAATTATTTTCAATTATTTTTAAATAATAAAATTTTTTCTAGTAATTCAATTGTTTTTCAAAAATTTCAATTATTTTTAGTAAATGTCAATGAAATTCCTCGAAAAAATTTAAATATTTTTCTAATTCTTATAAAAAGCATTTAAACTTTTATGACGTCACAGTTTTTGCAAACCGTGTGTAAAACTGTGACGTCATAATTTTTTAAAAGCCCTTAAATTAAAATTTTCACTCTCTCAAATATTGGGCTAAATAGATATTGAAGAAAAAAGTGTCACCTTAAAATATTAAGAATTATAATCCCCTCAACTTGCGGCAATTCCACCAATTTTCCATCGACCTCTAAACGAATTTCCTTGTGAAGATCTTTGCACGGCTTGCGGCCGACCATTTTTCTCAAGCCCATTTTCACGTACACACTCTTATTGTGTAAACGACTGTTGAATTTATTTGGATTTTCCTCCCTCGCATTATGAAAATCTAAGCAAAGATCAGCGTCGATACCAATTCCAAAGTAATTATTCATCACGAGAATTTGCGAATTGTCTTCACTTGTCGAACCTGCGACTAATTTATAAAGTGAAATGTAGATTACAAATTTCTAATTACTGTTTTTTTAATAATTATAATATTTTTGTTTAAAAAACCATTTACGTCTATTTTTTATTTACATCTATCTAAATTTAATATTTTTGTTTAAAAAACCTTAACATCTATGTTTTATTTACATTTATCTAAATTTAATGTTTTTCGTTATTAAGAGGAAATATTGTTGAGAATTAGATTGTACATACCAGCAGCGTCCTCTTTCTCTTCGGGATGAAAAACAACGGTCCAACGATCCAATCTTATTTCCTCAGCTTCAATTACGTCCTTGAGTAAATTAAGGGGATCTTCAGCACCAGTGTAGCCGGAACCCCACCTTAAAACGCGGGCGAGGTCGTTTCCTGTACCTAGAGGAACTATTGCACACGCAGGAGATGAGCATTCACTGTCCTGGCCAACATTATCCAAACACTGCAATACCCAGCCTATTGTTCCATCTCCTCCGCAGACAAGGATCTTGTAATTCTTTATATGACGAAACACGTACAATCTGAGAAGGAGAAAATTGGTAAAAAAAAATTAACAAACATTCGTCTCTTTTATTTCATTTATTTATTATAAAAACTGGCATTTGAAATTTGAAATTCACTGTGACTATACTTATTGGTAGTTACATAAACTTTCTCTTTTTAAATTTTAATGAAAATTTATAATTTTTTTGAAAAATATAATTTTTCGAAATATAATTCTTCAAAAATACGATTATATTTCAAAACAATTTTTGAATTGTAAAATTATTCGAAAACATCCAAAACTTTTTTTTAAATAAATAATAATTGAATGTTTCTTAAAAGTTAAAATTGAATTCTTTCGACGAAATTTAATAAAAATTTTAAGAATAATTACATTTTTCGGGAATTCGATTAAAATTATATTTAAAAACATTGAAACCCTGCTTGGAATTTTATTATTTATGAAAATATTTCAATACATGCGAAGATCTTCAATTACTTTCAGATATTTGAATAAAATTTCTCGCAATAATTTAAATATTTTCGTTACATAATAAAAAGCTTTGCAGAAATTCAATTATTTTCAAAAATCTTAATAAAATTCTTCCCAAGAATTCAACAATTTTCATAAATATCAAAATTATCGCTGAAATTAAAAATATTTTCAAAATTTTTGCTACAACTTTTTCGTAAAAATTTAATTATTTTTAGGAATGTTAAAAAAATTTCTCGATATGATTCAATTATTTTTAAAATTTTAATAAATTTCTTCTAAAGAATTCAATTATTCTTCAGAATTTTGATAGAATTCTTTCCAAAATGTAAATTATTTTTAACACAATTTTAATTAAATTCTATTGAAAGAATTAAAAATTATTTTAAATAATTGAAATTTTGCCATGAATTTTATTATTTGTAAAAATAATTGAATTTTCAGGAAGAATTTTAAAAAAAATTAAATAATTGAATTCTGATGAAAAATTATATTATTTATGAAAATAATTCAATTATTGCGAAGAAATGAATTTAAATATTTTCGTTAAATAATAAAAAGCTTTGCAGAAATTCAATTATTTTCAAAAATTTTAATAAAATTCTTGGCAATAATTCAATTATTTTCATAAATAAGTATCAAAATTATCGGTGAAATTCAAATATTTTCAAAAGTTTTGCTACAACTTTTTCGTAAGAATTTAATTATTTTTAAGAATATTAAAAAAATTTCACTATAAGATTTAATTATTTTTAAAATTTTAATAAATTTCTTCGAAAGAATTCAATTATTCTTAAGAATTTTGATAAAATTCTTTCCAAAAAGTAAATTATTTTCAATACAATTTTAATTGAATTCCATGAAAGAATTCGAAATTTATAAAAATAATTGAAATTTTGCAATGAATTTTATTATTTATGATAATAATTGAATTGTCGGGAAGAATTTTCTAAAAATGTTTTTAAATAATTGAATTCTGATGAAAAATTATATTATTTGTGAAAATAATTTAATTCTTGCAAAGAATTTTATATTGCTTCAAATTTTACATAATTTATGATAATAATTAGTCTTTCGAGGAATTTATTGAAAATTGCATTCAAAAGAATTGAATTTTTATAAAGAATTTTATTTAAACTTTTGAAAGTAATTGAAATTTTTAGAGAACTTTTATTAAAATTTTATTTAGAATAATTATATTTTTGCAAAGAATTTCAGGTATTATTTATAAAAATAATTGAATCTCGATAAAAAATTTTTGTTATTTATGAAAGAAATTGAATTATTGCAAAGAAATTTATAAAAGATTTTGCAAATAATTGAATTTTTGGGAAATTTTTATTATTTATGAAAATAATTAAATATTTGTCTACAATTTTATTAAAATAGTAGATATTTAAAATCATCGAATTGAGGGAATTTTTTGAAAATAATTGAAATTTTGCTAAGAAATCATTAAAATTTTTGAAAATAATTGGATTTCAGAGAAGAATTTTATTATTTATGAAGATAATTGAAATTTTGACGAGATTTCTGCAATCATTTTTAACTTCTCCAAAATTCAATTTTTTTTGTTTTTTCAAAAAATATAATTAAAATTTTTTGATAATTGTTATTTATTTGTCCAGTGGGAATTAAAATTTTAAAATACTTTTTAATGTAAAAATCTTTTGAAATTTAATTAAAATTAGATTTCAATTTTTGAAATATTTTCTATAATTTAAACTAAAAATTCTTTTTCAAATCAATTATTAAAAAAAAAAGTTGTACGAGAATTGAATTATTTAAATACAAAAATAAATAACTGATTATTTCTAAAAATTACAACTGTAACTCTACTTCTTATGGATTTTTTTTTAATTTGAGAAAGAAAATTCATAGACTATTTAAGATTTTCAGTAATTTGACATTTTTTTTTATAAAATTTCCTTACATTACTGTCTATAAAAATGAGATTATTTTTTAAATTCTAAGGGAATTAATTTCACTAAAACACTAATTACTCTATTTACAAATTAATTGTCAAACTTTTGACATGAAAATTTGAGCTGTCAAACAATTCGTAATCAAAAAGCCCTAATTTCACTTGAGGACCGAATATTTCGATTATTATTTTTTTTAGTATATAATTATAGACATATATGAAAAAAGAATTGTCTCACTCACCCAGGCAGTGGGCCACCGTTATCCAAATCGAACACTTGATAGGGATTCAAAAGCTTACGAAAACTCGATATCAAGTCAAGCCCTTGACAACCGCCGGACTTTACATTTACAAAAACTAGTAAAGGCTGAACATGGCTTGGCACCATTCTTGGCTCGATACTGGGCAAAAGCATTACTGCAAAAACGAGAAAAGCATAGAAATTATAAATTATGATTTTTTTTTCTCTCTCGAAGCATTTCGTCGAGAATTAGTAAAAAAAAAAGTCGCCTCTATATAAATTACCTAAGAGGTGTTTATCTTCGTATTTCGATTCACGTAACATATAGAGAGCCTTAACCGCTTTATTCGAATCTTCGTATATAATAACCATCGAACCGTATTCGTAATATATGGGTCCGATTGATGAAAATTTATTTTCTGTAAATAAAAATAGAATTTAAAAAAAAATTGCCTTAAAAGGAAATTTAATTTTTTATACATTATGAATTGAAACATTTTTTTTTGTCAGTAAACTTATCATTATTTCATTATAAAATTATTCACCTTTGCCTAAAAATTCGGTCAACATATTTTCATAATTGCGTTGAGAAAGATTTGGCGGTAGGTTACCAACAAACAAAGCAAGATTAGGACCATGTGGGTCCTGCTTTAATTGCAGATAAAATCTCATCAATTCCATTTGCCTAATTGAATCGTGTCCCAGCATTTTGACAAGTTCCCAAGGTTTTTCATCCCATGCGAGCACTCTTCCTGTAACTAAAATCAAAATTCCATATCGTTAAATATACTTTTCCAGTGTAAAATCAACAAAATTGCGAAAAAAAATTACCATTGCAAAATAAACATATGAGAATTAAATAATAAGGAAAAATTTACACGTTATTTATAATCAAGAATTTGTAATTTATAATTTTATATTTTATGACAAAATTTATAATGAAATTTCTTCGAAACGATAGGAGGAAATGAAAATTTTTCTATTATATAAAATACAAACCTCCGCGATCGAGAAGAACTTGACTACATCTGTAATCCTCGTACATAAAATCTTGCAAGCCAAAACGAAGAAGAGCCTCTCGAATGAGATCGGATATATTTGTCCTTTCAGTGACCGGAACTATACAAAAGGATTCGGAAACTTGAAGTTTTCCCGGATAAACCCTCACTTCGCCGCTGTCACTATCCCTAAAAAAAATGTCATACAATATTATTATTGAGAAAAACAATTTTTTATATATCAACAGCCTTCGTACTCGATAATTAATTTCAGAACAGTTGCAAAAAGTAGCTTCAAGATTGAAAAAAATTACTAAAAAAGTATTATTAAATTTGACGAATCAATTTTTTCATATAATTTCTAAATTAAATTACATTTGAAAATAGAATATTCTTTTTTGAAAGAAATATTTAAATACCTATTTACTTTTTCCGCGGGAATTGAAATATTTAAAATGATTTAGGTGTAAAGTCTTTTTGAAATTTAACTATTTTTAAAAATTATTTACAACTGTAATTCTTTCAAAATTCAATCATATTTTCAATTAAAATTTTTAAATAAAATTATTCAAAATTTTAATCATTTCTTAGGAAAATAATATAATAAATTAATAATTTTTCAAAATATTATTACAGTTTTACAATAATTAAAATTTTCAAAGATTTAAATTTGAAAATCTTTTAATTATTTCTCAAAATTCACACAATAACGCTTGTAATATTCAATTATTATCTAAATTTCTAACAGAAATTCAATTTTAAATCAATTCTTATTAGAAAATTCTACGAGAATTTCAATTATTAAAATACAAAAATAAATAATTTACTGAATAATTGAATATTTCTTTAAACTAAATTCTAATAAAGAACATTATCAAAATTTTTAGAAATAATTGAATTGTTACGAAGAATTTCATTAAAATTCTTTTAAATATTTTAATTCCTTCATGAAATTTAATTAAAAATGGATTGAAAATAATTATGAAATTCTAATAAACAAATTAAATCAAAATTTTTTAAAGTATCTAATTGAATTTTTTCAAGGGAATCAATTACAATTGTCCTAAAAGTATTTAAATTCTAGCGAAGAATTCTTTTTTTTTAAATAATTGAATTCTTGCAACGAATTTTATTAAAATTTTTCAAAATAATTGAATTCCTGAGAAGAATTTTATTATTTCTAAAAATAATTGATTTCTTGCGAAGAACTTTAACTTTTTTTTAAATAATTGAATTCTTGCGAAGAACTTTAACTTTTTTTAAATAATTGAATTCTTGCGAAGAAGTTTATAAGAATCTTTTTAAATAATTGATTTTTTTTCTAAAAATTTTATGAAAATGGTGTTTAAAATAATTGAATTCTTGTGAAAATTGTATTATTAATGAAAATAATTGAATGTTTGCAAAGAATTTTATATAAACATTTTGTTTAAATAATTGAATTCTTTTGGAAAATTTCTTATTAAAATAGTAGATATTAGGTATTGAAAATAATTTAATTTCAAAAACTTTTTGAAAATAATTGAATCATTTGAAATACTTTTATTGAAATTTATTGAATTGTTTATAAGAATTTGATTGAATTAAAAATTTTTTAGAATAATTACTGTAACGCATCTAATATTCAATTATTATTTAATATTTTAGTTTAATTTTAATTATAAATAAATTCTTATAAGAAATTTTTGCAAGATTTCAATTATTTAAATACAAAAATGGAAAATTTATTAAATTCGCATAAAAAATTTTATCAATAAATTTTTAAATAATTAAATTCTGTTGACGGATTTTAATAAAATTTTGAAGGATAGTTACATTTTTCGAAGAATTGGATTAAAATTGCATTCAAAATAATTGAATTCCTAAAAAGAATTTTATTATTTATGAAAATAATTGAATCCCTGTAAAAATTTTATTCTTTATGGAAATAATTGAAATATTTTTATTATTTGTAAAAATAATTGAATTTTAGCGAAGAACTTTATTAATTTTTTTTTTTTGAATAATTCAATTCTTTCGAAAAATTTTAATGAACTATTTAAGAATAATTGCATTTTTTTAGGAATTCATTTAAAATTGTATTAAAAATAATTGAATTTCTGCCAAGTATTTTATTAAAATTATATTCAAAATATTTGAATTGATCTGAAGTATTTTATTATTCATTGAAATAATTGAATTTTTTTTCTAACTTTTTGAAATACAAAACATTATTCTTTTTTTTGAATAAAAGGTAAAAAAAAATAGCTTACTTAAATCGAAGAAAGACAGCCGGACGTTTGCCCTCCCTGCGATTTAAATTTTGAAGTGGCGAAGGATCAGATAATGGAACTTCTTCTTCGGCATACAGATCGGTTAGGTAAAAATGATCTGAAAATTGAAGGGCAAATTTAATTTAACATTGAAAACAATTAACCTTCGATATCGAAGTACTTATAAGTTATAACAATTCAAACATTAAATTCAAGAATAAAATTTTTAATTGATCAATATAAAATTTATAATTCATCAATGAAATGTAATTCATCAATGAAATGTAATTTTGTCAATAAATTGTAATTTTATCAATAAAATGAAATTATATCAATAAAATATACCTTATCGCAGTAATAATATTATAAAAAATATCAATGAAATTTCATTGATCAGTAAAAAGAAAATTTCCCCATTAAACTTTAATTAAACAATTTAAATGTGTAAATTAACAGGAAATAAAAGTTTACAATTTGACGAACGAAAATTCTAATAAAATCTAATTAAACAGAAAAAACTTCATAAGCAAACTTAATACTATACTATGTCCAAAGTTTCTGATGAATTTTAAAAATTCAATATTTTTCTTTTTTCAGTACTTTTTATTAAATTCCTCGACTCTTTCCTAATTTTTCTGACCAATAATTTTACTTTCCTTGAATTCTTTGCTTTTTAAAATGAAACGTTGAATAATTGTTGTGGAATTTTATCGATTAAATTTCAATTTAAATAAATAATTAATTGTTGTGGAATTTTATCGATTAAATTTCAATTTAAATAATTAATATTATCGAAAAATAAAGTCATCGTACTCGGGTCTCTTTTGATGTGAAACGAACGAAGCGCCGATGTGAGAATTTGCTCCGTTGTCGCTTGTCGAGGCACGCTAATCACTCGAAATATTCTCCGACTTAATGAATTATTTCCATCGTAAACCTTTATCATTTCTGAAAATAAAAACAACAATCACAAAATTATTTTAATTTTATGCACAAAAAATAATAATTTGACAATTCTCATTTTCTTATAAAACAAAATTTTATTTCTTTTGAAATATTTTCATAAAACAAAAATCATCAAAAACAGTACAAAAATTATTATTAACAAATAGAATTTATAAGAATTGATTATTTAGTATCATTTATAATTTAATTACAAAAATACGATATTGTTTATATCAAAGTTATTTTTTCACAATTCAGACTTCGCACACGATAATTAATTTTAGAAAAGCAGCTTTCAAACTGATAAAAAATAGTAAAAAAGTAGCTATCGAAAAATTAGCTTTGAAGACCAAAAAAACTGGTTTTAGAAACTTCGCAAAACTGACAAAAATTCCATTCTATATTTTATTTTCCTGACTTTTTCCTAATTTTCATCAAAAATATTTAGTTTCTATTTAATCCTGCTAATAAATTGAATTTCTGCATCGAATTTTATTGTTCATGAAAGAATTTAAATATTTATAAAAATAATTTAATTCTTGCCAAGAATTTTAAATAATTGATTTTTTCGAGGAATTGAAATTAAATTTTTAAGAATAATTACGTTTTTTTTTAGCAATTCCTTTAAAATTGTATTAAAAATAATTAAAATCCTGCGATGAATTTTATTATTTACCTATGCAAATAATTGAATTCTTGCAACGAATTATATTAAAATTCTTAAAAGTAATTTAATTCCTGAGAAGAATATTGTTATTTATAAAAATAATTGTATTCTAGCGAAGAACTTTATTTATTTATTTATTTTTTTTGAATAATTGAATTCTTTTGAAAAATTTTAATAAATTATTTAAGAATAATTGCATTTTTTTAGGAATTCATTAAAAATTGTGTTAAAAATAATTAAATTCCTCGGAAATTTTTATTATTCATGAAAAAAATTGAATTCTTACGAAGATTCTTGCAAACAATTTTTTAAATATAATTGAATTCTGTTTCGAAATTTTATAAAAATAGTAGGTATTGAAAATCATTGAATTGCGAAAAGTTTTTAAAAATAATAAAATTTCACAAAGAATTCTATTAAAATTTTTATTATTTATGAAAATAATTGAATTCTTGCGAACGATTTAATAAGAATTTATAAAATAGTTGAATTTCCAAAAAGAAATTTATTACTTTTAAAAATAATTGAATTCTTGTGATGAATATTATTATTTATGAAAACAATTGAATTTTGCAAAGAATTTTTTAAAAATGCCTCAAAATAATTGAATTTTCGGTAATAATTTTGTTATTTATCTTTAATAATTGAATTCTGTCGAAGAATTATTTATATGTAAATAATTGAATTCTTGAAAAGTATTTTATTGAAATCTAAAAAAATAATTGAATTGTTTCAAAGAAGTTTAATTAAAATTGTATTTTAAATAATTGATTTCTTTCAAACAATTTTATTAAAACATTTGAAAATAATTGAATTCCTGTGAAAAATTCTAACATTTTTGTAAATAATTGAATTCTTCCAAAGAATTTTGTTATTTATGAAAATAACTGAATTATTGTGAATAATTTTATTAAAATGTTAAAAAAGAATTGAATTTCTGTGAAAAATTTTGTTTTTTTTAAATAATTGAATTCTTCATAAGAATTTTATGAAAATTGTTTTAAATAATTAATTTTTTTCGAAATATAATAAATATTATGAAAATTTTATTTTAAATAATTGAATTCTTGTGGAAAACTTTATTTTTAAAAATAATTGAATTTTTCGATTAATTAATTTAAAATAGTATTAAAGATAATTGAAATTCTTCGATGAGTTTTATTATTAGTGAAAGTAATTGAATTATTGTGAAGAATTATATAAAAAATTTGGTTAAATAATTGATTTTTTCGAAATTTTTTTGAAAATGCAATTCTAAATTAATTAAATTCCTGTGGAAATTTGATTATTTATGAAAATAATTGAATTTTATCAATTTTTTTTTAATAATTGAATTCTTTTGCAAAATTTTATGAAAATACTTATAGATATTGAAAATAATTGAATTTCGAATATTTTTCGAAAATAATATTGAAACGTTTTAAAGAATTTGATTATAATTTTTGAGAATAGTTTTTTGATTTCTAGAAGTAGCGAATTTAAAGTAGTGGAAATTTAAAAAAAAAAGAACAGAAATAGTAGCTTTTAGTGGCTGAAATCTAAAAAAAAGTAGCCAAATAGTAGCATAACGTAAAAAAGTACTAAATAGTAGGTTTTAGTAGATGAGTGCGAAGCCTAGAAATTAAAAAATTTTTATTATAATTAAAAATTTATGTTAAAAATGAATATGTAGAATAAAAATCTATATAGTATAAAATGATAAAAAAAAATTGTTTTTTCTCTTTTTTCTCTCGCAAATTTTCCAGATGAATAACAGGGGTTGTGTTATAATAATAATAATAATAAGGTGATGCGCGTGTATTGTAAAATATGCGACATTATTTTCTTTTTCAAATAATATATTTAACGAACGTGTATGAGTGTGTAATAATAAATTAATAAAAAAAAGGGAAAAAAATGCAATTTTTTTTCTTGTGTAAGTTTTTTATTTTATACCTTCGTCTGCCCTTTCTTTTTCGTCCTTCTCTTTCTGTGCACGAGGATCACGACTGTGTGCTCCTTGTTGAACGGGTTCATCATTATCTCGATAACGTGAATCTCCGCTGCTAAACTCCTCTGATATGCTTCGCGCTGTAAATAGTTCAACAGACAGTAAATATAGATTTTTGCTACACGCTTAAATTGCTGCAAAGAGAGCTACTCCCGTTCCAGCTAAAGCAATATCTGTCAATAACTTAGATATACTCGTCGTTACATTATTATAAATCTAGATATATATACAAAACTTATATACTTGAAAAAAAATTTTTTTTTTTCTCTTTTCAAATATCAAAACAAATTCGCGAAAATGAAAATTATTAATTGGACTAATTAGCAATTTACTTTCCTCTTTTTAATATTAATAATAATAATAATAATAAATTTATTTCATTGCATACTCTCTTAAAGAGTCTTCACAATCTCTATAAGAAAACTTTCTTACTTTTCTTACTATTATAATTATTATTATTAATAATAATAAATTTATTTAATTGCACATTCTTTTAGAGTCTTTACAGTTCCCATAAGAAAACTTTCTGACTTTTATTATTATTACTATGATTATTATTATAATTATAAATTATTATAATTATTTAACAAAATTATAAAAAAATTAATAAAAAATCGAAAAAATAGAAAATTAGAAATTAATAATAGGACAAAAAAATGAGAATAAAAATAAATAAATATAGGTTGCCACAAAAATTTAATTCTTTCTTTCCCAGACTTTTCCCTGATTTCTAGAAAAAAATTTTCACTTTTTCCCTGACCCTAAAGAATATTATGATTCACTCTAAAAATTTTTAGAAACTCAAATAAATTCTCTATTACATTTATTTGCGAATTTCTTTAAATGTAAAATTACTTGAAAACATCAATAAATTCTTTTTAAATAAATATTTAATCATTATTGTTTTTCCGTAGGAACTAAAATTTTTCAAAAAATCCAAATTCAAACCTTTTTGAAATTTGACAAACTTTAAGAATCATTTCAATTCAATTATTATTTTCAGAGACTTTTAACTAAAATATTCTTCTCTAAATCAATTATTTTTAATAATTTTTTAAAACTTTCTTTGAGAATTATCAAATACAATTCAAATTTCGGAAATTTTGATTATTCAGAAATTTTTTAATTAAATGTATTAGAAAATAAAAACTTCAAATAATTTCAAAAAAAAATTTAATTGAACTTCTTCAAAAAAAAATTATTCCTACAGAATTGCTAGTTAAAAGTGTGAAAAATTCACATTTTCAAAGATTTTAATTTAAAATCTTTTCAAAATTCAATTATTTATAAAAATTTACGCTATATAATGCTTTTAATATTTAATTATTATCTAAAATTTTAACTGAAATTCATTTTTAAATCAATTTTTATTAGAAAAATCTTCGAGACTTCAATTATTTTAATACAATAAAAAATTTATAAAATAATTGAATTCTAATAAAGAATGTTATGAATAAATTTTTAAATAATTCAATTCTTTCGACGAATTTTAATAAAATTTTTAAGAATAATTACATTTTTCGAAGAATTTTGATTTAAAATTGCATAGAAAAATAATTTAAATTCTGCAATGAGTTTTATTATTTACGAAAATAATTCAATTCTTGTGAAGAATTTTATTAATTTTATTAAAATTTTCAAAAATAATTAAATTTCTGTGAAAAATTCGTAAAATTCAATTATTTTCAAAAAAATTCTCGGCATAAATTAAAAATAACAAAATTCTTTGCAGATCTTCAATTACTTTTTGAAATTAGAATAAAATTGTTCGCAAAAATTTTCAATGTTTTACTTAAATAATAAAAATCTTTGTAGAAATTCAATTATTTACAAAAATTTTAATCAAATTCTTCGCAAGAATTCAATTATCTTCATAAATATCCAAATTTTCGGAGAAATTCAAATATTTTCAAATTTTGATAAAACTTTTCCGTAGAAATTCAATTATTTTCAAAATTTTAATGAAATTCTTCAAAAGAATTCAATTATTTATGAAGAATTTTTGATAAAATTCTTTAAAAGAAGTAAATTATTTTGAATACCATTTTAATTAAATTTCATGAAAGAATTAAAAATTTTTTTTAAAATAATTGAAATTTTGCCAAGAATTTTATTATTCTTAAAAATTGAATTTTTGGGAAGAATTTTATAAAAATTGTTTTTAAATAATTCAATTCTAGTGAAAAATTATATTATTCGGAAAATAATTGAATTCTTGCAAAGAATTTTAATCTATTGCTTAAAATTTTACATAATTTATGATAATAATTAGTCTTTCGTGGAATTTAATTAAAATTGCATTCAAAATAATTGATTTTTTTAAAAAGAATTTAATTAAAACGTTTGAAAGTAATTAAAATCTTTAGAGAAGAATTGTATTCAGAAGAAGAATTGTATTCAGAATATGTAATTACATTTTTGCGAAAAATTTTATTATTTATGGAAATAATTGAATATCTCCAAAAAATGTAATTATTTATGATAATAATGAATTTTTTTTTAAATATAATTGAATTCTTTTGAAAAATTTTATTAAAATAGTAGATATTGAAAATTATTGAATTGAGGGAAATTTTTGAAAATAATTGAAATTTTGCCAAGAATTTTATTCAAATGTTTTGAAAATAATTGAATTTCTCCAATTATTTGTAAATTCTCCAAAATTTAATTTTTTTTAGTGTTTTTAACTAAAATTCTTCTATAAATCCATTATTTTTAATCATTAATTAAATTTATTAATAAAAAAGGTAACTAATTTCAGAATAATTTGAATTAATAAATTTTTTTAAAATCTAAGTTCTTTAAAATTTGTAATTAAATATTGATTCAAAATTGAAAATTTTAAATTGAAACCTATTGAAGTTTGAATAAAAATCCCTGACTTTTTCCTGATTTCCCTGACGAATTCTACTTTATCAGACTTTTTTCCTCAATTTCCTGACTTCCCTGACCCTGTGGCAACCCTGTAAAAAAAAGAACAAAAAGTAGATAAATAGGAACAAAATAAAAAAGAAAAAAAATAAACAGAAATAAAGAAAATAAATGAAAAGAAAAAATTGCCTATATGAGAATAATATTTACAACTAATAAAAATGTATCATAAAAAAATTAGAATTCAATATTAATTATCGAATTAAATTATTGTATATAAAAATTATTATTTAGAAGCAGTATTTTCTTTCTTTTTTTTGTAGAATTTCTCCATTTTTCTTATTTGTTTGCTTGTTTGTTTATTATTTTTTTTTTTAGTAATTTGGTCACACCTCTTACCATCAACCGTTGGCGATGGTTTTATGAAGCACACATAAAAGGCGGTTGCATTCTTGCACTTGACTGCTCATTAGGACTGATAAGTATCACAGTATCTCACATTGCATCCAGCAGCCTGATTGACAGTGCATGCACTGAAGCGAAATATGAACATGCTATAACGAAAATGGCAGAAATAAAAAGTAGATAAATGATAAACAATAATTACACACAACAAAAATTATAAATTATACACATAATATAATAATTATAATAGAAATTTAAAACAAAAACAATCGAACCAAAAACAATTAATTCTCCTCGTCGAGTCTTTCGGTTTTTCCAAAAATTTCTTTTTATTCTTTAAAAAAATGTATTCTTTAAAAGAAAGTTATTCTTTCCAAAAAGAAAAATTAATTTTTCAGCGACCAAGAAAAATACAACAAAAAAAAACTAATTTTTTTCTCAATTTCTATCAAAGAAATAATTTTTTGAAAGACTCCAAAAAAAATTATAGAATAGAAAAAACATTATAGAAATTAATTTACATTTTTTTTGTTCTTCGCACACAAAAATAATTTTTCCAGAGACTATATAAAATAATAAAATACTAAAATTGAAAAAAATTTTTTTTTAAATTTGAATATTCGTTACAAAGCGTAAATAAAAATCACTATCGAAAAAAATTACAGAAAAAGAAAAATTTGAGTAAATAAAAAAAATGAAATTGACAATATTTACTAAAGGGCTTGTCCCGTTTATATTTTGTAAATAAATAAATAAGTAAATAAATAAATGAATAAATAAATATATTGAAAAAGAAATTAAATATCGAATAAAAAATTAAATGTTACGAAAATAAATAAATAAATAAACCGAAAAAGAAATTACAAATTGAATAAAAAATTAAATGTTACGAAAATAAATAAATAAATCGAAAACGAAATTAAGAATCGAATACAAAATTAAATGTTACGAAAGTAAATAAATAAATCTACAAAGAAATTAAAAATTGAGTAAAAATTTAAAAGTTACGAAAATAAATAAATAAACCGAAAAAGAAATTAAGAATCGAATACAAAATTAAATGGTACGAAAAAAAATGCGAAAAGAAAATTAAGAATCGAATGAAAAATTAAATGTTACGAAAATAAATAATGACAAAACAGATAATCGAATACAATAATGAATTAGAAAAAAAGGTGCAAAGCAATGTATATACGTAGATTACAAAATACAATAATCAGGATTTTAAAAATTACAATAAAAAATATTAGTTTTCTAGCATTGACAAAAATTTCCTTTCTTATTTATTTTTCACTTTTTCATCGGGTTTAAGAAATATTCCAGAGATTGTTGATTTGTTATTCATGTTTTGACTTCGATATTAATGTTCACACATATACATATATATATAGATAATATTTATAGAAATCTCTTGCGAAACTTAAAAACAGAAAGAACAATAAAAATCACAATGTATTTTTTTTTTTTTTTTTGTCTTTTTTTGGAGATAAAGTTTGTCTTGCAAAAATAAGATGACATTCCATCCTATGAAGACGGTGGGACGCCTTTTATATTCGCGGCTAAAAAGTGTGCATGAAATTCACAGCAAGAAACTTAAAATGGTGCTACATCAACGACTTGACATACATATACTTTTTAGCTTTGTCCTCACAGACATGACCACTACCCTAAAAATACCTCCTGTAAATGCCACTCGACTTTAGAAGATTCGTCTCTTTCTTTCTCCCTCTCTCTCTCACACACTTTTGGCAAAAAAAAAAAAAAATTCTCGCGCTATTCTTTACAGACGTCTCTCTTTTAGTTT